CCCGACAGTCTATTTGTTAACTTAAGCTACGCACAGCGTCTGTTAAGGGCCAGGGACTAGATTTTCGAAGCTCTCTTAGCGCTAAGATAGTCGTAAGTTAATGTTAATGTTCCTTAATGTGAATGTTAATCTAGGTCCAGACGTCTATGCCATTCAATCAGTGGCGGATCCGGGGTGGGGGTGGGGGTGGGGGGTGGGGTTGGGGTTCGAACGAACGCATGAACCACAATGCCACTCCACCACCTAACGGCAGAGCTTCCAGCCCCAAGAGAGAGAGAAAAAACTTGATATGCCGGGGTCCAAGGGCCGCCCTCACTACTCGGGACCTGACACCCTCTCTGAAGCCAACGAATAATTGCAAATTCCCTTCTCAGAACAGTCACTGAAAACGATGTATCTAATCACCCCTATTTGTGTGATTTTTAACGGATTATTAATTCTAGTTTTCATACGAACCCAGTTTAGATTTGTCAGTTTTGTCGAGAGATCGTGACGTGAGTCTGAAGCCAAATGAATGCGAGTTGGCAGGTATACCTGACAGTACAGCGCTTACCCATGTGCTGATCTAACCAACCCATGCTTGTAAGAGGCGACTAACCGGAATAGGTGGTTAGGCTCGCAGACTTGGTTGATCCATGTCATCGGATCCCAATTACGTAGATCGATGCTCATAAAGTTTATCACTGGATTGTCTGGTCCAGACCAGATTATCACCAGACAGCTGTCATATACCTAGATCATTGCTGAGTGCGGCGTTAAACAACAAACCAGTAGCGCTGGATCAATGACTGAAATTCAACCCGCGTGAAATTCTTGCTGCGAGAAGCCAATAAAAAACGCAGTTCTAATTTAATAAGGTTAAGATAAAGTGGGTCCTATTATTTTATTTTACGCATGACAAAACAGTTACACTGCACAGTAAAATATTAGGTATAAGATACTGTTGTTGACAGGGGCGAGTGATTGAGTGGAGTTTGACGCTACCTTGAACAATATTCCAGCAATATCTCGACGGGGGACACCAGAAATTGACTGCAGACATCGTTACCCTGTGGGTCTTCGCCTTCAACCACGAGGCTTCACGACCTCCGAATACAAAACCCACAAGGTAGCGTTAATCCGCAAGAATCGTCAACTATGATTTGTTTGTGAGTTATTTAACGCGGTACTCAGCAATATTCTAGCGACATGAAGGCGGTCTGTAACAGACAGTCCAGTGATTCATATCGTGAACAATGTCACATCCCAAAGCGGTATATAGTGACATGGTCACCGGGCCTCACCACCCGATAAATTTGCCAGTAGTATTTTACAACGAGCATATTTTCCTGGAGAACTTCCTTACCCGAAATCCAGGGTCGAAAACCCTTTTTTAAAGACCATATAGCTAGAGGGTTTTTCTGTGCTTTCACGTATATTTGAGAATCAGATAAATACAAATACCTTCAAATATAGACCGGTATGGAAATTATAAACTGAAATAGTTTTCCATTCAAAAAGCACTAGTTTCACTTTGAGTTGAAATCCGTTATTTCTTGCATTACGTGAAGGGGATGCTCGAAATTCAAAGAAATGCAATTTAGAATGTTTAAAATGGATCGTATACGAAGAAAGCGATAGGATAATATCTTTGATAAGACAGAAACAGTTCGATTCTTAAACTACATGTAAGGGTATTTAATGTGTAGTTGCATGTCTGGGATGTTCATTCTGTAACTAATTCCATGTCTCGTTCAGATACATGGGGAACACTTCAAAACGTTATTGAGCATTGTGTAAAGTATGATATGAGCCGCCTGTGCTAATCTGTGAGTTCCTTGTATGGCGAAACAGACGAAGCGATTTGAACTGTATCATGTCTTAGCTTTCAAACAATACAGTTTTATAGTTTTCCCATAATCAAACATTCATAATTTAATTCCGTTTTAAACTTTAATTTAATTGTACAAAATAATGTCATGTCCCTACAATTTGTTTCATAAAAAACTTTTTCCGCGTTTCACAACTCCACAGCTTAATTGTACAAAATACGGTCTACTTACTTTCCAATTTACTCCCAAAGTGTATGAGCAGACGAGGAAAAAACTTGAATAATTATGGGGGGGGTTTCGTTGAAAATATTTTATGTTAGCAAGTTACATGCACTATGTCAACACTCAAAGAATACTTCAGCATGTTGTATTTTTTAGAATTTAATTTGATTTGAAACTTTAAACTTGGAAAGAAAGAATTCGCCAATTTACACAACAATATATTAAGGTTTTTTACATACATTTGCAACATTTGAAACATGGTAGAGGTCAAATGGTTAATTTCATACTCCAATCTTCGTTCATCTATATATTTTTACACAAAATTACTGAGACACACATAGCTTTTTTAGTTTTGGTTAAGTAGACCTGTTCGTTGTTTAAAAAATTCTTCCACTAGTCAGTGACATGAAATACAAACACTGTGAACGTTCTTATACTCCAAATCATATATCGCCGAGCGTGTGGTACCGCCGTATCTTGGCTCAAACAAACGGTAGATACACAATAATAAGCTGTTCTACATCTTCAGCCATCTACGTAGTATCGGAGTACACCAACATCCATGGAATGTACCAGCAGGACTAAAGCACTTCACTTATGAATTAATCATCATGTACCAATATACACGCACATACTCTCTCTAGCGCCTGGTTCTCTAGCAAAAATACCTACTCTCACTGTATCGACAATTGCACACAGTTCAGTCAACAAAGACATGCGAATATTCCTGCACGCGTCTCGTGCCCTGCCTATTTGTCGTGTTATTGCCACCCATATAGCTGTCAATAGAAACATGACCTGTATTCAAAGCTGTCACTCGTAACTGAGTACGGACCTAAGCGTATGTAAAAGCGGGTGTATGTGAGGATATACCCCGATAAGAAACTATCAAGTGCTATTGAAAGCAGTAGTAGTATATTAGGGCGACTGTATTATTTTCGGTGTTTCCCATCTCCCGCCGATCAGAGTTTGCACTACCACGTAAAATATTAAAAACTTTTCGTATCTCAATTTCACCTTCCACTGTGGACTCTCTTTGTCCATATGCGATAAAAAATTACCCTTACCCTTGCACACTCATAAAAAGCTACCCATGAAGATCCGGGTTAGAATTGATCTTCTTAAGTAACCCATGTTTGTCGTTAGAGGCGACTGACGGGATCGGGCGATCAGGCTCGCTGACTGGGTTGACACATGTCATCGTATCCCAGTTGCGTAGATCGATGTTCATGCTGTCGATCACTGGATTGTCTGGCCCAGGCTCGATATTTACAGACCGCCGCCATTAGCTGGAATATTGCTGAGTGCGGCGTAAAACTAAACTCACTCATTCACTTATAAAAAGGTCAGCTTGATCTTTCGTCATATACATTTATTGCAAATTTGTCTGTCAACTTTTACTTTACTTCAAGATACCCGATCTGCATCATAAAGTTATTTAAAGATTATTACCCAGTAATTAAAAGTTTTATGTTTCGTAATATATGTTACACAACTTGTGAAAAACAATCTTATTTGTTTTTTGCCCGTAGACTCAATTGCTTGTGGTATATGATAAACACATAAAACAATTGGGATGGCCTAATCGTCTCCAGCAACAGCAGAGAGGGGTCCGTTATGTGATAAGTTATCAGATATACTATTGCCGGAGTTTCTAAGTTTCAAAAGTGTATCACACAGCTGACCATTTAACTATTGGAAAGTCTATTGAAGAGATCAATCTGAAATATCTGATACATAATACATGACATAAAAGTGACAATTACCTTAATGAATTTTATATTAGTTCTCCTAACGTAAAATAATGTGATATGGTATTTGCAAAATTGTAAATTAAAAATCGAAAATAAATGTTAACTACTATTATATTGACTACGAAACAATTTTATAACAATGAGAAAAAATATGATCATGGTAATATAGTTATTGATTTTAGGTAATTACATTCATAAATCAAATATAAGCCACGGTGACGGCTACTTCTTCCAGCCATTAGGTCGTTTATTGTATACGGTTACAGTTGGTCCTACCCCACTCGGAGGGGGTATGCAAGTGTGAGCAGCAAACAATGGGTCGAACGTATCCTATGTATTAAGCGGTATCGGATTACAGATCCGAATGGTGTGCACTAAATGAACACCTTGACTCGAACACAAAAATCGATCGGAGCAATGCTAATTGTTGTGAGACGTTATTGAGGCAGCTATAACACGGAATAATATTGGAAATATTTATCAAAATGGCTCTCAGACACATAGTTACTTTGTCAGTGTTTTCATTTGTACATTTATCGCATGTGGGGATTATGATGATAGTGTTCATAAGAAAGAGTCGCATATTTGTCAGTGATATTTATCATAATAATATGATCATGATACGTATTTCTTCAGCTGTGTTACTGCGGTCTTGGATGATTACAATGAGCATTAACAAAAGATCATAAACATCGTTTTGTTTCATGTAGTTTGGAAAAGATAGTATTCGTCTCTAAGAGTCGCATGGCATTTGCGCTGCTTAGTGACTCGGGTATAATGTCAAATAAATATCAACAGATTCAGGGCATCATTGTCATGGCAATATCTGAGACAATTGGGTTTTTACGATGTCCTTTGTGTTGTAAGTACCACGTAATATTATTTGAGAAAATGTCAAATGCTCATGGTGGGTTATATATGTCTACTGTGGTTTTCTTTTCGGTTTACGTCGTTAGTTCAATTTGAATTACAAGAAAATAAGTTAATCAAAATGAAAACAGTATGTACTTTTAATCTTAGATTAATATTCTAATTCTTTCTTGCGTAAAATTTTATATCATACCCTACTGTCGACTAAATAATATTTTTTAAATCATATCTATATTTACTCAAGTAATAAGATAGTGTTTACATGCATAGCCCGTTTATATATCTGAAAGACATTATGTGAAAAATACTTTGATAACTTCTTACGAAATCAAAATAAACTTACCAGTCAAGATCGAGCGTTGTTGCGATTGTCACTGGACCCCATAAACTCTCTTGATTCGGATAGTGTCGAACAAGTGTCAAACAACCATGCAGGCCAAATATATATTCTTTACTTCTGGTTTTTATGTCTGTTTTATCTCCGATATTTCGAGGGTCGTATTTGTCCCTCTGTCCTGTGTCAACAATTGACTTCGTGGCGTCGCGGGTTGCTATGGGTAGCTAAGACGTTTCACCCTTATTACGTTGAAGAGTTCTAAAACACTGCCGCCATTAATGTGCTGACTTGGAGTGAGAAGTTGACTAAAGACTGCGAGATATTTCGCTCGCTAATGTTAAAGTATGTTTTATATCCAGTGCTAATCAGTCACGAGATGGTTATACGGATTATACTTAAGTTTATCATGAATTATTCATGGATTATTGATGCGATCGATGTTCTGTCGATCACGCAACTGATATTCGCGAGCCGATAGGCACGAACTGCAGTATTTAGCAGGGGGTGTTAGGTTGACTCTGAGGTCTTAACTCCATAAACTTTGTTTCTTATCTACGCTGATACCGTGTTAATAACAAAAATCATTTGGGAGATGTGATAGTATGTTATTTCAAGCCCTGACCGAACCAGTAATAGTCATAGTCGCATTATATGTTTTCGGGTGGCACTGTTTACTCTCGCTGTATAACGAGGCGGGTTACACAATACATGGTAAATACTCATTGGATGATGGCTTGTGTTGGAGATAAAGTTGTCTTTAATAAGTTAGTGACATGTTTTACAATTGTTCTTACGATAATCGAGAAAACAACTGATGTGCCCCCAAACCCTAAGACGATAAATTGTCATATGTACTAGGGTGTGTGTGGAGTAGCCTAGCGGTTAAAGCGTTCGCTCGTCACGCCGAAGACCCTGGTTCGATTCCCCACATGGGTATAATGTGTAAAGGCCATTTTGGTGTCCCCCGTCGTGATATTGCAGGAATATTGCTAAAAGCGGCGTAAACTAAACTCACTCACTCATATATAATTGATTCCGTTCAACTTTTGATAGGGATAATTTGTTATAAATATTTATATAGCGACTTGTCATATTAATATTATGAGAACAAGCACAGATAATGAGAATTTTGTATATTATGGAATGATAAAAAAGACACTCATATCAAAAGTAGAGTAGAAAATATCATTGCAATAGTTATAGTCAATTTATTTATATCTGTAAAAAGAGTTACAATGATCATATGGACTGCATGTATTCACTGAAGCAATTTTATATTGAGAGTCAGATCGTCATATTTCCCTTCTAGCTCGCTGAGCATCTCTCGTAGACATCCACAATAACATAGAAAGAAAATGGCATTTATTTTTTTAAGTTGTCTCGTGTTCGATTTTATGAAAACATAATCTTTTTAGCAAGTCTGTGGAAGCCATTCCCAGCGCACGTTAAATACAGTTACATTTCAAATCAGCAACGAAAACAATAAGTTTCGAATTACACTCTGTCGTTATCCATTAATTTGTTAGATCTACATGTATATAACTTTACGATGTTGGTTTCAAGAATAGCAAAACTTAGATAGGCGATCATTAAAGTCCCCTGTTGTATTTAGTCTCCTGTCGCCAGTATACAGATGTTTTACCACAACATCAGGAGGAGAAATTTGAATACCATGTTAAACTAACGATAACTATAAGGATAAACAGATGAAAAAAAGGCACAAAAAAACATAAAAATGTGTACATGCAAAATATCAATGAATGAACAGCGGCAAAACAAAAACAAGTGAATGAATACATAAAAAAATACCAAACAAATTTAATGCACGTATACATTCATAGATAAGTCAAAATAAACCGTTTTGTGTACGTTGTAACGTATGATAACATGTTCTCGCCAACAGAGCGTGTTAACAAAACGTCAGTGATAACTTGTTTTTGGGGTTATTTTTTAAAACATATATTATATTTCCCTCTAGGGACATGTTGCACATGATCAGCCTGTCGTACTGGTTTTTAAAAAATAAATAAACATTTTACGCAAATATATTGTTTGGTTCAATGCATGCCTAAATCGGGCTGACACCAGTCTGTTTGTCTCAGAATCTATTTTGAGAAATAGTCCGACATAGACAAAAAAGACCGCAATCGCATTTGACTGAAAAACGTTTTGTGCGTGCGTGTGTGTTGGCGTATAATAATGACACAATAATTAAAATTAATTTGACTGTATAGATGAAAAATAGCTCAAATTTGCTAACATTCAGTTTTCGGTAACAGTAACGTGAGTCAGACAAGATCGATCGACTATTTTCTCAAGCCTCAAGTGTTCTGACGCAACCATGCAGTGGTTAGAACGACTTTCCTAACAAAGGGATTTGGCGTCATCTCGGAAAGTAATGACGTCTTTCAGTAGTTTCAAACGTAGTAATATATTGTCAGGAATGTTTTTTCGATGTTCAACGCTGCACCCCAGAACTCTAATTTATTCTATGGACCTACTGATACCTCGTGTCTCATAAGCCTCCTGACCGGGTGGTGTTCATTTTAATATGTCCTGTCTGTATGTCCATATGTTTGTATACTGCGCGACACGTAAATAAAATATTTACATACATACATTTAACAGATACTAGTACATGTATATAACGACCGCCTGTATAGAGAAGTGTCCTGACCAGATAATTAAGTGATTGGTATTGGTAGCAATGTTTTATGTTACACAAATAAACTAAAAATGTCACATATATTCCATAAATACAGCTAATACATCAGAGGTTTCAACCGTAACAGAATGATCCGACAGCCAATAGTGTAAATCATATATTATCATAGAAACATATAATGTTGTGTTTTTCTGAGGCCAGAAGGCTCACTCAAATCAACTAGTGTTTTGTAAACTCATGAATATTCATAAACCGTTGGTTTATTCAAGAACTACGACCGTGACAAGACAATGGCGTGAGCGATGTTCGCACCTTGTTCAGTCACTTGGGTTCTCATTGAACTGTCGTCTGCCCACTTTCTTCAACAGCAGACAGATGATGCGGCAAATGAAACCCTCTGGGAGACAAAAAGAATATCATCTGGTTCTTCCGTGTGCTATTTGTTACACTGGCTGTGAAACAAATGACGCTGGGAGACAGTTGTTTGGAAATTAAGATGACTAACCAGGAGACTGGAATGATGGGAGTATTATTGTCACTAACTGACAGTGTACTGAAATCATGTTTATCAAGTCATGGAAAGATCATGGCGGCAATGTGAAGCAGGGGCGGATACAGCTTTTGAAAAAGGGTTGGGGGAAGGGGCACAGTTCATTTTCACCCGTTTTCACGAGTTTCGAATTCAATGGTCATTTAATAAACTTTCAGGACAAAAAAGGGGTGGGAATGGCCCTCTGGATGTGAATGTACATTTGGGCTTAACTTGCTCCATGTAATGTCAGCTATGTTCCATATTGTCCATTTCGGGAAGGAACATTTATCAGATGTAGTTTATTACAAAATGTGCCTGTATGTTGATAGAGGGGGTTCTGAGATGCTGACTCGTTTATTTCTGGTGGCAGGACATCGTTTTTATTTGCATATGATCACTATCACGCATTGGATTCTGATATAAATTTCTACAAAATGTGAAATCTGTAGGTGTAGATGTACGCAAATAGCCGCAAGGATTATGTCCAAGATGTACATTTCAGCGTATATGCGGGTATAGCGTCTGTTTCCATAATCGGCTATGAAGTGGACGCAGCCGTATAAGGTCCGTTACTGTTTGCTTTGAATTGACGCATTTACAGTCAGTTTTATATCGGACCATACAGGGTTATTTCAAACCAATATGTAATAATAATAACATATCTGCATTCGAAATAACTATGTACACAGTACGAAGACATTCCGGGTTAGGACACCTATTCAAACATGTCATCGGGACTGGCAAACGATTCTTTTGGTCGCACTTTGACAGTGTTGGTTGGTTAGGGATTACACTGATTACATGAACAACATTTAAGAAACTGAAGTATTGTTTTTAACTTATTTATCAAAAGCTCCGACAAGGAAAGCCAAAGTAACACCTCCTATCCAACAGACATCTAAAACATCCTGATATTCTTCGGTTTAGAAAATATATTTTCCTTTCGCCACGCTCAGCAAGCCTGTGCCATGTGTTGGCCTAGAAATCTCCGCAAACAAAACAACCATCTATATTGTGACACTGGTCCCGGAATGTAACCATACCAGTGCATGTGTACTGCTATTGTAGCAATTTTCGATGACGTTAAATATATAAATAAAAATCGAGATGGCTTAGCTAGGAATTTGCTGTTTCTCGGAAAACTGACCGTTAAAAGTTGAAATTTACTGCGTACTATTCGTTGGTGTTCTCCGCCACTATTACGAACATAAATGAGATTTCGCCTTGCTGGTTCACGGTTCAATATAAGGGAGGTAACTCGTACCACACTGACGAATATTGTATTTAGCCCGTCATCTCCCTAGTGTTCAGTTCGAAACCTAACGTGTAATTTTGATGCTAGAATTCAGAAAATACAAACACTTTACTTTTCAGCAATACAGAAATACTTTATTACTATTCAGGTTAACTAATCTCAAGCATTTAAACAGTTTTTCAGACAACACTGTTCCATCAAACTGGATTCAAACATGTTGTAAAACTTTTAAAGGCTGATTGTCAATCAAATTTGAGATTTCCATTATACTGAGTCACATTTACCACACCCCTGTGAAACAGCGGTAGAACCATACACTAATGACATTCATCATAGCTTAGCTGCCTTATGAAAGAAAACATTACTGGCATGACATGTCTTTATAACATTATTATAAATTACCATGTGAATAATTGCCATAGATATATCTCCTGTAATATCAAATCATAATATATTTTTTGTTTCTGAAGGATAAGAAAACCCTGTACAGCTAAAAGTGTTTTAAAAAAGCAGAAAATCAAATTTTGAATGGATGGTTCATTGATCAAACATAATTCAAAATACATGTACATGTATAAATGAATGCATAAGTATGTAAATACATGAATATTCAGATCAACCAATGCTACAAACTCAATACCTTCTTTCACCTAGAATATATATCTTGTAACATGTTCACACCTCTATAAAGTAAAAAGATTGTGCGTGCACTGTGCATTCAAAACAACAACAAACATAACATAACAATGCCTACCTACAACAAAGCACCAAAAGCCATATAATCACACACTGCTAAACTCCAAAGCCATCGATCTCAAGCAGATTAAAACCCTGTGAAATCCCATTCAACTTTGCTCTTAATGATCACCATTTATGCAAGAATTTTACCAACCAATTATTTCTTAATCATTAAGTGTTCCCTTTCAGTAAATCACTGATCATGACTGCTGCCTTAAAAATGTCATTGCCAAATGACGAGAAAAAAATTCTGCTATGATGTCAGTTACAAAAATATTCAATTGACTGCAACAATGAGGTAAACAATGCACTGCTGTGAATGGGAGACACCAGAAATGGGTTTCACATTGTACCCATGTACAGAATCGAACCCGGGTCTTTGGCGTGATGAGTGAACACTTGAACCCCTTGGCTAACCCACCACCCATTTGTAGCGGGGTATGGCATACTTATCCTCCCACTCAGAACCTTATCCCCCTCCCAGGCAGGATACATAGTATTTTATCCATGAACCAATCAGATCTCTAACATATGGTAAGGGTGATGTCATTTACTCTAAACTGCTGTAGTATACTGCTGAGTGTGGGAGTTAAACAGCACTCAAACTTAACTACACACATTACATGGTGTGTATTAACTCCCAACCATGGCAGGGCTGTAAGATGGACATACTTTTAACACCTAATTTCCTATGATACATTTGTCACAACTGTTACAAAATTAGCCTGCCCTCCCTATTACTAATCACACATATAGACATTCTCACTTTCATGCATCGAAACCGTGGCACTGTATGTATGAGTAGAAAGGCTCTTTGTTTACTTCTGTTAACATGTTTTTCAAATCACCAATAAAAAGTATACACCAAATACCATCATCATAAACTGACAGAAACAGGTTGTACTAAAAAATATTTGTCATCTCAAATATAAAGTCCTATGGAATATCCATATAAATATGCCTGTATTTATTTCGTATGGGATTTGCATAAAACAGACAATTTTTTTCAGATCCTCCAGATCTATCACAATGCAAGATATGTAAAATGCCACAATTCTTCAGAGCTCTTCCACAGCTCAAGCAGTCTGAAAGTGCATTCAAGTTAGCATATACCCTTATACTTGATGGATGATGTGCTTCACCTTCACCTTCCATACATCTGTAACTTAATACTGTAGTTTGGACTAAAACACAACAATTCTACAAAAGTGTTATTGTTTTTCTGTTTGTAGCAAGTACTAAATTGAGTATGGCTTATATCTACTGGTTACTGCAACATAAACAGTAACATAACACCTCAATAATACTTACAGAATAAAATATCTGTTACTAAGGAATAATGTAACTGCGAATTTGTCTGGGAAGACATGACATTGGTAGACACATATCTTTATGCATGATATAAGCTTTTTCCTTGCTGAAAACATCAAATTGGATTGAAATAGCAGTCACGGAGGCCCTATTGTTGGATTATATGTTTTCGGACATCATATATTTTCAAACAGCAGTGTTTCCCAACGCTACATTATAACAAGGTTTGTTGCATCACAGGCATTGTAAATACTTGTTTTTGAGATAAGTCACCCAAATCGACTGGTGTCTGGGTACCGGGTAATCCCCAATGTGGGCCGTCACCAAATTTGAAGACATTGGGTACAACAGTTCATGAGATATTGGGTTAACAAGAATCGTGATGTACGTACGCCGCTGAATACATAGTCCTCCGTTCCGCGTTGCGGTGGGGGACAATAAGCAGGTCACTCAATAACATAAACATGTTTTTTTGATAGATTAACTAAATTCTCTCCATATTCTTCTACCCTGGAATGTTCTGTCAGTCTATTAGTGTTACTACATGATTAACTTATACAGACAGGTATATACATATACAGTGTTAGTACATGTACTAATAATCCTGAGGGAAGCTTCATTCAGTAGTCAGATCATTGAAATAAGGCACATATAACAACGGCACACACAACCAGAGCCCACCTGCACAAAGTGGTATTAGCACCAAGTCTATTGCCAATCTATAGTAAAACCTGGACATTAGTCTCAGCGCTTTGACCTCTTTGTGCGAGTCGGTCCAGGAGATGTTGACATCTGCTTAATGACATGATCTACAGCGGCAGAGCTGGTAAAACCTTTCCAGTGCAGGTTCCAAACCCGACACGATAACCTTCACCTTCACAGTAACCTGGAAACAGTGAAAAGAATTGTCATGATTAGGTATCTTTATTCAAGCTGCCGTAAAAAAAGGTGATAAATGTAGACTGACAGACTGAGTTTGGTTTTACGCCGCTCTTAGCAATATTCCAGCAACATCACGGCGGGGGACACCAGAAATGGGCTTCACACATTGTACCCATGTGTGGATTTGAACCCGGGTCTTTGGCGTGACGAGCCAACGCTTTAACCACTAGGCTACCCGACCGCCCCGATTAATGTAGAGGGGTTCTTAACACTGCTAATATATCAGTGATGCCTGAACTGTTGCTTGTCATAGATGTTTACCACTTAAGGACAATCACAAGCACAGGTATAGTGGTAATGACAGAGGGGACATTACAAGTATTGGTGTAGTGCTAACAACTACGTTGTGGACATTCTGTTGTATGCATCATGTTAGACAGTTGAAGGTATCTGGTAAACAACCAGACAGTCCAGTGACATTGTGAGCAATGACCCACATCATCTGTGTCCGATGGACATGGAGTCTGATGAACATCCAATACCTTTTCTTATGACCAGCAATATAGCCGAGGACCAATTCTAACCAGATATCCCAACATTTTGAAACTGACTCCACCAGCCAGATCTGAGTCTGACCTCTATCACATTAGTTACAACTTAAAGTTCGTAGTTAGGTACCTAGTCAATTCAGGGATAACACCAAATAGCACTCCAACTATCAAAAGCCAATATTAAAATATATATTAGGGACTGCATGTCATGTACAAAATCAATGACACCCCCCCCATTTTTTTTAAATCTTTGTATGTACAAAATTGCTAACCCCACTAGTGCATGTGTACAAGATTGCTGACCCCCCAGGACAAAATGGTGCTCTATCTCACGCACATTTCTACGCGCGCACGCATACACACAAGAGCACACACACAAAACAAACAAATGAATAAAATCATCATCCCCCTAGCCATAAATTATGAACGGTCCCTTTTGACACTGGAGAACTGACAAAACTTGGACCAATGCACCCTGGTTGAAAGACCAGGTTTGTGATTTGAGCCAGGCAGTGGAGAACTGACAAAACTTGGACCAATGCACCCTGGTTGAAAGACCAGGTTTGTGTTTGGTTTTATGCCGCTTTGCTAGCAACAGGCAGTGGACCAGAAATGGGCTTCACAATTGTACCCATGTGGGGATTCTTTCAGCCAGGGACCAACCACTAGCACCCTGGCTTTGAAAGACCAGGTTTGTGATTTGAGCCAGGCAGTGGTAGTATGTACCTGTGAGAATAGCTTCATCTCCATCCTGCAAGAACTTGCGTGTTATTCCGTTGCCCAAATCCACAGGCTTTGTCCCCTTCCAGCATAACTCTAGGAAACTTCCATATGTGTCTGGAGTCTAGAGGCAAACAAATGGGACATATATAATCATGACAAAAACCTACTTCACTATCAAAAAGGAAGGATGATACTTTTGAAATAATCAATTGATTTTAAAAATGATTCTGTTATCAAGAACACCCAACTGATGTCAAAATATCCTGTTTTCTGTTCTACTAAACTACATCACTGCAGCTAAACATTAACAATAACCATCAAATTCTTGCTTCTGGTCATTTTGTTTAAGTCATCAAGAAACCTCACAGTTCAAACCTTTCTGGCGAACACTTTTAGAAACGTTAAGATGCCAATGACACATTAGATACACAGCTTTGGAGCATTACTGCATAATTTGCCCTGGTATCTTCCCATGGGTAGAAAGGAGATGAATCAGTAAACTGACCTCGCCACTGATGGTCCCAGAGGCCATGAGGTCGCCTGCGTTAACGTTGCAGCCAGTGACGGTGTGGTGAGCAAGCTGCTGCTTCATTGACCAGTACACATACTGAAACACACCATTCAAGAGCGTATGAACAGGAGCGAGTCAATGTTGCCAGTTCTAGCTATATCCGTGTAATCTGTTTTGATAATAAAATCTGAGGCAAGCACATATTCCTTGAAAGAAAGTGCAATCCATGCAATGATAGGAGGACATAACAGTCCATGAGTTGGGTACCTAACCTGACCTGGAATTCCTATAGGGAAACTAGCATGGGGAGCTGGGAACCTAACCTGACCTAGAATAGGTACAAGGAGTCTAGCATGGGGAGCTGGGAACCTAACCTGACCTAGAATAGGTACTAGGAGTCTAGCATGGGGAACTGGGAACCTAACCTGACCTAGAATAGGTACAAGGAGTCTAGCATGGGGAGCTGGGAACCTAACCTGACCTAGAATAGGTACTAGGAGTCTAGCACGGGGAACTGGGAACCTAACCTGACCTAGAATAGGTACAAGGAGTCTAGCATGGGGAGCTGGGAACCTAACCTGACCTAGAATAGGTACTAGAGACTAGCATCGGAGGGAACTGGGAACCCTAACCTGACCTAGAATAGGTACAAGGAGACTAGCACAGGGAACTGGGAACCTAACCTGACCTAGAATAGGTACTAGGGAGACTAGCAGGGAACTGGGAACCTAACCTGACCTAGAATAGGTACAAGGAGACTAGCATGGGGAACTGGGAACCTAACCTGACCTAGAATAGGTACAAGGAGTCTAGCATGGGGAGCTGGGAACCTAACCTGACCTAGAATAGGTACAAGGAGTCTAGCATGGGGAGCTGGGAACCTAACCTGACCTAGAATAGGTACAAGGAGTCTAGCATGGGGAGCTGGGAACCTAACCTGACCTAGAATAGGTACAAGGAGACTAGCATGGGGGAGCTGGGAACCTAACCTGACCTAGAATAGGTACAAGGAGACTAGCATGGGGAGCTGGGAACCTAACCTGACCTAGAATAGGTACAAGGAGTCTAGCATGGGGAGCTGGGAACCTAACCTGACCTAGAATAGGTACAAGGAGACTAGCACGGGGAGCTGGGAACCTAACCTGACCTAGAATAGGTACAAGGAGTCTAGCATGGGGAGCTGGGAACCTAACCTGACCTAGAATAGGTACAAGGAGACTAGCATGGGGAGCTGGGAACCTAACCTGACCTAGAATAGGTACTAGGAGACTAGCATGGGGAGCTGGGAACCTAACCTGACCTAGAATAGGTACTAGGAGTCTAGCATGGGGAGCTGGGAACCTAACCTGACCTAGAATAGGTACTAGGAGTCTAGCATGGGGAGCTGGGAACCTAACCTGACCTAGAATAGGTACAAGGGAGACTAGCAGGGAGCTGGGAACCTAACCTGACCTAGAATAGGTACAAGGAGTCTAGCAGGGGAGCTGGGAACCTAACCTGACCTAGAATAGGTACAGGAGACTAGCATGGGGAGCTGGGAACCTAACCTGACCTAGAATAGGTACTAGGAGTCTAGCATGGGGAGCTGGGAACCTAACCTGACCTAGAATAGGTACAAGGAGTCTAGCATGGGGAGCTGGGAACCTAACCTGACCTAGAATAGGTACTAGGAGACTAGCACGGGGAACTGGGAACCTAACCTGACCTAGAATAGGTACAAGGAGACTAGCACGGGGAGCTGGGAACCTAACCTGACCTAGAATAGGTACTAGGAGACTAGCATGGGGAGCTGGGGACCTAACCTGACCTAGAATAGGTACAAGGAGACTAGCACGGGGAGCTGGGAACCTAACCTGACCTAGAATAGGTACAAGGAGTCTAGCACGGGGAACTGGGAACCTAACCTGACCTAGAATAGGTACAAGGAGTCTAGCATGGGGAGCTGGGAACCTAACCTGACCTAGAATAGGTACAAGGAGACTAGCACGGGGAGCTGGGAACCTAACCTGACCTAGAATAGGTACTAGGAGTCTAGCACGGGGAACTGGGAACCTAACCTGACCTAGAATAGGTACAAGGAGACTAGCACGGGGAACTGGGAACCTAACCTGACCTAGAATAGGTACTAGGAGACTAGCACGGGGAGCTGGGAACCTAACCTGACCTAGAATAGGTACAAGGAGACTAGCATGGGGGAACTGGGAACCTAAACTGACCTAGAATAGGTACAAGGAGACTAGCATGGGGAGCTGGGAACCTAACCTGACCTAGAATAGGTACAAGGAGACTAGCACGGGGAGCTGGGAACCTAACCTGACCTAGAATAGGTACAAGGAGACTAGCACGGGGAACTGGGAACCTAACCTGACCTAGAATAGGTACAAGGAGTCTAGCATGGGGAGCTGGGAACCTAACCTGACCTAGAATAGGTACTAGGAGACTAGCACGGGGAACTGGGAACCTAACCTGACCTAGAATAGGTACAAGGAGACTAGCATGGGGAGCTGGGAACCTAACCTGACCTAGAATAGGTACAAGGAGTCTAGCATGGGGAGCTGGGAACCTAACCTGACCTAGAATAGGTACAAGGAGTCTAGCATGGGGAGCTGGGAACCTAACCTGACCTAGAATAGGTACAAGGAGACTAGCACGGGGAGCTGGGAACCTAACCTGACCTAGAATAGGTACAAGGAGTCTAGCACGGGGAGCTGGGAACCTAACCTGACCTAGAATAGGTACAAGGAGTCTAGCATGGGGAGCTGGGAACCTAACCTGACCTAGAATAGGTACTAGGAGACTAGCATGGGGAGCTGGGAACCTAACCTGACCTAGAATAGGTACAAGGAGACTAGCACGGGGAGCTGGGAACCTAACCTGACCTAGAATAGGTACAAGGAGTCTAGCACGGGAGCTGGGAACCTAACCCTGACCTAGAATAGGTACCTGGGGAGCTGGGAACCTAACCTGACCTAGAATAGGTACTAGGAGACTAGCATGGGGAGCTGGGAACCTAACCTGACCTAGAATAGGTACAAGGAGTCTAGCATGGGGAGCTGGGAACCTAACCTGACCTAGAATAGGTACTAAGGAGTCTAGCACGGGGAGCTGGGAACCTAACCTGACCTAGAATAGGTACAAGGAGACTAGCACGGGGAGCTGGGAACCTAACCTGACCTAGAATAGGTACAAGGAGACTAGCATGGGGAGCTGGGAACCTAACCTGACCTAGAATAGGTACTAGGAGTCTAGCATGGGGAGCTGGGAACCTAACCTGACCTAGAATAGGTACAAGGAGTCTAGCATGGGGAGCTGGGAACCTAGACCTAGAATAGGTACTAGGGAGACTAGCTGGGAACTGAAACCTAACCTGACCTAGAATAGGTACAAGGAGACTAGCATGGGAGCTGGGAACCTAACCTGACCTAGAATAGGTACTAGGAGACTAGCATGGGGAGCTGGGAACCTAACCTGACCTAGAATAGGTACAAGGAGACTAGCACGGGGAGCTGGGAACCTAACCTGACCTAGAATAGGTACAAGGAGACTAGCACAGGAAGCTGGGAACCTAACCTGACCTAGAATAGGTACTAGGAGACTAGCATGGGGAGCTGGGGACCCTAACCTGACCTAGAATAGGTACAAGGAGACTAGCACGGGGAGCTGGGAACCTAACCTGACCTAGAATAGGTACAAGGAGTCTAGCATGGGGAACTGGGAACCTAACCTGACCTAGAATAGGTACAAGGAGTCTAGCATGGGGAGCTGGGAACCTAACCTGACCTAGAATAGGTACAAGGAGACTAGCATGGGAGCTGGGAACCTAACCTGACCTAGAATAGGTACTAGGAGTCTAGCACGGGAACTGGGAACCTAACCTGACCTAGAATAGGTACAAGGAGTCTAGCATGGGGAGCTGGGAACCTAACCTGACCTAGAATAGGTACTAGGAGACTAGCATGGGGGAGCTGGGAACCTAACCTGACCTAGAATAGGTACAAGGAGTCTAGCATGGGAGCTGGGAACCTAACCTGACCTAGAATAGGTACAAGGGAGTCTAGCATGGGGAGCTGGGAACCTAACCTGACCTAGAATAGGTACAAGGAGTCTAGCATGGGGAGCTGGGAACCTAACCTGACCTAGAATAGGTACAAGGAGTCTAGCATGGGGAGCTGGGAACCTAACCTGACCTAGAATAGGTACTAGGAGACTAGCATGGGGGAGCTGGGAACCTAACCTGACCTAGAATAGGTACAAGGAGTCTAGCATGGGAGCTGGGAACCTAACCTGACCTAGAATAGGTACAAGGAGTCTAGCATGGGGGGAGCTGGGAACCTAACCTGACCTAGAATAGGTACAAGGAGACTAGCACGGGGGAGCTGGGAACCTAACCTGACCTAGAATAGGTACAAGGAGTCTAGCATGGGGAGCTGGGAACCTAACCTGACCTAGAATAGGTACAAGGGAGTCTAGCATGGGGAGCTGGGAACCTAACCTGACCTAGAATAGGTACTAGGAGTCTAGCATGGGGAGCTGGGAACCTAACCTGACCTAGAATAGGTACTAGGAGTCATAGCAACCTAACCTGACCTAGAATAGGTAGGAGACTAGCAGGGAACTGGGAACCTAACCTGACCTAGAATAGGTACAAGGAGACTCTAGCACGGGGAGCTGGGAACCTAACCTGACCTAGAATAGGTACAAGGAGTCTAGCATGGGGAGCTGGGAACCTAACCTGACCTAGAATAGGTACAAGGAGACTAGCATGGGAGCTGGGAACCTAACCTGACCTAGAATAGGTACAAGGAGTCTAGCATGGGAGCTGGGAACCTAACCTGACCTAGAATAGGTACAAGGAGTCTAGCATGGGGAGCTGGGAACCTAACCTGACCTAGAATAGGGAGCTGGGCTGGAACCTAACCTGACCTAGAATAGGTACTAGGAGTCTCTTAGCATGGGAGCTGGGAACCTAACCTGACCTAGAATAGGTACAAGGAGACTAGCATGGGGAACTGGGAACCTAACCTGACCTAGAATAGGTACTAGGAGACTAGCATGGGGAGCTGGGAACCTAACCTGACCTAGAATAGGTACAAGGAGACTAGCATGGGGAGACCTAGGGTAACCTAACCTGACTGACTAGAGATAGGTACAAGGGAGACTAGCATGGGGAACTGGGAACCTAACCTGACCTAGAATAGGTACAAGGAGACAAAAGCAGGGGAACTGGAACCTAACTAGCACAAGGAGTCTAGCATGGGAGCTGGGAACCTAACCTGACCTAGAATAGGTACTAGGAGACTAGCATGGGAGCTGGGAACCTAACCTGACCTAGAATAGGTACAAGGAGACTAGCAACCTGACCTAGAATAGGTACAAGGAGTCTAGGGAGCTGGGAACCTAACCTGACCTAGAATAGGTACAAGGAGTCTAGCATGGGGAGCTGGGAACCTAACCTGACCTAGAATAGGTACAAGGAGACTAGCATGGGGAGCTGGGAACCTAACCTGACCTTGAATAGGTACAAGGAGTCTGCTGCATGGGAGCTGGGAACCCTAACCTGACCTAGAATAGGTACAAGGAGTCTAGCATGGGGAGCTGGGAACCCAACCTGACCTAGAATAGGTACAAAAGGAGACTAGCAGGGAGCTGGGAGCCTAGGGGTACAGCTGGGGAGCTAACCTAACCTGACCTAGAATAGGTACAAGGAGTCTAGCACGTGGGGAGCTGGGAACCTAACCTGACCTAGAATAGGGAGACTAGGAGGTAGGTACTAGGAGACTAGCATGGGAGCTGGGAACCTAACCTGACCTAGAATAGGTACAAGGAGTCTAGCAGACCTAGAATAGGGAGCTGGGAACCTAACCTGACCTAGAATAGGTACTAGGAGTCTAGCAGGGGAGCTGGGAACCTAACCTGACCTAGAATAGGTACAAGGAGACTAGCATGGGAGCTGGGAACCTAACCTGACCTAGAATAGGTACTAGGAGTCTAGCATGGGGAGCTGGGAACCTAACCTGACCTAGAATAGGTACAAGGAGTCTAGCATGGGGAGCTGGGAACCTAACCTGACCTAGAATAGGTACTAGGAGTCTAGCATGCACGAGCTGGGAACCTAACCTGACCTAGAATAGGTACAAGGAGTCTAGCATGGGGAGCTGGGAACCTAACCTGACCTAGAATAGGTACAAGGAGTCTAGCATGGGGAGCTGGGAACCTAACCTGACCTAGAATAGGTACAAGGAGTCTAGCACTGGGGAGCTGGGAACCTAACCTGACCTAGAATAGGTACAAGGAGACTAGCACGGGAGCTGGGAACCTAACCTGACCTAGAATAGGTACTAGGAGTAACCTGACTAGCATGGGAGCTGGGAACCTAACCTGACCTAGAATAGGTACAAGGAGTCTAGCATGGGGAGCTGGGAACCTAACCTGACCTAGAATAGGTACAAGGAGTCTAGCATGGGGAGCTGGGAACCTAACCTGACCTAGAATAGGTACAAGGAGACTAGCATGGGGGAGCTGGGAACCTAACCTGACCTAGAATAGGTACTAGGAGTCTAGCATGGGGAGCTGGGAACCTAACCTGACCTAGAATAGGTACAAGGAGACTAGCATGGGGAACTGGGAACCTAACCTGACCTAGAATAGGTACTAGGAGACTAGCATGGGGAGCTGGGAACCTAACCTGACCTAGAATAGGTACCTATGGGGAACTGGGAACCTAACCTGACCTAGAATAGGTACAAGGAGACTAGCATGGGGAGCTGGGAACCTAACCTGACCTAGAATAGGTACAAGGAGTCTAGCATGGGGAGCTGGGAACCTAACCTGACCTAGAATAGGTACAAGAGACTAGCATGGGGAGCTGGGAACCTAACCTGACCTAGAATAGGTACAAAGGAGTCTAGCATGGGGAGCTGGGAACCTAACCTGACCTAGAATAGGTACTAGGGAGACTCTGGGAGACCTATACAAGGGAGACTATGCTGGGAACCTAACCTGACCTAGAATAGGTACAAGGAGTCTAGCATGGGGAGCTGGGAACCTAACCTGACCTAGAATAGGTACTAGGAGACTAGCATGGGGAGCTGGGAACCTAACCTGACCTAGAATAGGTACAAGGAGACTAGCATGGGGAGCTGGGAACCTAACCTGACCTAGAATAGGTACAAGGAGTCTAGCATGGGGAGCTGGGAACCTAACCTGACCTAGAATAGGTACAAGGAGACTAGCATGGGGAGCTGGGAACCTAACCTGACCTAGAATAGGTACTACAAGGAGTCTAGCATGGGGAGCTGGGAACCTAACCTGACCTAGAATAGGTACAAGGAGTCTAGCATGGGGAGCTGGGAACCTAACCTGACCTAGAATAGGTACAAGGAGTCTAGCATGGGGAGCTGGGAACCTAACCTGACCTAGAATAGGTACTAGGAGTCTAGCATGGGGAGCTGGGAACCTAACCTGACCTAGAATAGGTACAAGGAGACTAGCATGGGAGCTGGGAACCTAACCTGACCTAGAATAGGTACTAGGAGTCTAGCAGGGGAACTGGGAACCTAACCTGACCTAGAATAGGTACAAGGAGAGACTAGCATGGGAACTGGGAACCTAACCTGACCTAGAATAGGTACTAGGAGACTAGCATGGGAGCTGGGAACCCTAACCTGACCTAGAATAGGTACAAGGAGTCTAGCATGGGGAGCTGGGAACCTAACCTGACCTAGAATAGGTACAAGGGAGACTAGCAGGGGAGCTGGGAACCTAACCTGACCTAGAATAGGTACAAGGAGAGACTAGCATGGGGAGCTGGGAACCTAACCTGACCTAGAATAGGTACAAGGAGACTAGCATGGGGAGCTGGGAACCTAACCTGACCTAGAATAGGTACAAGGAGACTAGCATGGGAACTGGGAACCTAACCTGACCTAGAATAGGTACAAGGAGTCTAGCATGGGGAGCTGGGAACCTAACCTGACCTAGAATAGGTACTAGGAGACTAGCATGGGGAGCTGGGAACCTAACCTGACCTAGAATAGGTACAAGGAGACTAGCATGGGGAGCTGGGAACCTAACCTGACCTAGAATAGGTACAAGGAGTCTAGCATGGGGAGCTGGGAGAACCTAACCTGACCTAGAATAGGTACTAGGAGACTAGCATGGGGAGCTGGGAACCTAACCTGACCTAGAATAGGTACAAGGAGTCTAGCATGGGGAGCTGGGAACCTAACCTGACCTAGAATAGGTACTAGGAGACTAGCATGGGGAGCTGGGAACCTAACCTGACCTAGAATAGGTACAAGGAGACTAGCACGGGAGCTGGGAACCTAACCTGACCTAGAATAGGTACAAGGAGTCTAGCATGGGGAGCTGGGAACCTAACCTGACCTAGAATAGGTACTAGGAGACTAGCATGGGGAGCTGGGAACCTAACCTGACCTAGAATAGGTACAAGGAGTCTAGCATGGGGAGCTGGGAACCTAACCTGACCTAGAATAGGTACTAGGAGACTAGCACGGGGAACTGGGAACCTAACCTGACCTAGAATAGGTACAAGGAGTCTAGCACTAGAGAGACCTAGCATGGGTACTAGGGAACTGCTGGGAACCTAACCTGACCTAGAATAGGTACTAGGAGACTAGCACGGGGAGCTGGGAACCTAACCTGACCTAGAATAGGTACTAGGAGACTAGCATGGGGAGCTGGGAACCTAACCTGACCTAGAATAGGTACAAGGAGACTAGCACGGGGAACTGGGGACCCATCCTGACATTAAATCCCGATAAAGAGACTAGCATGGGGAGAGGGGGACCTAACCATTGCTTTTTTGGCAATGTGCACATTTGGAAAGTGCCAATTCTTATCACTACTATCTGTCTTTGATGTGGTGTCCAATCAAAGAAAAAGCATACTCCTATTTTGCACATTACTGACTCCAATAACATTATCTAATGTATATTATGAACCATTGTACCTTGAAGTTACTGCGGGCCACAGTTGCAGGCTTGGGTAAACCTTCACCTGGAAAACAAGAAGATTTTATAATCTATCATTTCATTTACAGCACATACATTTTGACAAGCGTATAAAGCAGAAGTTTGTCTGGTAGCTTTGAAGCCAAGTGATACCTAGAATGGTTCAAGGCTTAGGCACATATAACACACATATGCACAATTTTCTCGATGGTATGGAATAAAGAAACATAAAACCAACATTTTTGTGTAATCTTAAATAGTTCTTTATGTGCATGACGAATAATGAATGCATTTCACAGAAAGACAGTTACTAACTGCCTAAAACCATAAAAACACCCATTTCATTCAGATTACTGTAGTCAATCTATCAAGACGGTATGAAGGAAGCAAGCATTCTTTAACGTCAGTAGTATCTATCCTGTCAACCTAGCAGTGGAATCAATCATCTCACAATTCAGCATGACTTCCAGGTTGATGTTGAAGGAGAAGGGATCCTCGTGTTGAAGGTACGGCAGGGGAGTCGGGTCCTGAAACATCATTATGTATGCACCATAGACTCATAGGCTACTTTCACAGTCTGACAGCATAGCATGCTAGTTCAAAAACCAGTATTCCATATTTCCTACAACTTTGGAAAGACACTTCTGGCAAGTTTATCTAATCAGATGCAACATAGGACATGCTTTCTGTATATAACACCATGTTCCAGACACAAACTGAAACAACTGGGTCTTTGTCCACTTTGTTTGTATTAAAAGCCCCAGAATGTATATCTGCATTACAAAATATACAACAGGCACCATTTTGCTACCTGATAGATATGTGTTAAGTTGTATGAAGAATTTGTTGTGGGATTTTCTGATCCAGAAGCAAATTTCACATTCACTTTAATATTCTGATATCCTACATCTTCCATTGACACGAAAAAGATAAAAGACAGAATACAAGTCTTTGCCACTGATATGGCAATGTCCCCCGCCGCTGAAGAATGGAATATTTATAACGCATTTACTACTTCTTTTTATGTCCACATAAATGATGCCTGAAATGACTGGTGTCTGCATGATCACCCAATGTAGGCTGTCAACATAACTGAAGACGTTCGGTGCAATGTTTTATGAGTTATCGCGTTAACAAGAGTTTGAAAAGTGGTCAAAGTGTCGTGGTGATCTTGAAGATAAGGTCAAGGTCACCCAAATCAACTGGTGTCTGGGTAATCCCCCAATGTATGCTGTCACCAAATTTGAAGACATTGGGTACAACAGTTCATGAGATATCGCATTAACAAGAATCTGGAGGTACATATGTATGTACGTACGTACGGACGCCGCTTAATATATAGTCCGTGTTCTCGCGTTAGTTACATATATATCTGCGTTGCGGCGGGGGACAAAAAGTAATAAAAGGCACCAACAGTTGGATTTGACATAGAGATGGTGCTAAAGCTCCAATCCAGAAACAAAGTAAGCAGAGTCTAAGTGAGTGAGTATGGGTTTACTCTGCTTTTAGCAATATTCCAGCAATATCACAGCAGGGGACATCAGAAATGGGATAGCTATGCCTGAAAGTTACTAGCCCACAAAATAATTCACTAGTCCGAAATTTGAGTGTAGACACGGGTTGATACGATACAGCTGATACGATGAACATTTTTACCAGGCCATAATCTTGCATGATATAAAAGTGTGTTATAACATAACAAGTTGGAGAGAGTGATATAATTATATAATGACTCAATGAACACTCACTAGCCAGTTGGACCAGTGACTGTGGAGATTTACTGGCCTGACTGGATTTTTACTAGCCACCCGCTAGCGGGCCTGTGGCTGTTTCGCATACTGTTCACACATTGTACCCATGTTTGGAACCGAACTCGGGGTCTTCGGCGTGACAAGTGAACATTTTATCCACTAGGCTACCCCATCGCCTCAGAGTCTAATCTATGCAGATTGTTTCTTCATGTAAAATAATCTAAATTGATTAAGTATTGATGAATTGCTCAAATATCGAAAACAGTGTATGTATGATGCATGAAAATGATGTTGAATGTTTGTGTACCTGTGTCTGATTGGGCACCTGGAATGGCGCCAGTGCATCCATGGTGACAACCCATGGGGAGATGCTGGTGCCATGGTTCTTCCCAAGGAATGGCCCAAGGGGGACATACTCCCACTTCTGTATATCTCGAGCTGAAGACAGGAGAATATCATTAAATATTTTAGATCTAAACAAAAAGTTTCCTTACATGCCTTCCTCCATGAGATTGACATGACTTCACTCTGGAATGGGAATATACTGAGCAAATACAAAGATATAAATCAAAGTTGTTCAGATACAATCTTATATAACATACGTCATATTTGGGATTACAGTTTCTTAGTAAAGAACAGATTCTAGTACTTTTGTTGGGTTGAGTCCCATAGGTTACATTTGACCACTTTCTAAATGGCATTGTGTATTCATAGATAAAATCTTATGAAACCATCATACATTATGAATGCAGAATGCCTTGTTTTTCACACTAGCACTAAAAAGTATCATGCTAGAGTGTCCACATGTTATCTCACCACTCCAGTCATTCATGACCACCATCCCAAAGATGTGATCCTCCGTCCTGCTGATGGGGATTGGTTCTCCTAGCTTGTTGGATGGACCACCCACAAAGAAGGCCATCTCCAGCTCGATGTCCATCAGCTTACATGGTCCAAACACCGGCGGCTTAGCTGTGCACAGAAACAGTAACTTGTTAAAAATCAGCTGGGCTGAATTGTTTCTTTGGATTCTTCTCTACACGGAAATATTTGTAAATATTTATAATTATTGTAACAGACAATGTTATTACGTGAGTAAGGCTTTTCTGAATTTTTAGAATTTTCAGCAATCCTAAAGCAGGTGACAAAGAGTGGGCTCCTATGTTCAGACCCGTGACATATGTTGTGGAATCAAACCCCGGTTTTAGTTGTGATTGGCTAACACTTCAACCGCCAGGACATCCAACTACCCCAACAGAATAGTGAATGAATTATTCTTTACCAGTAAGAAGTTTCTCATATTCAACAGCATGAGCATCAATCTGCTCAATTGGGAACCGATGACATGTGTCAACCAAGTCAGCGAGCCTGACCACCCGATCCCGTTAGTCGCCTCTTACGACAAGCATAGTCGCCTTTTGTGGCAAGTATGGGTGTAGTTACGAAGCTGGACACACTCCCTATAATACCTGCATGGTGTTAAATCGTTATTTCCAACTACCCCAACAGAATAGTGAATGAATTATTCTTTACCAGTAAGAAGTTTCTCATATTCAAAAGTCATAGGCAAACATCATACTGTAAATGTAATTTAAGTGATCTTCTGGTGATCCTGGTTATCAAAACATTCTAAGAACAGTGAAATACTGAGCAATGGTGAGTAAATGGTAGATATACTATTTGCCTACTCACAATCATCAGGCCTGGTTTGACCATTGGGTCGTCTGATGGGAGTCCCTGACACAACCACGGAAGAGGCTCGGCCATGATAACCAACAGGAAGGTGTGTCCTGTAACCAATGGCAACATGATGAGCCTGAATATGCGTGTATCAAAGATCAACATCACGTAACATGAAGTGTATAAGACAAGGCTTATATCTTTACAACTAATCATAGAATTAACAAACATGTAAGCATTTACAAACACTCACCAGTTAGGCATGAGCGCATTTTCTGGTCCTCGGGAACATTACACCGACATTGTATGCATGGTACCTTGAAGAGTAGAAGTCGGTGTAATCCCCTGATGAATGGAAACGCAAAGAAATGACATCATCTGTACTTAGTTGAGCCTGGACTAGACAATCTGGTGACTGACAAGAACAACCACCCATGCCTTCAGGCTATTTTAACAGGCTATCAAAGAAGTCACTGAATATGACTACTCGATCCAGTAAGTTGTCGTATACAACAGACCACTGGGAAACAATTTTAACCCAGTGTTCCCATGTAGGCTGTGCAGCTGTATGTCATAACTTCATTTATAATGTTTATCAGCACAGTCTCATAAAAATCAGATTTCAGAGTTGTCTGTACTTCCACCAAGATTGTGAATATAGCCCATGTCCAGTGTGCCCGTTGTCATCCACTGACACAACTGACTACTAAATGGAATAAAGAGTACTTAAGTATACTTGTACAAATGAGTGTGTGAGTTGATGTTGGTATTCAAGTGCATTCATACTTAAAGGTCACATGCAACGTAAAACACAACTTTGCAGATTCTGATACCTTTCGGTATGGACTTACAGATACAAATCATCAAAAATGCAAATTCAACTTATAAAGTTGAAAAATAACGCGATGACACCCCCCCACCCAACCCCAAAATCTGAGTTCAATCGATTCACTGTTGGTTTCAACAGCTGCGCTGATAGCAAATGTGCAGTGAAATAGGTTCGCGCAGCTTGGAAGCGGGATGTCCCTATTATAAGGTCATGAGCAGGAGTAGTCTAATCAAAACAAATAGTAAATAATCTACTCATTACATAAAAGAACCTTGATAGGATCTAGATCTACTCAGCTATGTGTCAACCAGTGAGGCGTTCAACATTTCAAGACAGAAAACCTTCGCTGACGGTGAATACTCGTTGAAGGCTTTGATGTCAGCTATTTTTCTAATGTTTTGTTGATATTCCACAGGCGCGAGCTTTTTATATGCTCTGACTGGGTTCGGTATCCCAGGTGTTTTCTTTCAGGGGAAGTAAACCCAAGTACAAAATATTGCACTTTTGATTTGCGACTGTACGCTTATAATTTTGTTTATATGTTTTTTCATAATCAGCAATGTATATTATATGTCGTGAATAAGTGATAATTCTGTTTTAATTATGTTTGATTTTTTGGATGCATGTGGCCTTTAATCTGTAAACACTGTTTGTGGTTGTATTGGGGCATATATCTGTCTACAAACACACAAAAGTCATGAAACTTTGAATTAGTTACCGATCTTGGCTGGTAGATGCATTGTAGCTTGACTTTGGGGTACAAATGCTCTGAAAAACCAATGTCATCATGTCAACAGTTTTATTTAGAACTACCAGACTAAGTAACTAATGCAACAATAAATTCGAACAAACCTGTAGAGGTTGATGATTCTTTGAAGAGACTCCTCCTTGGGGTACTTATAAGCATTTAAATGTCCATTTTAAATTCCTACGACAGTTGTAACTATAGTTTGAATAAAATATTTACAAAACAAAAAGCTACGTTTTTGTCTTATTGGACCACGCCCGACAGGCCCAGAATGGACATGTCCGCCAAAAACAGGTAATTTTAGGCGCTCTCCTCGTACCTCACTTTCCATGCTGAACGTGATCAGACAGAATGTGGGGAGGCAGGTGGCCCCACCCCAAGGAGGACTCTCTTCAATGAATCATCAACCTCTACAGGTTTGTTCGATTCTTTTTCATAAGAGATCCTCCTTGGGGTACTTATAAATCAGACTCCTACAGACAAGAATCCGGGAGTGGCATTCTGTCTAGTGACCATAACCCTGTGAAACAAGTGGAATTCCCTAATCTAAAAATAGATGAAAATCACAATTACCCAATCACATGTCCTCAGTACGCAGGATGGGCCAGGGCACAGGGGTCGGACAAAATTAGTTACATGTAACTAATTCAGCCATAAACATAGCAGGTCCATCTATCCTTATACTGAAATTTGTCAAATCCCTCCGCGAAGCCAGAATTGTGTCTGCAACTGGTGCAGGAATTCCGACGCCTTACATGCCTCTAGGCGATTCGGACAGTGGCCAAGCCACCCACTGAATCCTGGAATTCAGGTGGGTAAACTACCCGAAGCGCCATTCTGAACATAGTGGTTTTTCCGGGTCGAAGGGTATAAAGTAGTACAGGAGGCTGAACCAGAAACCTGATGATTACCACTCAAATCGTTAGAACCAGCTTTGAGCCGACCAAAGAGGTGCAAAAAGTAGTTGAGCTGGCTGGGTGGATAGCTGCTACAGGACTTTGGGAATTAACTGTGTTGATGGGAGCACCCACAGAACCTTTACCGTCCAATCGAGATGGAAGGCATCGTTGGCTATCGCCCTCAGATCCAGAACCTCGAGAGCAAAACACTGTTATCTGGTTCAATACACTTATCTGCCCCAGAGGCAAACAGATCTACTTGGAACAACCTGTACAACTGGGAGATAACCTCGAATATCCCCTGATCTAACATCCATTTGTGAGGGGCTAGAATACATCGAGAGAGCATCTACTCGAACGTTGTCTGTCCCTGGGAGATAAACGGGCATCACCCTGATGTGGCCACACCTCCCGCAGGAGGGACAGAGACACCGTGCCACCTTGCTTTAGGATATAGGTCATGGCCATCTGGTTGTCCATCTCTAGACAAACCACCTGTCCTCAAACATGCTCCACAAAGCTCTCGAACACCAATCGGACTGCTCTAAATTCTAGCAAATTGATGAGCAGACTGGACTCGGTCTCCGACTATAGGTCTGAGACTGACTGGTCTCCCAGAACACCCGTTCTGGTTGCGTCCTGTGAGGGATGCGTCTATCTGAATCGAGAGCGTTGGCATCGGGGACTCCAGGGGTATAAGTTCTTGACGTCTGTCCACCACCGTAGATGAGGAATCGACAGCGTTGGCATGGGGGACTCCAGGGGTATAAGTTCATGACGTCTGTCCACCACCGTAGATGAGGAATTAACCAACTCTAGAAATCGTGGGCATCGAAAAGTTCCTGACCATCTGAGCTTTCTGAGCTTTCTGAATGGGACCACAGCTGAGCCAGAACTTGCTGTATGGGTCTCATCCTCAACCGCGCATGCCAAACCACGTCCACCATCGCTGCCATGTTGCCTAGAAACTGGAGCTATGTTCGATCAGAGGCCCTGGGGGACTCGAGAAACTGTGACACAGTCCTCTGGACTTGGTGATACAGTCTTGCGACAGTGAAACAATACCTCTGTCGGTATTGAACCTCGCCCCCAAGAAAACCTGATCCTGCGCTGGAACAAGTTCTGATTTCTGAACAAGATTGATGATCCAGCCCAGCCTGACAAGGATATCCATCACTGAGTGAGTGGTATCTGGGCTTAAGTGCTGGCCTAATGCCCTGAGAAGCCAGTCGTTGAGGTATGGATGACAAACCCGACCCTGCAACCTGGCTAGCTGAGCTGGAATCAACATAAGTTTGGTGAACACTCATGGCGCCGTGGAGATGCCGAAGGGGAGCACACGAAACTGGCAGCACTGCCCGTCAAAGGAGAACCGGAGGTACTTCTTGAACTCAGGGTGCATCGGAACATGCGGGTATGCTTCTTTGAGGTCTATTGACGTGAGCCAATCCCCTGCCTCGACGGATGAGATCACTGAGCGCAGTGTCTCCATCCGGAAAGACAGCACCTGAATGAGTTTGTTTAGACCCCTTAGGTAGAGAATGGGTCTGAACCCTCCGTCCGTCTTGGTCACTATGAAATACGTGGAGTAAAATCCCTTGTTTTCTTGACCGTCTGGAACCACCTCGATGGCTGCCTTGTCTAGCAACGCTAAGACCTTGGCACACACTACCGCCAACCACACACGCGCGCAGGCCCATGACCAAGGCCATCATCTGACCAGTGCAGCTTCATAAGCTATCCCTAGCCAAAGGACGACGAATTGTGAACGTTCCGGCTTTGATCTGCCAACTCTCCCTGTAAGGCTGAGAGATAGGCAGAATGGATCACCACTCTGAACTTTTGAGCTGCATTCCGGTACTGCTCCTCGAAGGAGCGATACGTGGATCTCAACGCCTGAGCGTTCGCCTGGAGCGGCCTTGCCGTGCCAAAGGAACAGATGAGCCAGACGAACCATCCAGTGTGACAGAGGTGTAAACGCACTCATCGACAACTGGAGGCACTAAGAGAGACCCCTCCCCCAAAAGGTAATGGCGGCTTAGATCTGGGAGATTGAAGTGTGATCGTTACCGGTCAAGAGAGGTTCGACACTCTTTCACTTCATTTAACAACAACTTCAGCGACCTTTGTGGGAGCAAAAGCCTCTCCAGGCAGACGAAATTTCGCAGGGTCAGGCCCCGGCTCAGGGAGAGGGAGAAACGCTGCGATCCTTTCACTCACTTCCCTCAGGGCTGAACGAAAGAGGTCTTAACCTCATCCCCGGCGTCACTCCATCCTCTTCCATATCTTCCTCATCCCGAGGCTCATGAGCCAAACTCTCGTGATTGAGAGCTGACTAAGAGCGAATACCCGAGGTTGAATACAGAGGACTCAGAGGATCTGACAGAGACATATGGTCCGGATCATCAAATCCCCGGTTCGAGATTGAGCCGTAGCGCCAAGACGACAGGGAAGCATCCACTGAAATGGAAGTACCCAAGGCTGGCATACAGCGAGACGCGAGGAGGGCAAGCCCCGGTGCTCATGGTAGCCTCTCGGCTGAGTCACCGGAACCGGGAGCCTGCACCGCATCGGAGCCGAGGCTCGGGTTGGGGACAGGGCCCAAGGGACGACCTGTACCAGAGCTAAGGCTTGGGTCCGATCTATCCCCGGAGGTATGGCCGATCCCAGAGCTGAAGCTCGGGCCGGGACCACCCCCCACAGATGCACCGGATCTGTCATGTGCTCCAGACTTGGTACCGAGCTCCTATCAGAGTTCGAACACCACACCATGGATCAACGACTTGACCGACACATCTGCTGCTGGGAAAAGGAAGATATTTCATCAAATGTTAATGTAGGCGGAACAACAGCAGAAGCAGAAGGTGTGGGGGGAGGTAAAGCAAGACTAAAGGGGACAGATTCATTAGAAAATTTAGCCTTCTTCCCGCCTTCTTCTTAGAATGCTTTTTTGATGGGGATCTTGTGCCCAAATGTCGCCCTCAGCCCTGTGTAGCTTTGAGTTGAACATATAGTCGGCGTGCCTTGGGAGTGAATCCCAGACATATGGAGCATTGCTGATCGTCATGCCCCTCTTCTACCAAACATCTCAGGCAAGCCTGGTGGGGATCCTAAGGTGGGAGCACAGAACTGCAGTTTTTAAACTGCAAAAGGTGAAGAGATCACAGATACTAAAATGTTTAAGTGTTAACACTAAAAACATGAAGCAGCAATACGCATGGGCGATAAAGTAAAAACTATATGGCATTCAAGTAGCTAAAGAACGTAGTATGCAATGCCCATAATTCCAATAAAAGTTATATAAAACTTGGAAGCATACGTAAAATATTTGCATGAGAGCAACGTATGACACGCATATGACAATTATACAAAAATTGGGAAGCAACCTTCACAAAATAAACGGTAACCCACAAACACATAGATAGAAAAAGCCACAGCTAAAAACCTATGCACAAATGAGAGTAATAGCGGTTGTTATCTTGCTAGCCACATGGCCAGAAGACGGGACTGGCAAGGAAAGTTACAACAAAGATGAATGAAAATTCACGAGAACTGACTAAATTTACCGCCCATACTATAAAACAGTAAGTAACCACCCATGCAGTATTGGAGACGGAACCACTCATCTTAGGAATTCAACTTGTAGCAAGCTAATGGAACACGCGCATGTCTTCGCAGAAGAACGACAGCATGGAAAGTGAGGTACGAGGAGAGCGCCTAGAGTTACCTGTTCTTGGCAGACACATCCATTCTGGGCTCGGTGGGGGTGGTCCAATAAGACAAAAATGTAGTTTTTTGTTTTGTAAATATTTCATTCAAGTTACAACTGTCGTAGGAATTTATAATGGACATTTAAATGCCTATAAGTACCCCAAGGAGGATCTCTTATGAAAAAGAATCATTGTTAGAATCAATGCCAGTCTAGTTAAAAAATTGCCAATCTTGACTAAGGTCTGTACAGAATTTTAAAGGGATCTCATCAATTTGTTCAATAGTCATCATAACCTGTCCAAAGTTTCAATCAAATCGTTATTCTTGCAAACTGAATCAAAACTTAGCCAGTTGGTTTTGTATTTAGGTAATTAGGTTATTTTAGATATATTATGTTGAGCTACAAAACTGCTGCATCAAGAATCTCCCCTAAATCTGTAGCGACTTATAATGTCAAACTCTTACAATACTACAGAGATTTCCACCAGGTTGATTTCTGTAATGACTTTAAAACTGAAAATCATGGACAAACCCTTACTTTGCCCTGAGTTCAGCATCGTCACGCAACATGCCTTCAGACACGGACAGAATCTTCTGTAGGACCCCTCTTGCTTCCTGCCATGCTGGTCGACCCAAGGCCATAAAACTGTTCAGAGTAGGCTGTAAAAAAATTAAAAAATTAAATCAAAGGTTATGGTTAACCCTGGAAAAACCCATGACACATTTCACTTAATGTACTACAACCAATTAGCATAAACCTAGAAATTACAGAAATATAGACACCAATTGTCACATCACTGTTAAACTAAAACAACCAAATTTGGGGGTGACTAGAGCTAACTTTTCACATCACTGTTAAACTAAAACAACCAAATTTGGGGGAGACTAGAGCTAACTTTTCACATCACTGTTGAACTAAAATCAAATTTGGGGGTGACTAGAGCTAACTGTTCACATCACTGTAAAACTAAAACAACCAAATTTGGGGGCGACTAGAGCTAACTTTTCAGTGGACTTGGACTAATGAGGCTGTGTCTAGCCATGATACAGATCTGGGGAAATGATCAGGGTCAGCTTAACACTTTTTTTAAAGTTTCACACTTAGCAAGTCATCAGTATTAATCTTACCTCATCAAAGACAGCCTGATGAGACTTCAGTTCTGCTCCATCAAAGAAATGTTTCACTTGACTCAGGTCTAATATCTGGTCACCAATGGCAACTCCAATTCTGTTGCGTGGCTGGAACACATCCAAAATACAAAAAGTAAAGGTCTGTGTCCACCATACACGGTCACAGCTATGACGCAACAATGAAGAAAAACAAAACACGCAAGATAATTTAAGGATGATAATTTATGAAGAATACTTCATTCTTGCTTAACAATGGTATGAGGATCTAGATCTACAGAAACATTGTCTCCTAATAGAATAAAGATGTCGTCATCCATAAAGTATCTTGCCTTTACTGTTCCTCACCAGTTTCTAAAATGCCATTCTAGCATGGCTGTGTACATGATACTTGATTCTGATTAGCTGATAACTGACCACGTATTGCCAAATAACACTAGACTGGTACACTCCACTTCGCCTCCTCCACAAAATGCGCGTGACTGCTCCAGTGTATGCAAACCAGTCTAACCTAGAACTCGCTGACCCTACTGTTTGTACACAGACATATACAAACATGTCAGAATAGGATATCTGTGATTTTCATCTTGGTAGCCTCACAAGGTGTTTGGAGACCAATTTGATCTAAACTGGCATGTCTGGTCCATTCTAAATTGGAAATAATGAGTGAGTGAGTTTAGTTTTATGCCGCACTCAGCAATATTCCAGCTATATGGAGGCGGTCTGTAAATAATTGAGTCTAGACCAGACAATCCAGTGATCAGTAGCATGAGCATCCATCTATGCATTTGGGATACAATGACGTGTCAACCAAGTCAGCGAGCCTGACAATCCGATCCCTCTTATGACAAGCATTATGTCACGATGTAACCGACGTCACGATGCATGTCGGTTGTCATCGCCTCGTACAGCCTCCTACAGTAAACTACTCCGTTGCATTATGTTTTTTGGGTTTGCAGTTGCTTCATACAGCTAACATCACTGGTGGAAACATTACGTTTATGTTTTCCGATGGATAAAATATCTCAGTTCGACAATTTGACAGCGATACGGCAACATTTATAATGTTTACATTCCCACAATACATCCGTGGAATGTTGCGTCACTAGTCAGCTTCCTCTGGATGTACTGATCTAAATTTACGTTGGTAGTAGAAATGCGACGTTCATATTGCCCCATATGACTTACGTTAATCACAGATGCAATTAAAATAATTTAGAGAAGATATTTAACCCGAACGTAAGCTGTCATCAAACTGTTTATCATTTGTTTTTCTAAGGACGTTAGTCTTAACGTTAGGGGGCAGACACGTCAATAGAACATAGGGCTGGGACGATACACTATGTGACGATACGATAAGTATCGCGATATTTTACCTGCGATACAATACGTATCACGATACATACACCTTGAAAGAATGCCACGGTATTAAGATTTAAAAAGATTTATTTCAAGGTATTTGTGTATACGATAACACTATTGTAATAAACAAGTAACTCTATCATAGTTGCGTATTTTTCTCTACATAAGTATTTTAACATGTTTGATATAATACTGTTTTGAAAAAAAACAGTTGTGCATCGTTTTGTATCGATACACCAGTGGACGATACGATATCTGTATCAAACTAGAATGTATCGTGATGTATCGGTGAATCGGTGAATCGTCCCAGCCCTAATAGAACAACGCGTCAGTTAGCCCAGAGCGAGGATTCTTAATTTAGGACAATGACACCGTTGTTTGTTTTTTGCCTTAGATTAATCTTAATTATCCTTAGAAAGTATTAAATTTGGCATCTCACTGGCAAACAAAGATAAGTTGGACCAGCGCAGACAGCACGTTTACGAGAAGTAGGCGGTGCACGGCAATGAGCAAACCCATTTGGTTTGTGAAAGGTAGAGCAGATGTAGGCTAGTGCAGGTGCATTGCATACCGATGAAATTGATTCCGTGCGTAGCTGTACACGCCATGCTCATAAGACTCTCACGTCGGTGTAGCAAGTCACACTACACTTGATCATGGACAACCTGGGGCCCCTTTGCTAGCAATGGCAAGCGCTAGTGGGTGGCACTCATACATGCTAATATGGTGCTCAACTTATCCTTGTTTGCCAGTATAAAAAGAAATACAGTTTGCCCTACCACCATGTATAGTGTAATAAAGCACACTTTCACCCTGAACTATTATAGTTAAGCACGAGGACGCTTGCGTCTGAGGGCTTTAACGTTATAATAGTTCAGGGCGAACGTGTGCTTTATTACACTATACATGGTGGTAGAGCGTACTGTATTTCTTAAATAGCAGTGTGGTGATGAATAATTTCATCAAAGAGTAGAGTTAGCAAGTTCAAGGAAGTGGGTTACAGAGCTCTAGATAAGCATTTTCCAATCTGGGTATTGTACCCATGGTGTCTTTTACAAATGGGTACTACTGATCTTCAGTGGGTACTTAAATTTTCCGACACCCACCTTTTTTTTAAAAAGTTGGGTATTTTCTATGTCAGTAATTTTAACATGTTAAAAAAGATAACCATAGCTAATTGTTTGTACTTCAGACATTAACCTGGTCATTGTTTAAAGAGAAATTTAAAAAAAGTGACGTTTTAAGTTACTTTATTATTTGACTTGTGCAGTGACCACATTGAAATGCAAACATGTTGGCGTGATAATCTACCCGGTCTCGTAACATTTGACAGTTAGCTACTTTCTGTTACGCATCTGTTTCTTACCGGTAAATCAGGGTACGCAAGTCATCATAACCAAAACGTTTCTGTAATTTCCTTTGCGTATTTGGGACACTACAGATATATTTCAGCGCGTATTTTGGAAATGTCAATGAGTATTTACGCAGATATGCAGCTTATCTAGACTTCTGGGGTTGACAGTCACCTCACAGGCAAGTCAGTTAGTAATATGCCATGGTGATGGAAATGGCTTTTCAATTTCACTTAATTGGATAAAAATGGCTTAGGTGGTGTAAACTATGTTACTAACATAAGTATATCCACATATTAGAAACAAAAAAAGTTGTTCAAGTATTTTTGAATAAAATTGTTAAAGTATTGAAAACATTTTGTTTCATTTGTTGCACAACCTGTTCTTAAGTTTCCACACAGATTCCTGGAAAAAAGACCTATGCAACCTCTGTACGTGCTCTTGTGGGTGCAAGTGTCCTGATAGTGATGGGTGCAAACTTGTTTTCAAGCTGGTACGAAGCTTTTTCTGTGCTCAATCCAACTTGACTTGAAACACATCAGCTAAGATTAGAAACCGAACTATACTGAACAAATTTGTTTAATGAGGACACACTGCCATATTGTACAAACATCTGAGGATTATACAGGTCTTTAAGTCTGTCAGCATATATTACAGGCAACATCTACCTCAATTGTTAACATGTCAACCTGATATCTCACCCTAAACTGAATAAATGGGATCCCATTACAGAGATGCCAACCCTAATTCAGCCCAATTCGTATTATGGCCAAAAACTGATGCAAAAAACTAGTATTTTGGGGAAAAAATTAGTATTCACCTTTCCAAAGAATTGTCAAGCGAGTCCGGTAATTCTGTGTGTCCGGTAATTCTGCGCAGCTGCAATAGCGTACTTCCGTATCGAAGGTAAACATCGTCTGCTACCACATTTACGCTTGAAATCGGGACATTTCTACAAGGGACTGGCTTTTAATCACTAAAGGTAAGTAAATAATAGTAATTGACAGATAAATTGACAGTTTTATGAAAATTTGTTTTCTTCAGATTTTTAAACCATTTTCTACATAATTCATAATTGGATTTAATATGAAACACTCTTCCTTACATTTATGAAATGATTTTTGAAAATAATCTGGCCCTAATATGCTTCCATACTTCGGATCTCCAGCTGGATGTTATGCGCATCAGTTGCTGCGCAGAATTACCGGACAGCAAGCGATGTCTTCAGAATGCCGGTAAGGTCAGCTGTATGACATAATGCAACGTTAGAATCTTATAGTCGTCAATAAAACTTATCGTCAAGTCATACAAGTTCGATCGACATGTAACTTCGATCGCCCATGTTGAATGGTATAGTTTGGCATCAAATGCATTTTTGTAAATATCTCTTCATCCAATGACCCAATCGATCTCAAACTGTGCAAGTGGATGTCAGACAACCTAATCACATTGTAAATCACCGATTTTATGCATTTGTATGAAAGAATCTGTCTATGTAACTGTCAACAAAATAAACAGCAGAATGCAGACGGCTTGCAGAGGGAGGGAGCCAATGACCTGTAACAGCGGCAGTGTTGGGTCATAAAGGTCAACGTTCGTCAATGTAGGTCAGCTATGCTGATGACCCTGATGTCAAAAGAATCTAACTTTGGATGCCTACCTTTTTGTACAAGGTTTTGTTTATTGGTTGTTGGTTTATTTTTCACAATTTTTAGCACGATGTTCTTTTTCATGCCAAGAGCAAAAGTTGTACGTTTCATGTAATCCGACACCTTATAAATTGGTTTGCTACGTTTGCTCTCTTTTCCAAAAAAAATTCAACACATTTCTAATTAAACGTTTAGCATCATCTGAATAAGCTTTCATGATGACAGCTAGAAGTAGTCAATGTGAATGATCCAAACAGTCTATCACTGTGCAGTGCACAGGTAACTATCATGAACTGCACGTGCATTTACCTTTATGACCCAACACTGCCGCTGTTACAGGTCATTAGCTCCCTCCCTCTGCAAGCCATCTGCGTTCTGCTGTTTATTTTGTTGGCAGTTACATAGACAGATTCTTTCATACAAATGCATAAAATCGGTGATTTACAATGTGATTAGGTTGTCTGACAAAACATCCACTTGCACAGTTTGAGATCGATTGGGTCATTGGATGAAGAGATATTTACAAAAAAACGGGTCCATATGCATTTGTTTGGACCGGAAAATGTTTCGTGTCAAGTTACCAAACGTAAGTTATAGCTCATATTCAGCAAACAACTACTTTTTAACCCTAGATCAATAATGTAACTTTATCAAATAAAATGTAAACAGTATTTATTTCACACGTTGTAAATTGACAGCACACCTGTCTTCTGTTTGTTTACGTTGCTGGTCTAATTGTGACATAACCAGACACGTGATATCCTTGTCAAAATTTAAAACTTTGGAAACAAGTAAGGGCCATTTCTTATAGAAAACTTAATGCTTTTTGAGAATTTCCGTCAATTTGTACCTGATGATGTTCGAGCTATTGCCGCATTGATAAATACAACCTGGGCACAATGTACCCACCCTACATGTCAGCACAGAACACATTTATGATTCTGCAAACCAGTTTGTGGTGTTTGTCAACATTCTGAGGTTTGATGCCTGTCATGATGAGCCTGAAGAATAATTCCCTGCATAATACTTCTATATAAGCTGAATATTTTTTACTTTTCATCGTTTTTAGAAGTATTGAAACATAAAATGAACGTTTCATGGACATTAATACCATAAAATTACTTGGGACTGCTCTAACTCTGAATTTGACACAAGAGATCGTCCACACAAGTCATCCTGTTTACGCGACAAGCCAGGCAATCATATGATCGAACTTGTGTGACATAGCTTTCTGGGTCACTTGTGTTGACAGTGAGAGGGCGGCCATGCCGCGATTGTGAAAAGCAGTAAAAATACCTGCATTTTGGAAATGTTTGACATAAATAAACAAATTTAGAGGTAAAAGATTTGAAAATAAGATCATATGAATATAACTTTGAAAATTCAGCGACAGTTCTTAAGTGATCGAACTTACATGACACAAGGGTATATTTCTAGGTAAATATGATGCATAACAGCATGTTTAGTCACGTAAACCACAAAAAATAAGAGACGTTAGTTGCCGTGTTGCAATCGATGTGCTTAATAGGTGCACGGAATTACCGGACGGCATTGCATATTTGTGGCAGTGTCATATTTTACATTTTATTTATTTATTTGTGTAAATACATTTTTAAACAGTTTGGTTGTGGTAGTTTTATTGGATTAGGTTTTTCTTAGAGTATGTTTGGTATTTGTCTCCAGCTTGATTACCCCAAGCTGGACCTGGGCTCCTATTGTATTATTGTGGGAGAGCAGGGTGTTCTTTTGTTCTTAACTCAGAGGGCAAGCTATTCCTTGATCTCTGATTGGTCAGTTTTATGTTGTATGATTTCTTCTTTACAAACATCAGCACATTTTAGTCAGTCTACCACATACAGCCGCACGAGAAGCATCTTACATATGACGTACGTGATATTTTTGACAGACGTCGGATTTCTTCTCTTTGGTCTACAACTTCACTCTGTCTAAGGTTAGTTAACTTAATTATAAACATATTATGTAGGATGTAATATTTGTTAACTATAGTTATATCACAAACATTATTCTTGCTTAGGTTACAATATTAAATGTGTGATGTGAAGGTATGAATATATTGTAAGTCAAATATTGTGTGTTGATAGGCTTGATTTTCATGTTTACTGCATCAGCATTTTCATTATAAGTTTATTAGTAATAATTGTAATCTTTTATGAAGTCAGGTGACACACAAGCATGTGTACCTGCTTAGCGGCCATCTTTGTCGGCCATGTTGTCTACTTGATGGTACATGTAATGTCTGTGCCACTTGAGATATCGTATTATTTAACAATTGTTCATTGTATATATTTATAAGAATATCACAGTACACATAATGTTCTGCTGTAAGGTATATGTATATGTTTATTAAGTAGGTTTGTTTTAAAGAGTGATATATGTTTCATTATGATATATTAATAGGTTAGCATAATATACTTAATTGTGTGTTATATCACTTATAGATGGACATGCTGTTTCACTAAGGTGGACAATGTAATAGCACCTGAGTACCATATATTTGGTAGGTATTTTATCCTTTTAATGTGTTTATATTTCATGTATATATCATTGCCACAGATATGTGTTCCCTATGTGTTCCCTTGATATTGTAATATTTTGCTGCTGCAATTAATCCATATAATACCTTTTTGTGAACTGCATGTGTTTATTACTTATGTTGATTACTTTCTTGGAATTGATGCAGTTCAAGTAATTTGTATTACAATGAATATATTGTGATAGGTATATACTACTCAAAACAAGTTAAGGGTCATGCGATGTCATCATGTAATGTTATTGATGAGGCTGGTTGCATTATGTATAAATACAATTTTACATTCCGTATATGGTAGTTTATTCAAAACCATTGCAGAACCTGGATAAAGGCTGCAGATAACCAGGTGCCAATAGTCATCATGTGGTAGGGCGTTTAAAAATGAACAAATTGAAACATCGAGTGCTTCATAGAAGCGCCACCACTGTGTGTGTGAAAGATGATGTTTCATCATGAACAACATGTGCACATGTTCTTCGTGGGATTAGTGCTGTGCATGCTTATTTTCCCTATAAAACTTGTAATTTTAAACTTTGTTATTGTCACTTGAAATTCAACAATAGCAAGGTCAACTGAGCATGACAGACAGAGGAAGAGCTCTTGCGTGGCTTCAAGATGGCGAACCTCAACGCAGTGTGGCTCAGAGGCTAAATGTGAGTCAGAGTGTCATTGGAAGGTTATGGCACCGGTTTCGTTTCACTGGAATGCTGACTAATCGACCACATTCTGGCAGGCCTCCATCAACAACTCCTAGAGAAGACCGACACCCGACAAATATGGCTCTCCCACAATGCAGAGTAGCTGCCAGACAATTCCGTGACCAGCTGAGAACTGCCACAAGTACCCTGGTATCTGATCAGACTGTCAGGAACCGACTGACGAGGAACAATCTTCGGACACGGTGACCAGCAATACGACCACCCGCTCCTTCAGCGACACATGATGGCAAGACATGACTGGTGTAAACGCCATGTTCGTTGGCTTACGCGTGCTCAGTGGGCATCAGTTCTTTTCTCCGGCGAGTCTAGGTTTACTCTACATTTCAATGATGGTAGAACTTCGTGTGTATCGGCGTCCAGGAGGGAGGTTTGCTGGCGTTAACGTCAACCAACGTTGCCATTTGGAGGCGAAGTGTCATGGTTTGGGTGCGTTTTCCTTTCATCAAAGGTCACCTCTCTGTCATTAATGGTACCCTGAAAGAAATGCGCTATCTACAGGAGATTATCAGACCCCTTGTTTTGCAATGTTTACAACGTTATCGGCGTCGGATCCATATTCGAAGGTGGCAATGCCCGACCACACCGTGCCCTTGTTGTGACGGACTTCCGTAGACAGAACAATGTTCAGCACATGGAATGCCCGGCATATTCAGCAGATTTAGCCCCTATGGAGCGTGCTTGGGGCGAGTTGGGGCGTCGGCTTCGTGGTAACAACCACGCCCTCCCAACAACCGTGTAGAACTGGCCCAGTATCGCATTGCAGAATGGCAGGCAATACCTCAAGTCTTCTTCCAACGTCTGGTGAACAGTATGAGACAGAGGTGTACTGCTTGTCTTACTGCTTGAGGTGGTTACATCCGTTATTAGTCCAGTGTTGGCGTTTGAATTTTCACTTCTGACAGTAGGTCACTTTGACCTTATTGATCAGCCATAACTGACATTCCTGCTGTTTTTGTCTCCCGCTATGGTTATCATGAAATGTTGGCTCGAGTTGTTATATGATCGCTACATTTTACTGTTATTTATATTTGTAGTTATGGCCATTAAAAGTTTTGAACCTTAACTTGTTTTGAGTAGTATATATGATTATTATCAGTAATTGTAACTTTTATGTGTAATCTGCTATATTAGTACAGATGTGATATGACTGTTTTATTGATTATTGTTATTATGTTACAGGGTGAAAACAAAACAAACTATATGTTTGAAAAATAAAGTAGTGGCACAAGTCACAACTCACACCCCAGCAGGCGTTGGTCTTCATTGAACAAAACCACCCCTTACCCTGCTACATATTTAATACAGAATATATAGATATTCTAAGAACTTGTTATTAACATTGTACTCACCTAAATCAGTAGTAAGTATTCACATATTAATTAATGCTGAAGAAAATGTGGTTGCAAATTATTGTGTATGGTACATATGCTATTGATAATTTAATGTATTTTTTTAAAAATCGTATATTTTTTCTACTATCGTAGTCGCGTATTTTGTGTTGTTTTTTCGTAACGATTACGATAAAATCGTATGAGTTGGCATCTCTGCCCCATACAGTACCCTGGAATGTCTGTTCAAATCTATAATTTAATAAGCAGGACTTTGAAGTCTTGATTCATTTGCTATTTTAGTTTAAAATGAATTCAGGCACAGATGTTTGGAATGGCCACGTGACATAAAACATATTTAACAACACATGCTGCCGGTGTTTTACTATGATTGAAGGCGTGTACAATAGCGAATTTTGATTGGCTATAAATACCATCGCCTCAGCGAGTTCAAGGTCATATGCTAGCCGATCTCTTTTCTGTTTTAAATTCGATACTTACGTTATCAGCAGTAGAAAATACACCATAAGGTAGATTTTGAATTGGGAAGTGGCTGTCCGGACTAACGGAGACGAATGACATTGTGAAAGGTTGATTTTTCAGTGAAAAGTTAAGCACGCTCTCTACACACTCGGAGTCTGTTCGGGATTTTGACCAAGTGAAGCTGATTGTATTAGTTTCGATAGATATACAAAATATTCACATTTGGATAAACAATACAGGAACAGACACACACACTAATAATATTCGCTATAAAACATATTTATACAAATGAATATGATGCAAAATTATTCATTATCTTCAATAAACCAAGTAATGTTACTTTCGTAGACAAGGTTAGCATGAAAGGGGAGTAACTCTAGATAATTTCCCCCAAAAGAGCAAAGGCTGGATTGAATCCGCAAGGATGTTCAGAAAATCCGTAAACACTTTAGCACCTCTTTTTCGCACCCGCTGTTGGCATGTCATTCGACGAAAATACCATTTGGATGAAGTTGCACCGATAGGCTCTCAGCCGGACATAAGTTCACCAGAATATCAGGTGTTATTTTAGAGACATTATTGTTGATACTCATTCTAATATTCACCATGTTCATGACAGTCCTCACTGGCAGTAAAGGCTATAGATTAACTATTGTCAGATCGTTAGACCATTACCAGTATCACGCAGAAACATTCCATTGATGCTGCAACCAGCTTCACTATTGTGTATGTGTTGTACTTTTGTTTTTGGCTGCATACAAATATACTCATACAGAAGCAAGAGTAAAGCTTAGCATAAGTTGATTCTTAGGATACTCTAAATATGATATAAAACTTCAAAAGCTGACAATATCCAGGTTTTATTTTGCATCCAAAGAGATTACATTGGGCATAAAAAGGGGAAAATAACACCAGAAGGCATCTCTTTTGTACATATGGCCACTGATAAATTGTATCTGTCAGAAGCAAGAAGAAAGTTTAGCATAGGTTCTTTTTAGCAAACACTAAATTATGATATGAATAACACCAGATACTAACTAATATTTTGTAAAAGAGATTCCAGTGAGCATGAAAGGCAAACTAGCAGCACAAATGCTAGAATGAATCGCTGAATATCAGTGATGACACCAGAGCTATGAAGGAGTTTCCTATTCTCGCGGTACTTATGGATATCAGCTGAAAAAATAACACAAGCAATTCATCGTTTGAATGCTTGTTGTTTTTAAATGAAGGGCCTTCTCCTCTAACATCTGCATCTATCAGCTGCTAGATCCATCAGGTGAATTACCAATGATAAGCAATGCCATCCGTCACTGACGAAATGAGGCTTCTCCCATTCTCGCGGTATAACGAGGAATTAACGTTATGGAGTGTATGGAAGAGCAATCCTGCCGGAAAGGGCGGGAAAAAGTTATATGTCCAAGTTGGTATAAACTCTCCAATAATCGTGACAGTGCAAGATTTTGATCAGTCACAGACTTGGGCCACTTCCTTGTTACCAGTCGGTGATGTAAACAACCGCTAAGTGTCAGCGATTTCAGCAGAAAACGTGTTTACCGGAAGAATAGGAAACCCGGGAGAACAGGAGACGCACGTATACGTGTACATAACAAAAAAGTGTAATCATGTCTGCCATACTGACCAATCACATGCTTGGCATGAAAACTATAAGTGTTTGTATCAAGGAAAATAGAGCATTTGGTCTTTAATTCCATTTGCAAATGCATAAATTTTTTGTGTCATTAATATTGAATTATGAATTTTCCTTCAGGATAATTATGTTCGCATGAAAGCACTTGTGGAGGAATTAAAACAGAATGTTGGAAGGATTTGTGAAGGTATGTTCAATTTATCACAATTCAGTTACATGATTAAACTGATGTGTCATTTCATAGCTTGACCAGGTGAAATGAGCAAGAGTAGCTCTGAAATGTCTTTCAACTTTCAAAGAATTGATTAATGCTGGGCTTTGATAGTGACTGTTAGTTTTAACATGGAAAAAACAACTTGTTCACAAAGCTTCATGATAAGTATCATTATCTGCACATGTCTATGTTCTGTGCCTTTGGCCACAGTGGCAAACCTCTTGTATAACAGAGTTATATTTGTTTCATTATTTACTAATACTATATCACTATGCTCTTTACACAAGGATCCTGCAAAGGCAAATAACAAAGGCATTTGTGACAAATAGGAACTGAAGCTACTTGTGTGAATTTCATGTGGTATTAGGTGAATACAGCTCACTCAGGCTTGTGTGAAGATTGTGTAGTACTGATGGAATACAGTTGATCCTAGCTAGTGTAAAGTCTATATATGTTCTGGTAAAATACAGCTTACTGGTGAGTTATGTGATCGTATAAAGTACTAGAGGAGTACAGGTGAAAGGGTATTCTTTGATTTTTCTTAAGTACTAGTTGTGATGTCTTACATCTGCAGGTGGCGGGCAAAAGGCCAGGGACCGACAGACCTCCCGGGGTAAGATGCTGCCAAGAGACAGAATCAACAACCTGTTGGACCCAGAGTAAGTTGACTCTTTCTCATTTGTCATCTTAATTGACAACTGTACAATACAAGAAAAGAAAATATCTTCACTCCATGCTTTGTTGCAGCATTGCATTATTTCATGGGATCATTTCACACTGAACATTGTCTGTAACAAAATGACTTAGTTTCTGCAAATAATGAAATATGAAAGCACGAAAGTTGTTGCTTTTAAGATGGATAAAATTGCTTGAGACAGGAGCCTGTAATTTTCTTAGAAAATCCTGTTGATGGTGAATTAGAATTTAAATATGTTGGATTTGTTGCAGGTCGCCTTTCCTTGAGTTGAGTCAGTTGGCGGGTTACAATTTGTACAAGGGAGAAGATGTCCCTGCAGGGGGGATAATCACTGGAATCGGGCGAGTATCAAAGTAAGAGAAGACGTCCTTTCAAGGGAGATAATTATTGGAATCTGGTGATTGTCAGGGTGAGAGAAGATATCCTTTCAAGGGGAATAATTTCAGGAATAACTCAAGTGTCAGGGTTATGGAAGACATCCTTTCAAGGGAGATAATTGCAGCAATTGGGTAAGAGTATTGGGTAATACATCGTTTCATGGGCTTATATCAGGTAAGAGAACACATCCTTGCAAGGGAGATAATCAGAGCACTCAGGTTTGTTTCAATGTAAGCACTGACATCACATCCTCCAGGCTGTAACATTTTTTTGTTGTTGTTGATTTTACTGGTCAGAAAGGAAATTTGAACAGATAAATGATGTTTTAATGGGGAAATGTCATGTATTGATAAAACTGTGATGGTTGCGAGTCATGTGTTCATTGTGTTGCAGTGTGGAGTGTATGATCGTCACCAATGACCCCACAGTAAAGGGAGGATCTTACTACCCCATCACAGTGAAAAAACATCTGAGAGCCCAAGAGATAGCTCAGCAAAACAACCTGCCATGTATTTATCTAGGTGAGGTGATTAATTCTACATATGAATATTATTGTGATAATGAAGTGAATGTTAAATTTCACAGTGCAGAGTTATGCCCCTTAGCTGTTCGTGTATCTCCTAACCCTGGACTTTCCCACATGATACAGTAACAGAAATACTGTTCATCCAGTGTTTGGATAATCTCTCTCGCTGTGCATGTGCAAGTAAGAATGTGAAGTATGATTATATGCCATGTACCATGTTTTCTTCTAGTGGATTCCGGCGGGGCTAATCTACCTCGACAAGATGAAGTCTTCCCAGACAGGGACCACTTTGGTCGCATATTTTTCAATCAAGCCAATATGTCCGCTCAAGGAATTCCGCAGGTAAAATGTATTGGCTTATTGGAATGTTATTCTACCAACTGGAGGTCATTCACTACAAGACCGCCTCCGTGGTGTAGTGGTTAGAGCGTCCGCCCGGAGAGCGGAAGGTTGCGGGTTCGATCCCCGAACTCGTTATACCAAAAGACGTTAAAATATGGTACTTGTTGGTCCCTGCCTGGCGGTCGGCATTAATGGGTACAACAAGGACTGGTCGGCTCGGAGTCAGTATAATGTGTCTGAGTGCGGTATTCATGCTTCACTGCGGCATGGTATCTCAGTGGGCTAGCACTATAAAACCAGCTTAAGTTTGGCCTAGTACAAGCAGCCGCACATACACATACACACGCATGCACGTCGTCATATGAGCGTTAAACCCAATTTCAACTCACCATTCACTACTATCTGAATGTAGACAGTCCTTGATATTTAGTAATGAGATGATTTTGTCATACACTGCATGTTTAGACTGCACAAGCTATGACTTCAAAAAGGTTAAGGTTACAAGTTACAATTCAAGTGTAAATCTATCTTCGTATCCTCGTATAATCCATATCATTCTATAAATGCTAAGCATTTTCATACATCTCCTTGAATGAATTTCTGAACTTGCACTTTTAGGACACACAAGAAGCATGTCATCATCACTGGTATTATCATTCATACTAGCTTGACTTCAGCCTGGTGGCCCATTATTATGAAAACCCTCATGGAATTATTAATTATCTCGTTATGAAATATTTTCCCTATCTGTGTGAAAAGTGAAATTTAGTACTTTTGGATTTAACCTGTGAAAGATTACAATTGGCATTATCGTGGCCAGTGTTTTGCTGATCAAAACCTGAGTTAATCATCATTTCTGCTTACGTGTTGTGTTGTGTTGTGTTTGTGTGTTGTATGTGTGGCTGAAACAGTGGTGTTAAAACAAATGTACAGCACTTCAAACAGAAACAGATGTGCTTGTGTTGCAGGTAGCAGTAGTACTTGGCAGCTGTACTGCGGTCGGGGCCTATGTCCCAGCCATGTCAGATGAGAGTATCATTGTCCGGAAACAGGGAACAATATTTTTGGCTGGTCCACCTCTAGTAAGAAATCTTTTAACAGAAAATAAAACAGTCAGTAGATACTGATATTAAATATGAGATGCCATATGTAAACACTATTATAATAATCTTGGAAGATATTATGTGACAGTAATTCTTTTATATTTTAGTCAATTTGTAATGAGAAAGAGCTGTATGTTTTTACTGATATTTTTGTGTTATGTTATCTCCTGTATACAGTCGACCAGTGAAGATCCGGGTTAGAATTGTTCTTCAATAACCCATGCTTGTCGTAAGAGGCAACTAACGTGATCGGTTGGTCAGGCTTGCTGACTTGGTTGACACATGTCATTGTATCCGAGTTGTGTTGATCGATGCTCATGCTGTTGATCACTGGATTGTCTGATCCAGACTTGATTGACCGCCTCCATATATCTGGAATATTGCTGAGTACGGCATAAACCTAAACTCACCTGTATACAGTTATATTTCATCAGTTTATTGGAGGTCAACACAAAATTCAATGCTAATATTCATGAACCATAAAATTAACAAATTTGTTTGTTTTGATGACATTTCATCTAGGTTCCTTTGAAGAATATGTTTCAAGTTTGTGGCCAAACTGATTCAACCTGATGAAATAGGCTGTTGTATTATTGCCAAGGGAGATAACTTCAGTGTTAGAGTGCCTTCCTACTGTTCAATTTGATAAGGCTGCCCACATGGCGATAACACCATGATCTAATGAACTGAGGTGGCATTGGCAAGGGAGGTAACTCCAGTGTGGTGGGGTGTCTTCCTGCTGTTAAACCTGATATGGCTAACTGCCCCCTGATTGTACGAGGTGTGGTGGTGTTACCAAGGGAGGTAACTCCAGTGTGGTGGGGTGTCTTCCTGCTGTTAAACCTGATATGGCTGCCTGCCTCCTGATTGTACGAGGTGTGGTGGTGTTACCAAGGGAGGTAACTCCAGTGTGGTGGGGTGTCTTCCTGCTGTTAAACCTGATATGGCTGCCTGCCCCTGATTGTACGAGGTGTGGTGGTGTTACCAAGGGAGGTAACTCCAGTGTGGAGGGGTGTTCCCACCGTTTAACCAGATATGGCTGCCTGCCCCCTGATTGTACGAGGTGTGGTGGTGTTACCAAGGGAGGTAACTCCAGTGTGGTGGGGTGTCTTCCTGCTGTTAAACCTGATATGGCGGCCTACTCCCTGATTGTACGAGGTGTGGTGGTGTTACCAAGGGAGGTAACTCCAGTGTGGTGGGGTGTCTTCCTGCTGTTAAACCTGATATGGCTGCCTACTCCCTACTGTTAGGAGCTGTGGTGGTGTTACCAAGGGAGGTAACTCCAGTGTGATGGGGTGTCTTCCTGCTGTTAAACCTGATATGGCGGCCTACTCCCTGATTGTACGAGGTGTGGTGGTGTTACCAAGGGAGGTAACTCCAGTGTGGTGGGGTGTCTTCCTGCTGTTAAACCTGATATGGCGGCCTACTCCCTGATTGTACGAGGTGTGGTGGTGTTACCAAGGGAGGTAACTCCAGTGTGGTTGGGTGTCTTCCCACTGTTAAACCAGATATGGCTGCCTACTCCCTACTGTTATGAGCTGTGGTGGTGTTGGTAAGGGAGATCGTATTGAGATGTCATATGTCGATTCTGATACCTGCCGACACAATGTCCTAATGCACTGTTGAGTGACATGTTCCGGAACTGTTTGTCCTAACAGGTGAAGGCTGCCACAGGGGAGGAAGTGTCAGCAGAAGACCTTGGCGGAGCGGACTTGCATTGTGGGTAAGAAATCACTCTCCCTGCTTGATTATCATAGCAAGTCGCATGAAGTCACAGCCCTACCTCATTATGCTTCTCCTTATCGATCACTGGATTGTCTGGTCCAGACTCTATTATTTACAGACCGCCGCCATATAGCTGGAATATTGCTGAGTGCGGCGTAAAACTAAACTCACTCACTCACTCTTCTTTTCATGTTAAAAATGGCACTGACGGGATCATCTAACAAATGCTCCTACAGCTCAACAAACGTGAGGAAATTAAGACAAATGGCAGGTCCAATAGTGAGTTACAAGGCAAAAGTGTTGATATATTTTTCCAGCCTGTTAGTGACTTGTGTGAACAACATGAGTTGGTAGATTTTAAATGTGCAAATGTACATTCATCTCTGGTTTCACAAAATATGATTTGTCACATGGTACTGTGCTAAATTGTTTTGTGATTTATTGGTGTGCTTTCAAGGCTTCCAGAAAATTTTCTGACTATTCTGAATTTCACGATGCCATTAGAATTTCAAGAAGCTTTGAACCCTGATCAGAATTTTGGGATTCTATTGAAATAGAATGGATTTTGAGAAATTGTTGTTGTTAATAAGCCCAGAACTGTCATCAGATTGTCAATGTTTTCATCTCATTATCAGTTACATTGTGTTTTTATACAAGTATAGTTACAAAAAGAATGACATTTTCATCAGTATCTTGACTAGGCATTGTTTAGTAGGGTGGGTATTGCAGAGAGTTTTCATATTGGCGATATATTGTGATGCTAAAGCATGTATTGCAACATGTGATGCAATATATTTCTCAAGTATTTTTAAACAAAAAACTATTTATAATCGAACTATTGTTTATAGAGCAAAAACACAACAAAAATCACTGTCAGATAAAGCATTACAAACTCATGGAATCTGTTAAAATAACAAATCTTAATAATTTTGTTAAAATGGATGTCTTTACATCTCCAACATTTCCGAAAGTGTTGTTTCTTTTCATAAAATTATCAAAATACCGTCTAGTAATCTAATCCATGTATTCCCATGCTTACATTTAGTGCTGTATTACAGGAAGTCAGGTGAATACATGACACTCTTTGTTTGGATAACAGATTCTTTTTTAGACTTCTGTCTAACGTTTCAGACACACATCAATAATAATAATAATAATAATAATAAGTGTAGTTATATAGCTGACTTCCACCACACAAAGGCAATGCTCAAAGCGCTAATTCTTGCTTCTTCATCAGGGGAATGGTGTATTCATGTTCGTCCAACTTCTAAATGCCTTTCAAAAACTTTATTCGACAGGAAGTCAGGTGTGACGGACTACTATGCCCAGGACGACCAGCATGCACTGCACCTGGCTAGGAGGGTCATTAGAAACCTTAACTACGAAAAATCTCCTGGGGTAGGAAAATACTACCCTTTTTTGATGACCCAATCAGAGATTTTATATTCCATTAGCTTGCCTCTGATTAAAACACCTGATTGGATGGCTGCATAATATCTACATATGCTATAGCTTTCTAAGCCATTATAGTGTAGAATGATTACTTTCCCCAACACATTTTCAGTAGGAATATGGATTTTACAAATTACCTTAAAAATGATAAATGGCAATACTATCCTACGACTTAGCATGGTGCTGAATAGTGGTAATGTTGTTGTAATTGTGATGTTTTTGTAACACAAGGTAACTATTGAGACCCCTGAAGACCCTCTGTACCCAAGTGATGAGCTGTATGGGATTGTAGGAGACAACCTGAAGAAAACCTTCGACATCAGGCAGGTGGGTAGCACTGCACTTCATAGCTGTGTAAACCCTTGGATTGAAGGGTTAACTATATCAGAACCTTTTGGGGTTTCAGGGTTACAATGTCTCTTCATCAACCTATCTTGGACTTGCATCACTTCAATGTTCCTCTCGATCACTGGATTGTCTGGTCCAGATTAGATTATTAACAGACTGCCATATAGCTGGAATATTGCTGAGTGTGGCGTAAAAACTCACTCATTCACTCACTCACTCACTCACACTCTCTCACACACTCTCTCTCTCTCTCTCTCACTCACTCACTCACTCACTCACTCACTCACTCACTCGGTGTTCTTCCCCCATCCAGCTGACAAGCCATGATATAACTGAGATTTAGTTCCAAACACAATTGCCTCACTTACTGTAAATGGTGTAGGATTGTAGCAGTGTTTCATATGTCATTATTGTCGGTGCTGTGTGTTCGTTTCTTGCAGGTTATAGCCAGGCTGGCGGATGGTAGCCGCTTTGATGAGTTTAAGGCAATGTATGGTGACACATTGGTAACTGGTAAGCTGGACAAATACTTTGAGTCATTGTTCCCAGTCCTGTAAGATTGACACAATTGTTACACTGACACTTCTGAACTGTTTGGTGAACTAGTGCTTTTTGGAGATTTGGGATATCAAAATACACTGAACAGCTTGTTTTTATTTTCACTGAACTGAAGTTTTTCTTTCCATTGAACTGAAGTTATCCAATGGCAATGAATTAAAAGTAGGGTGTAAGTAGTCAAACTCCATTTCTTAATTTCACCAGCTCGGGGGATATAAAATCTCCTGCATACTCTTCTTTATTTTGATATATTTGTTTTCTGATTCCTTGATGACTCTGATCGATGACATGCTCTGTTTCCAGGATTTGCCAGACTCTGGGGCTATCCAGTCGGTATCATAGGAAACAATGGTGTCTTATTCTCCGATTCCGCACTTAAGGTAGCTTTTACAACTAAACAACTCAAAACTGTCTCCTTGTTTAAGCTTCCTTAAGCCATGTTTACATAAACTGTATCATTTTCAAAAACTATTGGCCTAGTGGATAAAGCATTTATTAATCACACTGGACCAAATGTGTGGAGTCTGTTATTGGTGTTCTGTGGTGTAATATTGATGGAATTTATTAACAGCTGATCATCAATATATGCTCAGTTGATCATCACCATTGATTATTGACAACCAAGGCAGTGTATTTAATGCTGATTGGTTTCATTTCAGGGAACACATTTTATTGAATTGTGCAGCAAAAGAGGAATCCCTTTGATATTCCTGCAAAATATCACAGGTACATACTTGTAGAGAAACACATCAGCTTAATTTTTCCTTATCCTGACTCATGCTCTTTGCTTGTCTCCTTCCTCTTGCGAACATAGTGGAACACTTGTATCTCCCTAATTGAAGTTCCCTTCAATGTAAAATCACTAATTAGTACACCACGAAGTTACCTCCCTTCCACAAGCTGAACCAGGGCTTCACCTCTACCCATGTGCCCCACTCTCTCCTTCTTCCAGTGAGCTGGATCGCGAGAGCCCTGTGTCTCGGCCACACACTATATCCTTTGATTATATTTAGTTAGTTACCTCGTGATAGAGATCTATAGAGGTTTAGCTAGTATCTTCAACAATTATATATTGATATTTAGTCGTGTTTCTACTCGTTTATGCACGGACGCCGTTGCTGTTGCAGTGGATTACGTTGATAAAAATTCTGTACTGTTGCACATTACGCTTTTATTCTGCTGCTGATCCAAGATTTAATATGCCCCTAGCTGTACTGCCATGTTTTCATGTGATTCACGCTGCAGCTATGATACTAATTTATCCAATTCTACCTTTAATAAATAATTACTTTGCGCTTGAGACGCTGCGAGCAGATAGGTCACGTGATGCAGAGTCTAGCATGACTGATACACCTGAACCCCTCATGCCAGTCTACTGCTGTTGGTCGACCCTCCCCGCCTGGGTTTCCGCTAGAATGGTGGAGAGTGGGGACGTGAGTCCGGCCGCCTTCAAGAAGCCGCCCTGCTTCCCCAGACATCCCTTCGCCGTGACTGAGGGGTATTCAACGAAGTCTACTAGAACTTTCTCAGCCAGATTGTTCTCATCGCAGATTTGGGCCTGTATGATGATCAGCCGATCATCATTCCTGATGTACATCAAAGAATGACTGATGTCGGCAACAGTGATGTCAGCGCAGATCAACATTCGATGATCTTCCTGAGGGTCCCGTCCGCTATTTCACTCAACCAGGACTTCGCGACCCCAGGGCAGCAGCGTCGACCTCTGAGGGAATTCAACGGGTCTACTAGGACTTTCTCCGAGATTGTTCCAGCCGCTGAACTTGGCCTCTACGATGATCAGCCGATCATCATCCTCGACGTGATGAGACAAGTAGCGACCCGGTGACAGCTACAATGACATCAGCAGAGATCGCCATGCAGCCTGATGTCTCTACACTGATGTCAGATCGACTTCTACCTGAGGGCCCCACCACTAACAGAAGCGCCAGAGATGGCACCCCACTGCTTCGGCCGCAGACCATCCCAGACGAAGCTACTACGGCAAATCATGGTCGTGATGGAGGGTCACTACAGACTGGAGAAGCAGCCAGCCCAGAGTACGAGCCTTCGCTGGCTCCAACTTAGACAACACTCTAGGAGGCACCTCCAGTCAACGTAGCAGCCAAGACGATGCAGCCTTCGCGAAGGAAATTATGCGAGACCACCTTGACGAAGGACCCAGATGTACAGCCTTCGCGAAGCCCCTTCGCGAAGGCGGGATAGAATCATCACATTCCTCGGCTTCATCCTTAGATGCAGACTCAGCCACCAGACCTCCACGGAAGCCTTCGCGAAGCTCAAATCGCCAGTTCCCAGCACGATCAACGAGGAAGCTTCGCTCAAGGCGTTCATGGCGTTCGGCGGAAGGCCGCGTCAAGGCATTCGCGAAGGCACCTCCGAAGGACACCCGAATATAGATCGTCATTTAACAGAGTCAAGGGACTACTCAAGAGCTTCGCGAAGCTGTCAATAGTCTCCGATCTCCTCGTATATCACCACATCGATCGCCTCACAGGTTACCACACAAGTCTGCACACAAGTCTACATCACCTTCCTAGAGTGGCAGTACGACGCAGACATACCTGATGAAGGAAGACGACGCCAGATGCTATCACCCTACCTCCGATCGACCCGATTGCTGCGGTAGCACAGAATCTAGACATAGCATCCCATAAAGCCACAAAAAGTTCAGACACCATAATTGCCGAACTTTCACTTCAGAAGTTTTCCACGCACAACATGGACCCCCTTCTTCAAGGCTTAAGACATCGATGAAAATCCCACATAAGTTGATCATCGATATCAACAATAAGAACTACAATCGTGAAATTGGTTCAGTTGAATCCATGACCAGGACGTATGTTCGCTTGGCCTAAATAGATCTAGAACGATCATTGAGACACTTATCACCAGATTTAAGTAACATAATTTAATTTCTGAAAATGATAAGATGATCCACTTTCGGCCCTACTTATGCAGAACCAGCAAGTCCCAGGCAGCCTCAGCGAGCTGAACTAGAGCCTCACCAGCTACAAGGGACGCCGCTGAGGAGAAGCGCTCAGCGACCCCACATCCTGTTAAACACAGAGGCCATTCGCGGCAAGCAGCTCTTATATATATATATATATATATATATATATATATATTCTAATCGGACTTTTGACTCGATACCTTCGCGAAGGTCGCTAAGGCTAAGTGGCTCCAAGTCTACTTCACCAGTAGATCTAGAAGGGATACTTCGAGGCTTACGCGGAAGTCTCCGGCGCTCACCGAGGAGGAAGTCTCCTCCAAGGTCTCCATATACTAGCCACTTTCGTCATATATAGCTACTCCTCAGTCCGTTCAAGACATCGCATAAGTTATCTATCAACTGTATGCCAGATGCGATCCTATAAGCCTCTTGCTAAGACAATTGCACAGGCTATTTACAACACAGAACGTCTAGTATTAATTTGTCAACGACGCTTCATAGATCTTCACAGAAATCAACTATTCATTATAAATTGCTAGTATATGCAATCCCGGACGGCGATCACGATTATCTACATGCGTGACCATTACGCATATCTGCAGACAATTCAATATCGAAATTGAACAGCAGCCTTGTTACAGCGAGTATAACTCATAATCGTCAACATTTCTGAGAAGAAATATGTACAACAAAATTCAGCTTTAATTCTACAATTATGATGATACATTCATGTATACAGTCTACAAGCTGACAACTTACAAGTTATTGTACCTTTATATATAAAGAAGTCGGAATTATATTCAAAACTAGAAGTACTTTCACGACAGCCAGGAAAATAACCTACCCAGCATTAATATTACAGAGCAAGGTATTTTAGCTTGAAGCTTTACAGCTGGCGTTTACCATTAATCCTCGAAACACGTGGTCACTCGGGTAACTTCGGGAAGTTCACGATGAAGACCGATGATTGTTCTAATATCAACAGCGGCACTATATTATACAAGGTTCCTTTTCCTGCTACACCGGGTGACATCACAGCGGGTACTCTACACAGAATCAAAATGCCTTATTCTGATTGGACCCGATGAACAACGCCCTACACAGAGGTCGAGGCATAGTTCACAGTTCAAGACATAGGTTGCAAGTGACAACTTTATATCAATGAGAACGAGCAAGCCTCCTTACAGCCCAGTTAACCTGAACCTTCATGATTAGGCTGCTTTCTTCAGGTTAGAGACCTCCCCTGTACAAGTTTAGACAAAGGGCACAGCAGTCAGGCGATTTTACATAAAGTTCATCGAGGGACACAAACTCCGGTTGTGCACATACATGCGTCAAAGGACATCGCAGCGATTTACCTAGACGGCGTGATACAAGTGGATCCCGAAATCCACAGCGTTTCAGACTACACCTGAATTTCATCATCAAGCTACTAACACAACTAGATGGTTAGTAAACCTACTAAGTTTCTGTTTGGAGAATAAGCGGAAGTTTCACTGCATTACCAACTTGGGGATATGAATATAGTGCTACAACACCTCACAAGTGAGGTTTATGAACATGCCTGGATGACATACTTGGACTCCATGATACGATGATGCTATCAATACTGGCCAGCAAGAGCACTGTAAATTTATCTCCACAAACCAAACAGGAAGAAAAATACAACAGATTTTTTTCCTCTATCATCAACTTCGCCAGAGTGTAGTCTCACGTACTACTATATCTCCGGCTTTGGATCAGAACTGTCATACTACGTGCATACAAGACAGATGGACCTAATCCGACCCTCCATGAGCTTTAATACTCTTGATATTAGAGCCCCTAACTTCCTACAATTTCATCTACACAAATGTTATTTGAAATAATGGAGGGTTTATTACTGTAGATCCGATATGGTGGTTGCCAACCATTATCTGAGAGAGATATCACCACCGAGGACATCTCAGGTATCCACCAATTCGATCCCATGGTCCTTGCACAACAGTTGATTAGTTCCTCGGAGAAGATAAGTCAATCTTACAGATTTTTACTTATCTTATAACAGTACTAAATAGCTTCATGCTATATATAATTTGTTTAAGCCTCGCTTTTTTATCATCACAGTGGTTACATGATAAATGCATTAGCTAACAAACTCCTACAGAGTTTTTTTGGCTATTATATCGTAGCTTAAGTCAAGCATATTTTAAGCATAGTAATACTATACTCATATTGTAAAAATACATTAGCTAACAAACTCTCACGAGGTTTTGCTATTATATAGGTAGCTTAAGCTCATTCATATCTTAAGCTCAGTACTATGTTTATATCATATAACTATATTAGCTAACAAACTCTAAAGAGCTTTTTGCTATTTGGCTTAAGTTTCATCATATCTTAAGCAATATGGTTACATTATAACATGTATTAGCTAACAAACTCTATGGAGTTTTTGCTATTATATATGTAACTTAAGCTTATTCATATCTTAAAGCAGTACTATGTTTATAGCATATAGGTATATTAGCTATCAAAACTCTAAAAGAGTTTTTGCTATTATATATTGGGCTTAAGTTTTCATCATATTTTTAAGCTTTATGGTTACATTATGTCATGTATTAGCTAACAAACTCACGGAGTTTTTGCTATACATATGTAGCTTAAGGTTCTCTTCATATCTTAAGCTCAATACTATGTTGATACCATATAAGTATATTAGCTATTAAAACTCTAAAAGGTTTTTTGCTATTATATATTTAGCTTCTAAGGTTTACTTCATATCTTAAGCTCAATACTAGGTCTAAATCAACATAATAAAATGTATTAGCTATCAAACTCTCACTTGAGTTTTTACTATTATATATATATAGCTTAAGTTTAATCATATCTTAAGCTCAGTGCACTATGTTTATAACATAAAAAGTATATTAGTTAATAAACTCTAAAGGAGTTTTTGCTATATACATTTAGCTTAAGTCTAATCATATCTTAAGCTTAGTACTATGGTTACATTATAAATCTATTAGCTAATAAGCTCTACAGAGTTTTTTTGGCTATTGTATATGTAGCTTAAGTTAATTATATCTTAAGCACAGTACTATACTCATATTGTAAAATATATTAGCTAACAAACTTTACTAAGTTTGGCTATTATATATGTAGCTTAAGTTAATTATATCTTAAGCACAGTACTATACTCATATTGTAAAAATATATTGGCTAACAAACTTTACTAAGTTTGGCTATTATATATGTAGCTTAAGTTAATTTATATCTTAAGCACAGTACTATACTCATATTGTAAAAATATATTAGCTAACAAACTATACTAAGTTTGGCTTTATTATATATGTAGCTTAAGTTAATTATATCTTAAGCACAGTATTATACTCATATTGTAAAAATATATTAGCTAACAAACTCTACTAAGTTTGGCTATTATATATGTAGCTTAAGATAATTATATCTTAAGCACAATACTATACTCATATTGTAAAATGTATTAGCTAACAAACTCTACAAAGCTCTTGTTTGCTGTTATATATATAGCTAAGCTTATTCATATCTTAAGCTCAGCACTGTCTATATCATATAAATATTTTAACTAACAAACCCTAAAGAGGTTTGTTATTATATAATTAGCTTAAAATTAATCATATTTTAAGCTTAGTGCTATGTTTATATCTTAAAGTATTTTAGCTAACAAACTCTAAGGAGTTTATACTAGCATATTAACAAGCTTAAGTCTATTAGTCTTAAGCATTGTATTAATATTATATATACTTATCATAATAGAGTACATTGTAATAACCTCTATATGGCAGCTGATAAGCTGGCAGCAGGAATTCATCAGTTCAATGCCTTTATGGAAGTTCTCATAGGGTTATTACACAATCATCACAGTTCAAATCACTAATTATTAAAATCCAAAGTATTATATATTCCCACCTCCGGCTCTGTTGGATTCTACAAGCAAAGAGCATGAGTCAGGATAAGGAAAAATATGTAATTTTTTTGAGTAAAATTGATATTTTATACTTATCCTGACTCATGAGGTCAACCCTCCCATCCTCCCCAAATAACACTTTGGATTTCCTGTAAATTCAAATGTTGGGCCCAGTATATGAGGAGAGGAGGAGGCACATGGGTAGAGGTGGCCCCTCGCTCCCGGCCTTGTGGAAGGGAGGTAACTCGTGGTGTACTAATTAGTGATTTTACATTGAAGGGAACTTCAATTAGGGAGATACAAGTGTTCCACTATGTTCTGCAAGAGAGGAAGGAGACAAGCAAAAGAGCATGAGTCAGGATAAGTATAAAAAATATCAATTTTACTCAAAAATTACATTTCTTGTTTTACATCTCAGTAATCATTGTGAACAAGAGCTGGCACAACTTATTGTATCGCTCCATGTCATTAGAATGTAGGTATTAGAAATATTGACAGCAGAACTCAGCGCGTATTCTTCATAAATAACCCACTAGGTGTCTTATGAGATAATGACACATCACAAGTGAAACATGATACAGGTGCCAGGTTTACACATGTTCTGTTTCATTTAGTTCCGACCCGTGAAGATACGGGGTAGAAGAGGTCTTCAACAACCCATGTGCTTGCCATAAAAGGCGACTATGCTTGTCGTAAGAGGCGACTAACGGGATCGGGTGGTCAGTTTCGCTGACTTGATTGACACATGTCATCGGTTCCCAATTGCGCAGATCGATGCTCATGCTGTTGATCACTGGATTGTCTGGTCCAGACTCGATTATTTACACAACGCCGCCATATAGCTGGGATATTGCTGAGTGCGGCGTAAAACTAAACTCACTCACTCACTCATTTAGTTCCTTTTAGAATTGTTTTGAATTCTACAATATTAGTTCGGCTCCCAAAGAAACAACACCAGGAGTCAGATGGCTCCATAGGAATAGTTGTACATTGAAACCTGAAGAATTATGCAGAGATGACGATCACAACAATTTGGCAGAATATTTTTAAATATATTTTATGAACTGATTCTACTAAGTGGGTTTATGTGCAATACTCAATGAACTTTATTCATTTATCAACCTATATACAATTATTGCAACATCTACAACCGGTTAGTAGCAAACTGGGTGATGACGTTCAATGCATGTGACCTTTTCAAAATCATAGGAGTATGGCAGTAAAGATTACTATTTGTGTATAAGATTTACTCATTTAAGATTTGATTTATCGTGAATATTGCTAGTTGCCTGTTATCTTTATGTTTATGGTCCGACTGTTCATGGCCCAACTGTGTGAGGTTAGTCTTACCATTACATTCTGCTGCCAGGTTTCATGGTGGGGAGTGAGGCGGAGGCAGGTGGAATAGCGAAGAATGGCGCTAAGATGGTGACTGCTGTGGCATGTGCTAAAGTGCCCAAGTTGACCGTCATCATTGGCGGGTCCTATGGTGCCGGCAACTATGGTATGTGTGGTCGAGCCGTACAGGTAAGTAATGCCTTCTTAATTAAACACTAGTGAAGTAAATACTATACATTTTCTAATGATGTCAATGACCATATTTGGACATATCTAACTGAATATTAAAAAGAGTTACAAATCTTGCCTTGGCATGCTATGAACATATATATCAGACATTGTATACACCAGATGACTTTGACACCTTTAGTGTTTTTGCATGAATTATTATTTTTTCTATATATATACACAGGGACCGTTCATAATGTATGGCTAGGGGTGGTGGTGATGATTTTAAGAAGGGTCACCCATTTTGTTCTTGGAAGGTAGGGGGCATCAATTTTGTACACATGTTCTAGGGGGGCAGCTATTTTGTACTTGAAAATACTTTTAAATTATGCTTTAAAATCATGGGGGCATTGATTTTGTACATGAAATGCAGGGGGTGGTGGTGGGGGTGGTCACTTACTTTGTAAATCTTAGGGGGTTTCATTCACATTGTACATGCTTCTCAATAAAAATCATCATCACCCCCCTAGCCATAAACTATGAACGGTCCCATAGCCATTCACTTCTGATAGGGAACATTTGGGTTTTTTTAACATACTGGTTATATTTAATATTACAGCCCACGTTTTCTGTACATGTGGCCCAACTCCCGTATATCAGTGATGGGGGGTGAGCAGGCTGCCAATGTACTTGCACAGATTACACGGGAACAACGAGCTCGTGAAGGAAAGCCGGTGAGATCAGGGAGATAATTTTGCTTTTCATTTATGTGAATTATCATGTAGTTTTGGTATGAGTTATTGTGATCATGGCACTTGTTTTTCCTTAAATATGAATGTCATTATTCAATAGTAGAACAAAACCTTGGGATGCTTAGAGCCAATTTTGTAGGGTTGTTTTATGGTAGGAAAAATGTTATATTTGACTTACTTGACAATGTTTGGGTCTACATATTCATGTTTAACAGTGATTTTTTTTTATCAAGTTCAGGATATCTATGATTTGGAAGGGCATGAAAAAAGACTATCACTTAGCATGTTTGTTGAATACTTCTAGTGGACAGAAGAGGAGGAGAAGGCTTTGAAGGACCCTGTAATAAAGAAGTATGAGAAGGAAGGTAGTCCTTACTACGCCAGTGCTAGGTGAGTATAGAGAAGGAAGGCATTCAGGTGTGTAGAGAGACGAAGGTAGTTCTTACTACGCTAGTGCTAGGTGAGTATAGAGAAGGAAGGCATTCAGGTGTGTAGAGAGACGAAGGTAGTTCTTACTACGCTACTGCTAGGTGAGTAGAGAGAAGGAAGGCAGTCAGGTGTGTAGAGAGACGAAGGTAGTCCATACCACACTAGTGCTAGGTGAGTAGAGAGAAGGAAGGCAGTCAGGTGTGTAGAGAGACGAAGGTAGTTCTTACTACGCTAGTGCTAGGTGAGTAGAGAGAAGGAAGGCAATCAGGTGAGTAGAGAGACGAGGGTAGTTCTTACTACGCTACTGCTAGTTCATAATGGGCCATGAAAGATTAAACCAGGTCAAGTGTAAGGACACACACTTTATTGGAAGGACGTGATCCACAAGGCATGTCACCAGATATTGTCTTTATGAAACACCTCGTATTGATAATCATCTCACAATAATATATGTTCTTGCTGTAGATGATATGTGCAGAGTTAATACAGTTTGTTGTTATGTTGGTGTCGTGAGTGGCACAGTGGTGTAAGATGCTGCAATTGGCTTTACAGTTGTGTGTTACCTATGTGTGCAAGGATCTGCTAATCCTTGGTTTGAATCCAGGATGGGCAGTGATTTAGATCCTTGGTTTGTCATTCCCACACTAGTGGATATCTGCTTCCTCCAACCCACGTGTAGCTGACAGTCCAAGGCAAACACACACTATGACTACTGCAAAGTTTTCTGTCATGGGTACACTTTGTAAGTAACGTTATAGTAATAATGCATAAATTAATTGAAGTTGATAATTACCGTGAAATATAGCAGATGTTTGTGTATCAATGCCCCTGACTGTATTCTGTGTTTTGTTCAGGTTATGGGATGATGGTGTGATTGATCCTGCAGATACTCGGACGGTGCTTGGATTGAGTCTGAGCGCTGCTCTCAATGCTCCTCGACAAGAGACATCTTTTGGAGTGTTCCGAATGTAATCAGTGTATCATAGTTGTGTGTGTATGTGTACAGTGTTACTGATGAACTGAACTACCACAATATGAGCAATGCTTATAATGAACAGAGAGCAGTTCTGTGTGAATGCTCCATTTAGCCCATTGGTCTCAGTTGCTGCAGCTCGTTTTGCAGAGTTGTGTCCCTTGGTGAATGAATGACTCGTTAACTCCTCTCCACAGGTTTCGGCTGACACAATTCTTAATGTGCGATAGATAATTCATTACTCTTCTGATCACATTGGTTCTTCACACGTACAACATACTGCCCCAGGGCTCTATATAGTTTTCGGAGCTATTCAGTATTTCCTGACATTGACACTGAGTAATTATGATTTTTAATATATCTTTGCCCCCTTGGGTTCATATTGGATAATTGTAAAGCAAATGCTGTTTCAGGTGTCTCTGTACACATGCACTAAATATAAATGTGGTAATGGAGAACTGATGTAGTTTACTCAAATTGGCAGCTTACCTGGGGTCCTGTTTTTCTATATCTTGTCTCAGCTCAGTTGTGTGGATTCTAACTGTATTAAGAGACACAATTTCTATTGTATTCACCTTAATGAAATGCAGGTCGTGTCAAACATGTATGATTCATGATCATAGAATGATCATGCATCAGGTTTAATAATATAGTAGGTACCTGTTAGATAGTAATCATGCAACTTGAGATTGTTTCCATGTAGAAGTTGTTTGTTTTCTGATATGAGGTAGCCATTGACTTATTATTGTTCAAAATTGGGCATAAGCTGTAAAATGTTATATACAGGACAATCTGGAACATATCAAACCATTTGTTTGAGATTTGTGATAGCTGATGTTTAGAGAGTGTGTGTTTAGTTAAAGATTTTATTCGTTTATTGTATCATAATTGTGGAACATAATACCATGTTACATATGCGTAACCGACGTGTGGTTATAACAGTGTTATTGTGTCACATGAATGTCACTATGATGGCACATTTTGTTAATGTACACATTTGATTTTTTTACACATAAATAAAAAGCTATTGTATGGAAACTGGAAACTTTTCTTAAAGATGTAAAACTGTATTTTAAGTATGTTTAACCATCAAATTTTCACGATTGATTTTAGCAAGTGAATTACCTACTGGCATGTACAGCTCTACAGTATAGTGTGTTGACTCAGGGAATAACTAGTGCATTTAGAGCAACATGACACAACAAATAGTTTATCTTATTCATTCGAATAGTGCAATTTAATTACATACCTCTCTTAAAAATGTAAAAGTTGGACAAGTGATTGTCTCTGATTACAGATCTACCATTTCTAAGAAATATAACAATGAATAAAGGAAATGTATTTTCTAATGTGATTCTATGAAAGTAACTATTTGCTGATCACTGAGGTTGTAATCAATTCTTATTGTTAATGAAGTGACGATGTGAATGTTTGATGTGGTATCCAGCACTAACGCCTACTGTGGTTCCTTAACATTGAGCTGATCACATGACGTGCAAGTGAGACACATGAATAGCAGGGTGATCATGGGAGCAACAGAAATGTAGTGGACCAAATGATAATCAACAATGTGACCGAGTGCAATTCATTTAAAAAAGATTAAGAGGGCAATATGGTATGTATAATATGTTTAAATTGAGTGTTTAGTATTAAATGATCTAATTGTGTGATCTGTGACAATATTTCTCATGATAGTTTTTTTCCAAGACCTTATGAAATTTTTACATCTATTTCATTGACTTATCTGCATCAGGCCTAATGGTACAGTGCACACACTGAAGACCTGGTGGACACCCCTCATGGGTACAGTGTATCAGGCCCATTTCTGGTGATCTGCTGTGATATTGCTGGAATATTGCAAGATAACAACCACTTGTATGTATGCTGCAAGTTGTGTCGCATCACTTGATCTCTTGATTGTGTTCGCTTCTCGTCTCACTGCCAAAATGACCAATGTGGCATTAACTTTTCTCTTTCACTCACTAACTAATAGTTAATCTCACTGTAAGGCGGAGAATTTGTAAAAGTAGATTTGAAATTGGTTCACTATGCTTGTCATGACCAACAACTTCATCAGATGGTCAGACTTAGTGTTTTGGTCATTGTAAGCTGATAAATGTGAAGCTGGGGATAATATCAATCACCAATCACTGGTTAATCTGGTCCAGACTTCATTATTTTTATAGCTGTAATATTTCAGAGAGCTTTGTTTGACAACAGACTGCATGGCCTGTATGCTATTATTACAATTGTTTGGTTTGAGGTTTCCATATGTATGTACTGTGTGTGAGAGTGCCATGTAGACTGTATGAAGTGTGCCAGCTGGTGTATAACATGTATAACAGTGCGGAGTGTGTCAGCTGGTGTATAACATGTATAACAGTGTGCTGTTGGATATATTGTGTGTAGGGGTATGTCAGTATGTATGTAACAGATCAAAGCCGAGAAGTAAACAAATAGATCTCTCTTACATGGTTGTTGTCTTTTCAACTATTTGGCTTTTGTACAGCTTTTGAGGAGTAGGATTTTTCAAATGATTTTGTTTAACTGTATGCTAAAATATAAGAATAACTACCATCCTAACAAAACTATTTGACCTTGCATGCCTCTCATGTAGTGATGATGAGAAGTCTGTGTCTCATTATGAGCAGGTATGTCATGTCTGGGTGATAAAGTCAATCTGCATCTCGGATGATGCAGGTGTTTGTGATCAGAAACCTGTGCCCTGAACACTACAACAGATGAATGTAACTTGAGCTTGAACATGGCCAGTAATGAAACATGTACATGGCAACAAGTGAATTACACCTGGCCTTGAACATGGCAACAAATGAATTTACCTTGTCTTGAACATGGCAACAAATGAATTACACCTTGTCTTGAACATAGCAACAAGTAAATTACACCTTGTCTTGAACATGGCAACAAGTGAATTACACCTTGTCTTGAACATGGCAACAAGTGAATCACACCTTGTCTTGAACATGGCAACAAGTGAATTACACCTTGTCTTGAACATGGCAACAAATGAATTACACCTTGTCTTGAACATGGCAACAAGTGAATTACACCTTGTCTTGAACATGGCAACAAGTGAATTACACCTGGCCTTGAACATGGCAACAAGTGAATTACACCTGGTCCTTGAACATGGCAACAAATGAATCACCACCTTGTCTTGAACATGGCAACAAGTGAATCCTTATCACACCTTGATTGAACATGGCCAAATGAATCACACCTTGTCTTGAACATGGCAACAAGTGAATCACACCTTGTCTTGAACATGGCAACAAGTGAATCACACCTTGTCTTGAACATGGCAACAAGTGAATCACACCTTGTCTTGAACATGGCAACAAGTGAATTACACCTTGTCTTGAACATGGCAACAAGTGAATTACACCTTGTCTTGAACATGGCAACAAATGAATCACACCTTGTCTTGAACATGGCAACAAATGAATCACACCTTGTCTTGAACATGGCAACAAATGAATCACACCTTGTCTTGAACATGGCAACAAATGAATTACACCTTGTCTTGAACATGGCAACAAGTGAATTAACAACATGGCAATTGAATTACACCTTGTCTTGAACATGGCAACAAATGAATGACACCTTGTCTTGAACATGGCAACAAGTGAATCACACCTTGTCTTGAACATGGCAACAAGTGAATTACACCTTGTCTTGAACATGGCAACAAATGAATTACACCTTGTCTTGAACATGGCAACAAATGAATGACACCTTGTCTTGAACATGGCAACAAATGAATGACACCTTGTCTTGAACATGGCAACAAGTGAATTACACCTTGTCTTGAACATGGCAACAAATGAATTACACCTTGTCTTGAACATGGCAACAAATGAATCACACCTTGTCTTGAACATGGCAACAAATGAATCACACCTTGTCTTGTCTCTGAACATGGCAACAAGTGAATTACACCTGTCTTGAACATGGCAACAAGTGAATTACACCTTGTCCTTGAACATGGCAACAAATGAATTACACCTTGTCTTGAACATGGCAACAAATGAATTACACCTTGTCTTGAACATGGCAACAAGTGAATTACACCTTGTCTTGAACATGGCAACAAATGAATTACACCTTGTCTTGAACATGGCAACAAATGAATTACACCTTGTCTTGAACATGGCAACAAACAAGTGAATTACACCTTGTCTTGAACATGGCAACAAGTGAATTACACCTTGTCTTGAACATGGCAACAAATGAATTACACCTTGTCTTGAACATGGCAACAAAAGAATTACACCTTGTCTTGAACATGGCAACAAGTGAATTACACCTTGTCTTGAACATGGCAACAAATGAATTACACCTTGTCTTGAACATGGCAACAAATGAATTACACCTTGTCCTGAACATGGCAACAAGTGAATTACACCAAATGAATCACACCTTGTCTTGAACATGGCAACAAATGAATTACACCTTGTCTTGAACATGGCAACAAATGAATTACACCTTGTCTTGAACATGGCAACAAATGAATCACACCTTGTCTTGAACATGGCAACAAGTGAATTACACCTTGTCTTGAACATGGCAACAAATGAATTACACCTTGTCTTGAACATGGCAACAAGTGAATTACACCTTGTCTTGAACATGGCAACAAATGAATTACACCTTGTCTTGAACATGGCAACAAATGAATTACACCTTGTCCTGAACATGGCAACAAATGAATCACACCTTGTCCTGAACATGGCAACAAATGAATTACACCTTGTCTTGAACATGGCAACAAATGAATTACACCTTGTCTTGAACATGGCAACAAGTGAATTACACCTGGCCTTGAACATGGCAACAAGTGAATTATACATGGCCTTCTATATGGCGCCTGAAGAAACACACCTGGCCTTCTATATGGCACCTGAAGAAACACGCCCGATCTTGAATATGGCAACCGTACTCAACGCATGAAAGATGACATCCATGTTACACTGTCAATGAAGAGATAAGCCTAGAGTCCATTTATACATAATTTCTTTAGTCAGAAATAGATAATAACCAACACTCTTTATCTTAAATGATTCAAAATATCAACAATTCAACAGAAATTCAGTTTTATGTTTACACACAATTAATATCTTATTATACTGTGAATATTTGTTTTCACTCTTGCAAAGCCCATACACATAGCAACAATTATCAGCATTAGTGACATTTTAAGTTTGTTTTCTTTTTGAGGACCAGATTTCTCGTTGAAACCACATTCTCAGAAAAAAACTTTTACTTTCTTGTATAAACTATCTGAACACACACATATCTTCAAAATATCAACAAGAAGTCAATTAATGCAAGCAGCAAGTTGTTCCAGCCTCATGAGGGAAGGACCCGTGAAGGTCCTGGTTAGAATATTGGCCTTCAGTAACCCATGCTTGTATTAGGCGACTAACGGGATTGGGTGGTCAGGCTCGCTGACTTGGTTGACACATGTCATCGGTTTCCAATTACGCAGATCAATGCTCATGCTGTTGATCACTGGATAGTATGGTCCAGACTCGATTATTTACAGACCGCCGCCACATAGCTGGAATATTGCTGAGTCCGGCGTAAAACTAAACTCACTCGCTCACTCAGGGAAGTTTCTGATGGGGACATGTCTGTATAGTTTTTGATTCGTCAATAAAATATCATACATCAAGTTTTTCACATCAAATGTAGTCAGTATAAACATCACCACCTGGAATCTAAAATATGAAATCATCTCTGTACAAATGTGGTTCATCATTCTGTTGGGTAACGTGGGGCAGGTGACTGTTTCACTTCTGGAGGTCGTGGTTTGCAAATACCAAACACTGACAGGTTTCGCTGTGTTGATACGTTTTAGTTATGTACAACTTAAATAAGATTTTAGCTTGATAACCAAAAACAGTAATGTTCTAGTTTCGGCCAAAAAGTCTCTTTTTTTAATGAACATTAACACAAATTTGTAAAAGTATGGGTTAAGTTTATGTTACTGTTTTTAGGTGTTTTCAACCAAATAGTATACCCTATCAGGACCCCCTATGAAGGGTCTCTGCACCAACACACTGCTCAAACTCGACATCAACAACTTCACTACAAGAAATATCACAGTTTGGCTAATAAATAACAGTTATCACATTCAACAGGATTTGAAAATATAAGTCATCAACATACATAAACACTTACACTTGCCTTAAGCAAATAATTGCTTGCAATAGTAAGCTCATAATTATAATTCAACCAGCCTTTCAAAACTTATGTTTCAATCTGCAATAAGTCTCATAAACATTACAGTCTAAGTAAACTTAGGCTCAGTATTATTCGGTACACTGCTATACTGAGTAGAAGGTCGCATCAGCTAATCTTTGAGCGACCTGTGACCATCCAAATGCGAGACGGCCGAACAAATTTAACCAATTAACAACTACTTGTTAGGGCTTTGTGGGACTTACAAAACGGTTTGGGGATTTTCTCTTACCTGGTCCCAGACACTAATCTATCAACAAACGAAAATCTGCATAAAACACAGATATTTGACCAGCAGTATATATGCTTAGGGGTTTCTAATGACATGGTTACTGTTAGCTTATATTTCCACAAGATGACATCCTTGAATATTGACAAAATGATATTTTCAGCGACTGTTTAGTCATTGTGTCCCCCATGTGCATCACTCTGAAGTGATCGTGTGGAAAATAGCATTCAGAATCATTCGAGTTTTTGAGGTAAAGGTTCAACGGTATATTGTGCGAATGTTAACTTTCGCGATTTGGTAAGCTGTGTTCTGATTGGTCAGTCCAAAGGGTTAGCTGATGCGACCTTCTTCTAGGGTTTGATAGACTCAGTATAGCAGTGTAACAAATAATACAGAGCCTAAGTTTACTTAGACTGCATAACATGAAAAAAAGAAGGCAGACTGTGAGTAGATAATGTTTTCTACACAGTGGAATTGTGTCACACTCCCATCACATATGACAACTTTGAACGGTATGATCTTGTCTGAGTACATCCTCGATAATCTCCAGGGTATATGTTACGATCACTCTCCACTATAACCTGGATGCATCCACGGCTTGGCCCGATGATTTTATTACCTCCCTTGGCTGGCTTTATATCCAATCAAGTGTCTACGCTGGGAAGTTGAGCGAACCAATCACAACTTACTTTCGCTTCTTAAATTATCTAACCGTTTAAACTTGGCAACAGAATTGATGCAGAGGTACTCTGAAAGATGTAGAAGGAGTTCTTTTATATATTTTTTTAAAGTTTCAGATCTGTCAATTTGTCTGTATTATTTCCCCAAAAATTCTGAGTGGTACTGCGAACAAACCTTCGCGACTGCGACCGCTATCTTTGTTGACACTGGCAAGCTCGGATGTAAGGGCGGCTTAGCTGATTGGCTACTGCGAGAATGCGGAGCCAGCAAAGAGAGATAATATAATTATCGGGCCAAGCCATGGATGCATCCAGGGTATAGTGGAGAGTGATTGTAACGTATACCCTGGAGATTATCGAGGATGGTCTGAGTATTGAAAGTGAGGAATCAATGGGTAAGGGAAGGCTGAATGTTGAAACAGGACAGCGAACTAAAAAACCTTCAAGACAAATCAAAGTTGCTTGTGGAACTGCCTGAAGTCATATTCCTTGTAAAACATGGAAAGAAAGAGTCACCTAATGATCAAAGGTGACAACTCTTATAGTAAATAAAAGCTCAAGGCAAAAAGGGGACAACTCTTATTCCCTCATTTAAAATTCTTATGTTTGCTTTAACAATTTAACACTTACCATTATGCATACCACCTTTTTGGTAATATCTAATTACATTGGAGAGTATTTATGTAACAACATTGAACCTTGAGCTTCCTACACAACGTTTGAAGCCCTAGAAGTCACGAAGTCATCCAACTCAGGAAAGTCCAGGTAGTCACGGACGGATTGTGGTAGAGGAAGTTTGGAAAACTTCCTTGCTGGCCTGTCACCAAGGTAACACCTCACCGCCTGTCGACACTGCCTTTTCAGACTGGCAACTCCACTGATGAGAAACTGCAGGTGACTCAGATCTTCTGCGGACATTGTTTCTGTGATGGGGAGTTTCTGCAGCTGCTTGACGTCCCCAGGGGTGATGCGGTACCCAGCAAGGAGCACCATCTTGGCGATGTTGTACTGGGCACAGTGGTCAACTGCTGCTGTGAAGGCTGTAAGCTTGTTGCGACATGGTTTGTTGACGTCACAACCAGCTCTCAATAATATAGCTACTATCTGGGGATTGAACTTGAATATGGAAGTGATTAGGGGAGTGACTCCATAGTGATCACCTCGATTTATGTCTGCTCCAGAATCAATCAGTCTGTGGATGATTGCTAAGTTTCCACATTCAATAGCTTTCAGTAGGGGTGTTTTCGCTTCATCATTCTCCATACTCAAAATATTCACGTTACAACCATGTGACAGTAGAGCTTCCAATCCCTGAAAAACAATAAAGTAATTTGTCATCCAGTAACCTCCAATGCTATGAAAATATAACAATCTTTCCTGTGATATGTCAAAATATATCAAAACCCAGAATCAACCAGTGACAGAGACGAGTGGTTGAGATTCCCTGTGCAGCCGCAAACACAAAACTCACTTTAATTACTTCACATTACACACTCTTCTTTGTCCACCAGGCTGTCAGTGGGTATTGGAACTAGGAGTTCAGACAACACCATCATCCACCAGTGTGTATGTAGTTTTAGAAATATTTGTTTGTGGAGCACAGTGGTGTAGTGGTTGGCATGCTGGCCTCTCATGTCAAAGGCCTGGGTTCGAATCCCGGTGGAGACACGAAAATTTGTGACCTGGGTCTCATACTGTATTGTGTCCTTGGGCAAGGCACTTTGTCCACATTGCACTCAGTCCACCCAGCTGTTCAAAATGGGTATCTGAGAAGCGGATGTACGGACCTATACGGTCGCACGAAGCGGTTAGTAGCTGCTTTGAAAGTACAATAATGTAATGCCAGAGAACAGCATCGTGTTGGATTCTAGGGCAAAATTAGCATTATTATTATTAATATTATTAATATTATTTGTTGGCCAACGATGAAACACACACTACCTCTGTCAGCGCCATCCTGTGTTTAACGGTTTCACCTGCATCATTTTCAGTTTCTTCCAAAACACACTGACACACCATGATATCAAAACAGATCTGAACCCAATTCACTACCAGAAACGAATAATCCCCACAACAGGAATTAGTATGCTTGCACTGAGTTATTGTTACATAGGCAGACCTCATAGTTGTTCTTGATGCAGGCAAAGTGTATTGGTGCTCGCTTGTTGTCTTTATTGATGCAATCCACATCGGCTCCAGCATTCACCAGCATATGAATCGTCTCGGGTGACCCTTGAAATGCAGCTAGATGTATTGGAGACACTCCCCTGGGACCTTTGGTTACATTCACACTGGCCCCTGCATCCAACAGCATCTGGAAACAGTGCAGTCAAATACAAATGATAAGGTGAGCTAAAATGGTTTGTTTTACCCTTAGCTACAAAGAAAAAAACAAAATAACTTACAATAAGTAAATAAATGTGGAAAACAACAAAATACAAAAGAATGAACGAAAATATAAATCATGTAAATAGCATGCAACAACATAGAAGTAGTCCCCTTTCCTGATTAGTGTCAAACACTTTTTGTGTTCAGTGGAATGCACCTCTCGTATGTACAGATGATAGGTCCATCTTGTGTGCACATTACATCTGTGACGTGTGATGCTTCTACTGGTCAATAGTGGTGGTCCGATTTAATTGAAATAATCGAAGATTGGTCGAAGTGACTAAGAGCCAGAGAACGTCGTGTTATTCACAGCAAGAAGTTGACATCCATAAATCTTGCTTTTCTGAAAAGATTGGTCCATTTGAGGCCACTTAATTCCTCCAAAACGTCACATATGAAACCATTCAAACCCACAAAACTTAAATCATTTGGTAGAATATTTGGCTCTTTTGGAGCCACTTATAAAGATACTTCCACTTGTAAAATGTTACATGAAAACAACAGAAATAAATGTATATTTGGCACACTTTGTTGCTATGGCAATCAAAGGCAGATAATTCAAAGGGAGCTAATTCTGGATGACCCAATATATTGCAGAATCTGAACCATATCGTGATAATCGTATCGCGGAGATACTGTACCGGTATATACCAGTTTACCGGTATATATTGCACAGCCCTAGTCATTACATTTACATTTCATAAGCACTACGAGCTCGTTCCAAGTCATGATTGAATTTATCTTAAAGACTTCAGGAAATCTATGTTCCTAACATACTAGTCCTCCTATAAATGTGAAATTTGCAAATGCATTTTGTGCAATTTGCAAAAACCCAAAGAACTACATGTTTTTTCTTTATTTTTGTGTGCATTAACAAGCATAACAGAAAATTTTGATAAATGATGCTAACCAATTATTTTCGATGATTGATCGGTAGTAACGGACCAGTCATCAATTATGAGATTTTAACCAATTCCAAACACTACTGGTCAAGCTTCTTGTTTCCAATACATTCAATAAACAGTATGTTGACAAGACACTATGATTCAGATAATGAACTTACACGGAATGTCTGTTAAGACACTACACTGCTTCACCCATTATGAAGGTTGAAATACCTGAACGATGGCAGTGTGTCCACAGAGACAGGCAACATGAAGCGGTGTTTCCTTGCCATTGTTGACTGCGTGAACATCAGCGCCTGCAGACAGGAGCTCCATCACGATCCCATCATGACCTTTACTTACAGCCTCGTGTAGTGGGGTGTATCCTGTTGGTGTATTCAGATTTAGATGTATTCAGATTTAGATGTATTCAGATTTAGATGTATTCAGATTTAGATGTATGTACAGCAGTACAAGTCTAGCTAGCATTGGTGTAGCCACCAGTGTTGACGCTCCTCCAACAATAGACATAACTCACAATGAAAGGTCAAGGGCATATTTTTCAAAACAAATTCCCACATAAGCATAATAAGGACAAAGTAAATTAGTTGGATGAATGCATTTGCACTGTTTTGTAACTATTGGGTCAAAGGCATTATATAACAAGAGTCATCAGAAGATGACAAATCCCCCCGGCCCCCATAAATTTGAAAGAACAAATCAACTGACAATTACTTAAAGTCCAACTTGATTTTTTGGGACTAGGTCCAAATTGTTTCCATGGAAATCATGAAAAATAAAAATGCCAAAAATCTGCAAATAGCAAAAGGCAATACTTTAAGATCTGTTTGATATATCTGTCAAGTCTTGTAGAAAGATATTGAACGGTTTTCGAGTTGTGATCTGGAAGGAAACCCACCCCTCCCTTTTGAGATTAAGTCCAAATCGTTTCCATGGAAACCAAGAAAAATACAAATAACAAAACCTGTAAATAGCAAAAAGGCACCACTTTAGGTTCTGTTTGATATATGTACCAAGTTTTGTTGAAAAATATTGAACGGTTATTGAGTTATGCTCCGGAAACAAAATGATTACGGACGGACGGATGGACAGACGGACTTAGACGAGGCGTCGACTATATCCCCCCGCATTACATGCCGGGGGGGATAATAAATCTTTCACTTTCTTACATAAATGGTTAGAGTCAAGATGAAGGGTGATAAGGAATCAATCTTTGGCCGAAAAACATGATAATATTTAGAGGGGGGACCAAGCATAGCAGTTTCCTTTGTTTTCCTGTTAGTTTGTGGGTGGGCAAGGTTCAGAATCTAGTGATGTATCCAAGATCTTGGATTACAATAATTAAGAGTAAGCCTAAAGTATTTAGTATCAGTAGAGTAACAATTGAACAGGTACAATTAGATGCAATTGAACAAGGAACCATCAGATAATCAGCAGCCATTGTGACCAGGCAATCCCCATGATATACAAGAATGTGTCTGTGAACCATATTCTCCTTCAAGTTTGAGCTTAAATTTGTCTGATGCCTAGTTTTTGCTTTATGTATGACTAAAATCTACAAAAAAAAGTACTCTAAACATATTTTCATTTAACCTGTTAGTTCATTTTCAGTAAGGTACACACTCACACAAAGACACCACATATAATATGACAATAAAGATTTAAATCTGAAACAAAATCGAAGTACTAACTCCTCAACTTGTTACAAAAAATCCTGACCAAATGCATCTAGTACATCCTCTTGCCACTCCAAATATCTAATGAAGAGTACCTAACCTTTTCATAGACATGTACTTGTTACTAATGTTAGGGTAAACTAGTCAGCTTCCTGCACTTTGAAACTGATTACAAATTAACCCTGTAATTAAGGTGGTGGTGGAATTGGGTTTAACGTTGTGCTTGAGAATATTTCGCTCATATGACGACGTGCATGCGTGTGTATGTGTATGTACGGCTGCTTGTACTAGCCCAGACTTAAGCTGGTTTTATAGTGCTAGCCCGCTGAGATACCCTGTAATTAAGGGACCGTGCATAATTTATGGCTGGATGTGGTGGTGATGAGTTTTATGGAGAAGCATGTACAAAATAAGTGACCCACTTGCATGCCATGTACAAAATCAATGACCCCCCCCACACACACACCTTCCCTTCCCATAATTTCTAAGCATAATTTTAAACATATTTTTATGTACAAAATTGCTGACTCCTCTAGTCAGCACACATGCACGCACACACACACACATATACTGGTAAACAACAAAAGAGGTAAAGCACTGATTTTCAGAATCTGAGTCAGGACCTACCATTAAAGCGTTTATGTTTGAGGTTAGCACCAGCTTGGACGAGAACTTTTACGAGTTCCCTGTCATTGGACTGCACAGCAACAAACAAGGGAGACTTGAGATAGCGATCAAGTGAGTTGACACTACATCCATGTTCCACTAACATCTCAGCTATTCTGGTTCTGCCATACTGGGCTGCAGTGGCTGAAACACATGCATATTGTCTCAGATAACACACCCCTAAACCCAGTCAAATGGCTAGAAAGGGTAAGACCTTACATTATTGACGGAAATTACGGATCATAAACATAGTAGATGTGATATTGGCCGACTATGTGCTCATGAAATTTCCAATAATTAACTGATCACTTGATGACAATGCCTTGTAGTTGGACGTTAACATGAAAAACCTACATGAAATTCATCATTTTGTAACAAAAGAATCAGTAACATGCATAAGAATACAATATGAGTCAGCATATCACATTAAGCAGTGTATGTCAGAATGGAGTTTATAAACATATAAAGACAACAGTAGGTATTAAAATTTTAGCATTTCAGACATGATCATGTCATGCACACTAATGGCTCTTCATTGTAACTACTACAAGAACACAGTTATAGGAGCACTTCTTTTGGCATTTCCCATACAATATCAGAGACCATATAATAGATTATCTATTATATGGTCTCTGACAATATATATTATTTTGGACCGAAATTTCGAGGTTAAAATAAATCAGGAAGTTAATGAATTCCTATATCACTTAACAAAGGATATCATTCATGCCAATAAAAATGTTCCGACATAATCGGGAAATGGGCGCGAGACAGTGGAGCCTTGAGGCAGGATGACCCTTGTAAGTTGAAGAATCTATTAAAGAATTACCCAATGGAGACTCAAAGTTGATATCTGCATCCACGTTTATACCACTCTGAAGAAATGTTAAAACCAATTCTTCTTCACCTTGACGAATTGCCTCATGAAACTTGATCACACGGTGCGATTCCTGAATGGATCCTTCACTTAAACTGGTTTTCCTAAACATGTTGTACCTTTGGGACAAAACAGTAACATAAACATTATTTTGTGCTATAATTTTATGTATGTAGAGTAGAAATGGATCAGTAAAAATGCACATTTATTTACAATTTCGTACAGATGATATATGTATGCCTTACCTAACATTTGCGTTTGTTCTATTTTGATAATATAGTCATACTGGAGCGACCATTTCTACGCAATAGGAGGAAGCACAAGCACATGTGAATGTTGTCATTCGAGGTCAAGGTCATTTCCTTCTCGAGTGCACTGGGCTCCTGTCTATAAAGAAATTGCGCATAATTCTTTCAATCAGTGTTCTTGTTGAAGTGCGCCTTCGCCTAAGTAACAACTTCCTTAACAAATATGATCGTCCTTACATTTTATACGAATGACATATTTTATTAAATCTAAGCAGGTTAATATGACGGCATTACCCACTTCGTGTAAACTTAATGCAATATGATTACTGTAGCCCATTTCATAATCTCCTTTCGCACCACTAGTACGCATGTGCGAATCTGTGACCTTCCCCTTCACATTGTATTTGCAAAATGGCCTCTCTGCTGAACGTGTCTGCGAAGTTGGCCCAAACACTGGGCTCAAAGTCTCTGGTATGTTACCTAAACCATCATTTCGTTGGTGATAATTAATAGCATGTTATGAAAATTATACTGTCAATTGTATATTGTCTGTTGCAAAGTCGAGCAAGCCAAATAAACACATTGCATAAGAACTTTTTTGGGTGCTTACACAACTTCCGAGAGTGAAACTGTGTAAGAATAAATGTAGTTTATAACTTGCCATCATGTGTTCCAGCTTCCAATGTCGATGTGTTTCCATACACTTAATTAATGAACATTTTGCACTATTGTATATAGAATTGTCCTTGAAATTCATGTCAAAATTTAACATGTTTACACTGACCTGACCTTGATAATGAAAAAAGGTCATTCTTAAGATTTTGCGAACAATCGTCCATGCCCACATAGACGTTTCAGTTATCAATAATAATGTATCCGCTTCATGAACAACTTCTTTAAGGTGTATTTATTTTCATGTTCAATTTGCCAGTGGCAAACTCTCAGAATGTTCTACACTGTAGACTGATCAGTTGGTGTTTTGAGTTTGTCATGACTCTTGATACATGGTTTATTGCTAAGATTGCTGGGGATTTAAAAAATTGCAATAACAGCTTGTAACATTTCTACAGATGGGGATGTCACAAGATCCCTGTAATCTTTTTCAATATAAACATAAATCCAACAGTCAAATCCTGCACATTGAAATAAAGATCACGTGTGTTGACACTATTCGCGTGACTAACATTTTGGTGGCCTTCCTTTAGAATTCAGTACCACAAACTTATACGTCATAATACCCTTTTACGTAATTTGGTGTGACTTTGTTCTAAACCACACTCTCGAAACAATACCCTATCACATCGGCATAGCAACAAGGTTGTCTAGCTCAGCGAGTGCGTATAAGCTCTGCTCACTGATGTTTCATCTCTATAACAGCTATGGCATTGAATAAGTCCAACGATGTTGAGAGTTTACAGTACCTGTTTACCAGCGGGTGCGCAATTTTTAGCCAGTTTATGAAAGCACTTTTGTTTTAAATATATTTTATATTTCTCTTTCAACATAGTTTTCAGGAATAAATGAATTATTAATGGGAACTAATATACATATAGATTTTTTGCATTCAGTAATTAGCATTATTACACAAGAATGGAGTTTATTTATTTACATTATATAATTTGAAGCGGTAAGAATGGATTACTCGTCAGCCACTTTCATGCCGCTTCAGTCAATGTGTTTTATTTATTAGAATTATTTTGAGGGGTTTAGGGTTTGGGGTAAGCATGGTTAGGGTGTGAATCCAATATGTTAGGTATAGATGTCCGGTGTAATGCATATGTACCATTTGTTGTTGTTGTTTTTCGTTTCCACATTTCTAATTCTTACCCAGATAAGGTCGAAAGTACACGAAGCAGTGGTTTAATGTAGAAAATTTGGGCTAATGGAAATTATTCTGGGACTTGCACTTATAAAGCCATTTTCACACACAACATTGGGGAGTCTACATTTCTTCAGCAATGATTCGAAGGCTAACTCACCCTCGTGTCAGCAGGCATGCTCATGCCTCCCTCATTCCTTAGTGCGATCCACATTATCCTTACAGTGTTCCCTACAACACTTTTCTGTCACAAAATCACCCGATGATTTTTTCAAATTGGACATCTGACGCCTGACGTCAACAGCCCTTTTCAGTTCGCACCATATTGGCTCATTCCACACCACGGTATCTTGTATCTTGTAGATTATGGAATGGGATGAGTGTGCCAAATGGCATCGGCACCATTTGTCAATTGTCTGCAGATTCAAATCACGAGACACCAAGGTTACTCGTAACCTTCATAATTGTCTGTGACCTATTCGACTATTTCCGTTCATTTCCGTAACGCCTCAGGAAGGACTATATAAATTTGCACATTGAGTAACAGTGTGGGCGTAGCTCAGTCAGTTAGCTGGCGGGCCAAAATTCTGATGGTCACAAGTTCGCGTCCGACAGATTCTCACAAACTGGTTACCTGTCCCACAGTGACATGTAACCTACGGCAGAGAACGTCCTCATGAGAAGATGTTGTGATGAATTCTAAAGGTGCTATGGACATGATAAGATGACACCATTGATGCGGTTGGGATAGGAATAGACCTGTAAATCATTGCTCAATAATAGAAATATAATATTTACAGTGATTAACATCAGTTTTTATTTGGATGCAGTCAGTTTAAAGTAGCATAAGGTTGGTTCATATAGTATAGATGATTTTTAGATTACAGAAAATGCTTGATCTATTTCATGATAAAATATAATAAAATTTATTCACTTTTCTCTGCCTTGATTTTAGGTCACTGTTGCTGGGGGGTATTAGCTTAAATGTGATGTTATAGTATAGTGATAATTGGTTGATGAAGAATGTGAATACTTTATTTAAGAATGTGAGACCAGGGTCTGATCGAGCACGGTTCAATTCCCTGCATGGGTATAATGTGTGAAGTCCATTTCTGGTATCCCCCACCTTAATCATGTTAATATTAGCAGAATATTGCTTAAAGTGGCATAACATTGTATTTACTCCCACACTCATGTATTATTTTGTGAATTAAAGTTTTGGTAGACATGTCTGATTGAGGCAGCTGATATGTTGTGTTCTGGGGTATTTTCAGTTAAGCCAACTGTCCAAACCTGTTGCTGCCTCCTCCAGGGACTTCCACTTCAAGATTCATGGCCGGAACACAGATTCCAAAGTCTCCAACTCTGCACAGGTATGGTGGAATATTCCTTGTATTCAAATTGTCAAGGGGTGAAGGTTAGTCTAGTCATGTAAGGCATTGAAATTTGCTGTACAGAATTTCGTATCCCTTATGTACACCATTAAGCTATGATTGTGGGACCATTTCCTTGATCTATTTCTATCTAGGTCAGCACCATAGCCTTGTTTGGGGGCTACACCTATGTGTAAACATCAGATTAGTTATAACAAGCTGACATGATATGATGTAAACAAAATACTGTCCAAGTGGCATTAGACCAATGTGTACTGATACTTACAAAAACACTCCATTCCAGCTATATAAATATGACAGAAAATAATGACAAAAATATCTTTAAAATTACTTAGTTTGCTCGCAGTAAGCTTTATCATTGTTTTTATTATGTTACAATCATTGTGAGCTTGTTATATTTAGAAATGTGTGCATCTCAAACTAGGTCGCTTGTTGTGGATGGGATATGATGACATCAATATTAAGACAAGTCATTCTCTTTTCAAGTTTGTCAAACCCTGAATTATCATGGAAAAACTTTCCCACTGTGTCATACAGCTGGTATGTTTGCTGGTTTGTCCAGATATCCCGGGACTACCCTGTGATTGACCACCAGTACGATGCTGTGGTGGTAGGAGCTGGTGGGGCTGGATTGCGGGCTGCCTTCGGCCTGGCCAACGAAGGGTTCAAGACAGCCTGCATCACAAAGTTGTTCCCAACCAGATCACACACAGTTGCAGCCCAGGTGAGTGTCACTACTTAGGCATTTTAGTTCTCACTGGTTCTTGAAGAATCAATTTGTATGAAGATATATTAAAGTGAGAAAAATACAAGACATTTGACAAATATGAATAGACAGGATCATTTTCATAATTGGCGTCCCAAGAACATGTTGATGTGGAAATTATAACTGTCTACATTACAAAATCAAAGCTGTTTACAAATTGCATTTGAGTTGGTTTTTTGTACACTTGTATGACCTATCAGCTATGTATATGAGTTCAGTGAACAAAAACCTAAATATATCCATGAAAGAATTTAATAAATTAGGCTGGTATGGCATGTCCATAATTAAGGATTCATTAAATTCATTGATTTATTTTGATCCTGATCCTGGACATATCTGATTTTGTATGTGTATTATTGTAGGGTGGTATCAATGCTGCTCTTGGACATATGGAAGAGGACAATTGGCGCTGGCACTTCTACGACACAGTGAAGGGTTCTGATTGGCTGGGAGACCAGGATGCCATACACTACATGTGTGAGGAGGCACCAAAAGCTGTCATTGAGGTAACTCTGCTGTTGCCCAGCATGGTTGGTGAGAATATGCTAATGGTTATTGTTGGGATGATGTTAGATGAAATCAAAATGTGCAACCATGTGTTTCAGTCTTGTAATTTTGTTACATCAATAGTAACTACCAGATAAGGGATTTCATGTTCAGTGATGTGTTCAGTATTATGAGTTATCTCTGGGTCTTAAAAATATATGCACTGAAATTATAAGCTTCTAACTTATGAGGAACGACAATGATCCCCTTACTTTCAGGCTTAAAATTTGACATTAGTGTAAACTCTGTCTGCTGGACTGTGTATTCAGCGGCGTCCGTACTTCTGTCCGTCCCATTTCTTGTTAACACGATATCTCATGAACTGTTGTACCCAATATCTTCAAATTGGGTGACAGCCTACATTGGGGGATTACACAGACACCAAGTGATTTGGGTGACCATGACCTTATCTTCAAGGTCATCACGACACTTTGACCACATTCTCTTGTTAACGCGATATCTCATGAACTGTTGTACCCAATGTCTTCAAATTTGGTGACAGCCTACATTGGGGGATTACGCAGACACCAGTCGAGTTGGGTGACCTTGACCTTATCTTCAAGGTCATCACGACACTTTGACCACATTCTCTTGTTAACGCGATATCTCATGAACTGTTGTACCCAATGTCTTTAAATTTGGTGACAGCCTACATAGGGGATTATGAGACACAAGTGGACTTGGGTGACCTTGACCTTATTTTCAAGGTTACCACGACAGGCTCAAACTCTTGTTAACGCTCATATTGTTGGTGATTATGCAGACACCTGTGATTTCAGGCATCTTGTATGTGAGCAAAAATTAAAAAGTAGTAAATATGTTATGAATATTCCATTCTTTAGTGGCGGGGGACATTGCCATATTAGTGGCAACACTTGTTTAACTCGTGTGTTTATTTGAGTTGCTATGCTGTAACAAGGTAGAGGCACATAGTGTCAGGAGTTGTCCCCACTTGGTACTTACAGCCATTTCCTAATGTTGAAATATTTCATTGATTGAAGTTTTCTGTATTATTCCCTAGTTGGAGAACTATGGCATGCCCTTCAGCAGATTAGAGAATGGCAAGATCTACCAGCGAGCATTTGGAGGTCAGAGTCTTAAGTTTGGCAAGGGTGGTCAGGCTCACCGCTGCTGCTGTGTGGCTGATCGTACCGGCCACTCCCTACTCCATACACTTTACGGCCGGGTGAGTGTCTTGTGAGATCATACCTGAACTATGAAGTTAGTGTACTTTGCGTACTGACTCCCAAGTCTATCATGTGTATTCTTCGTGTGTTGATGTGTATTGCCTAATGGTTACCTCATTAATCAGACTGTCTCAGTTTTACACCTGACATACATAATACATTACTCTGTATCCGGACTGGACAAAAGCTGCACAAGAGTTTTTTGAAATAGATTCTCTTCTGTTAAGTATGAAGACGATTTAACATTCACTATGATGACAAAACAGAATGGAAACAACTGGAAATACAAATTCCACTTGAATCCATAAAGTCTTATCGCCTTTTGAATTATTGAGTCAGAACATTATGTCCATTAAATACTCTGGTGGTACTTTTGTGGAAATTCCTCATTGATATCTTTTTAGATCCCGAATATTTTGTATGTGTTTCAGTCTTTGAAGTATGATACTAACTACTTCATCGAGTATTTCGCCTCGATCTTATCATGGAGGGAGGAGAGTGTCGTGGAGTTACTGCCCTTTGTTTGGAAGATGGTACAATCCATAGATTCCATTCAAAGAACACTATCATTGCTACTGGGTGAGTTGATTAGCATCCCAAAATAAGTATACATTTTACCATAACTAAGAAGCTGTTTGTACATCAAAAGTGCAGAGGATCAGACATTTTGTTTACATGTGTCATGTATGATATGCAAGAAATACAAGAAGTCATAATATATCTTATAACTAAGTCTGACTGACTGAGTTTGGTTTTACGCCGCTTTTAGCAATATTCCAGCAATATCACGGCAGGGGACACCAGAAATGGGCTTCACTCATTGTACCCATGTGGGGATTCAAACCCGGGTCTTCGGCGTGACGAGCCAACGCTTTAACCACTAGTCTACGCCACCGCCCCTATAACTAAGTGTTGAAATGTGAAACATGCTGCCCCTTCGAACAATGTAGGGCACCGGTGCCCCTGTCTTCACAGCGCAGGTATGTGTGCAAGAACTTCTAGGGTCATCTTGATTAGGATTTTAGGTTTGTCAGCACCATACCTGCTTGTCAGTTTCACCAAAACGATGAGCCTGGGTTAGTTTGGGCTTTCCTCCCATATCAAGCCAAGCATCCTCTGTATAACTGAACTCATGAAGATCCGAGTTAGAATTGACCTTCAGTGACCCATGATTGTCATAAGAGGCGACTAACAGGATCAGGTGGTCAGGCTCGCTGACTTGGTTGACACATATCCCAATATTGTGTAGATCGATGCTCATGCTGTTGATCACTGGATTGTCTGGTCCAGACTTTATTTACAGACCGCCACCATGTAGCTGGAATATTGCTGAGTGCGGCGTCAAACAACAAATCAGCCAACCAATAAAAACAATTATATGACGGAACCAACCGAACCAGTTGTAAGCACTGTTGAAAGTGGCATTAAACCAGAATGAGATATTCCCACTCACTATAAAGTTACGGGACAGTGGTAAGTTGAACCATCAGTTACATGTGTTATTACTTGATATGTTTCAGAGGATATGGGCGTGCCTACTTCTCGTGCACATCTGCTCACACTTGTACAGGGGACGGCACAGCTATGGTCAATCGGGCAGGACTGGCTAATGAGGACATGGAGTTTGTTCAGTTCCACCCCACAGGTATGTCTGTCTTTGTAGACCTCACTTCAACAATAGACATCACTGACACTTAAAATATTATCATCCGATTTTTGGGGGACTGACTTTCATTGCTCTGAAGTGGTCAGTGTCATGAAGCTCAGCCCTGCTAATCTCCAGGGTATACGTTACGATCACTCTCCACTATACCCTGGATGCATCCACGGTTGGCCCGATGATTTTATTACCTCCCTTGGCTGGCTTTTTATCCAATCAGGTGTCTACGCTGGGAAGTAGAGCGAACCAATCACAACTCACTTTCGCTTCTTGAATTATCTAACCGTTTAAACTTTGCAACACAATTGATGCAGAGGTACTCTGAAAGAGGTAGAAGGAGTTCTTTCATATATTTTTTCATATAAGTTTCAGATTTGTCAATTTGTCTGTATGATTTCCCCCAAAATATGAGTGGCACTGCGAACAAACCTTCGCGACTGCGACCGCTATCTTTGTTGACACTGGCAAGCTCGGATGTAAGGGCGGCTTAACTGATTGGCTACTGTGAGAATGTGGAGCCAGCAAAGGTAGATAATATCATTATCGGGCCAAGCCGTGGATGCATCCAGGGTATAGTGGAGAGTGATCGTAACGTATACCCTGTAGATTATCGAGGATGCATGAAGCTATGATTGGCATAATAAAATATTTAAAAAATTGCTTGTTAGGGTGAGTTATGTAATGTATCGTATGTAATCCCAGAGTTACTTCCCTTCCTATGTCCACCAACAGCATGTAGATGTTGGTTGCAGCTATGGAGGCCAGGATGAAATGTGAAAAATTGCTAGTTGGATAAAATAGAAAAGAATGTAATAGTATTTTCATTTGGGGTGAACCATGTATCAAAGCGTTACTTCCCTTCCTATGTCCACCTACAGCACAGAGATATTGGTTGCAGGTATCTATGGTGCTGGGTGTCTGATCACGGAAGGATCTCGGGGTGAGGGAGGATACCTTGTCAACTCAGAGGGAGAGAGGTTTATGGAGAGATATGCTCCCACAGCCAAAGACCTGGCCTCTCGCGACGTTGTGTCCAGGTCCATTACTCTTGAAGTCCGAGAAGGGCGGTAAGATAAGAACTGTTGTTATTTCACTTCACTGCTTTACTGCACTGTACTTTTTTGGTTACAGGGGTGTAGGCCCAGACAAGGACGTGTCATTGATGGATGTTGTGTTGGTTACAGGGGTATAGCCCCAGAGAAGGATGTGTCACTGATGGAAGTTGTGTTGGTTACAGGGGTGTAGCCCCAGAGAAGGAGGTGTCACTGATGCATGTTGTATTGGTTACAGGGGTGTAGGCCCAGAGAAGGTGGTGTCATTGATGGATGTTGTGTTGGTTACAGGGGTGTAGGCCCAGAGAAGGTGGTGTCATTGATGGATGTTGTGTTGGTTACAGGGGTGTAGCCCCAGAGAAGGATGTGTCACTGATGGAAGTTGTGTTGGTTACAGGGGTGTAGGGCCAGAGAAGGATGGTGTCATTGATGGATGTTGTATTGGTTACAGGGGTGTAGGCCTAGAGAAGGAGGTGTCATTGATGGAACTTGTATTGGTTACAGGGGTGTAGGCCCAGAGAAGGAGGTGTCATTGATGGAAGTTGTATTGGTTACAGGGGTGTAGGCCCAGAGAAGGACGTGTCATTGATGGATGTTGTATTGGTTACAGGGGTGTAGGCCCAGAGAAGGATGTGTCATTGATGGATGTTGTGTTGGTTACAGGGGTGTAGGCCCAGAGAAGGAGGTGTCATTGATGGATGTTGTGTTGGTTACAGGGGTGTAGACCCAGAGAAGGTGGTGTCATTGATGGATGTTGTGTTGGTTACAGGGGTGTAGACCCAGAGAAGGATGTGTCATTGATGGATGTTGTATTGGTTACAGGGGTGTAGGCCCAGAGAAGGAGGTGTCACTGATGGATGTTGTGTTGGTTACAGGGGTGTAGGCCCAGAGAAGGAGGTGTCATTGATGGATGTTGTGTTGGTTACAGGGGTGTAGGCCCAGAGAAGGAGGTGTCGTTGATGGATGTTGTATTGGTTACAGGGGTGTAGCCCCAGAGAAGGACGTGTCACTGATGAATGTTGTGTTGGTTACAGGGGTGTAGGCCCAGAGAAGGAGGTGTCATTGATGGATGTTGTGTTGGTTACAGGGGTGTAGGCCCAGAGAAGGACGTGTCACTGATGGATGTTGTGTTGGTTACAGGGGTGTAGGTCCAGATAAGGACCATGTTTTCCTGCAGCTCCACCATCTGCCACCAGATGTCCTCAAGGCTCGTCTCCCTGGCATCTCCGAGACTGCCATGATCTTTGCTGGGGTAGATGTGACACGTGAACCTATCCCAGTGCTACCAACTGTTCACTACAACATGGGAGGAGTACCCACCAACTACAAGGGACAGGTGGGTGATTTATTGCCAAGTCTCAACTTAACTTGCTATGTAATACAGCTTATGATAAAAATATGTACAATTGCAATATGATTATTTAAATGAAAACTGTTATATTCAGGAGTACACTTACTCAATTAGTACAGATTCCAGTAGTTTGTGTGGGTTTAGCCCCATCCAGAATTCGAACCCACACTCTTAGAATCAGGTTTCTAATCGGCATCCCACAAAGTAAGTGATCTAACCCTTTCAGCGACCACAGCTTCCACAAGAATGGAAGGGGTATTTTTATGCTTTCAGAAATTGCTAAAAATGTTATACTTTGTTTCAAAATGCCCAAATGATATGCCCTATCTTCCAATCTACATAAATTGCGAATATTTTGAAATGACTACGCTGTAACAGTTGTCTCTGGCCTCCGTAACACAGGTGGTGCAGTACACGAGGGAGGCTGGTGATCAGGTGGTTCCGGGTCTGTATGCCTGTGGGGAAGCAGCTTGTGCATCAGTGCATGGAGCTAACCGTCTTGGTGCCAACTCCCTGCTTGATCTTGTTGTGTTTGGCAGAGCCTGTGCCAACACCATCATTGAAGAGAACAGGCCAGGGGGAGCCTATTGGGCCAATAAGTCAGAATGCAGGCGAAGCCTCAGTTGCAAATGTTGACAAAGTTCGATATTCTAATGGAAGCGTCCCCACAGCTGAACTTCGACTCAAGATGCAGAAGGTTTGTGTTTTAGACAACTATTTCACAGGAACTTATCCGTACATACTGATGGAAACAAACGATGCGTTTCTTTACGATCCAATGTTAAATTTCTTGTTTATAGAATATTGTGATAACAGATGGTGACAACAAAAAAATTGATTCTTTTACATTTATTTCATCCCTTAATATAATTTGCATGAAAATGAAACATCATAAAAGGGAAAATTTAGACACATTCAAACTTTGGAAAAGAGAAGTTTTGATGTATAATTGTCCTTGAGACCAGTGGATAATGATGCATATGTAGTATATTGTATTCTTCCACAGAATATGCAGACCTATGCCAGTGTGTTCCGTGATGGCAACAGTCTACAGGAAGGCTGTGGGAAGATGGCGGAGGTGTACAAAGAGATGGAAGACTTAAAGGTCAGTATGGGCGGTGGGGTAGTCTAGTGGTTAAAGCATTTGCTCGTCATGCTGAAAACCCGAGTTTGATTCTTAGCATGGGTACGATGTGTGAAGCAGATTTCTGGTGTCCCCCCCCTGTGATATTGCAGGAATTATGCAGAGTAATTTTGCAGAGTAAAACCATGCTCACACTTTGTAGCATTCACTCCAGACAGGCCTCAATATAGGGAGCTTGATTAAATTTGCACCAGTGCATGTTGATATAAAAACTCAAAATGACGACACATGACGTAGCTGAGAAATCAAATGCAAGGCTCTGTCCAATATGTTTGGGACACCTTTGCTGTGCTTTCAGTACGGAGAGCAAGGACAGGGCTAGGAAGGCAAGCAGCTGTGTAGTGCTGTATCACTGTACTTGTTAGGAATGTGAACTACAAAAAATACTGGAAATTCATAATTTTTCCTTATCCTGACTCATGCTAATTATGCTTGCCTCCTTCCTCTTGCGAATGATAGTGGAACACTTGAAATCCCTTCTAAAAAAGCGGACGTAAAATCACTCACTCACGAGTAGCGTCCCTTTCCTCCCTTTTAGTGCCCAAATGGTCACATGATCCGCCACATTTGTCACCCTCTCCTTCTTCGCCCTTGAGGACGGTTGTGAGAGCACCTGGGTCCCTATACGTCACATATCCTTTTATATTTTCGACCTTACATCAAATTATTGCTGTATACGTTTTTTAGTATTATATTCTACATTACGGTTTGAAATTTGATCTAAATTTTCTGTTGTTTGACATGTGCTTTCTTCATGTTTACATTTGATGAAAACTTGTATTATGTAGGTACTGAGTGTCTGCAGCTGACCCTCATTTATTATGTCCTAATTGCACTGTTTCATGTTCTTTCAGCTCTCGCTGTAAGTTTTGTGTAAATTTTACTTCGGTTGAATTCAATAATTACCTTTTTTCCATCCATAGACATGCTAAGGACTGGGTACGAAGGTATTCACAAGTCATGTCTAAATTGAGTGATTGCGCTGATAACCGTGTGTTAACCACTGCTGCAGACATTCATAATTCTAGTGAATTGCTGAACGTTTCTCAGGAGTAGGTCGATGTACCAGTGGTGAACGCCGGAGGCCATAAGAGATCATCATCTACTGAGCTGACCCCATCGCAGATGAAGAAGGCTAAATCATCATCTTCGCAGAAGAAGAAGGCTACTACCATGAAGACTTCAGCGAAGTCTAAGGTCAGCTCTACACAGAAGACGAGGTCTTTCTCAGCTGAGATTGTTCCTCCGGAAGAAGCAGATGTTTATGATGATCCACCCATCCTCATACCTGAAGTAACCATTATCAGTAAGAAGACGAAGTCTGCTTCTACAGCTACATCGGCATTGTTATCAGCGCAGACATTGACAGAAGACCTTCTATCAACGCAGACATCGGGTACCAGAGATAGCAGCAGCATCAACTCTTCGCAAGTGCAGCGAGCCTTAGATGACATCTCTTCAGTATCAGATGCATCATCCCAGCAGCAGTCTCTTCAGACAACGCAGAACTCCAACCCGGGACTGTTCATGCAACAGTTTACAGACCAGATGATGTCGATGATGGAATGTCACTTCGCTCAGGAGAAGGCTGCAATGAAGACCTCTACAACGACTACTAGCCTGCGTGAAGGCTCTATCACATCCGGATGAAGAGGGAAGCCTGTGTGAAGGCTCACTGACACGACGATCTTCCCCATCTGAAGTGAGGAGTCTGGACTCTGCTACCAACGTAGACGCTCCAGAGATTGCTGCTAAGAAGTCTCCACGCAGAAGGAATCAAGGCGTTCACCCGAACCCTACAGACATCGCAGATATGAGCCTTCATCTCCATCGGACTCTGATGCCCATCGAGAGCCTGCGTGAAGGCACTCCTACAGAGGAGAAGCTACGTCCAGGAACCCACCTTCGCGAAGGCCTAGACAATTATCTCAAAATTTCAGGAAGGATTCAAGATTGCATCGGGATTGATCGCCTGTACGAAGCTCATCTTACAGATCATCCTATAGAGACTCAAGTCGTCGTGCATCCATAGAGCGAGAGATGTCTAAATCAGAGGATGAAGGTGAAGGCATATTCTCCGATACGGAAGTTAACTCCTGGATCGCCAATGGCTTGGACTTATCATCACTTTCTAGGGACACAGATGAGGCGTTGACCTACAAGATGTCCAACGATGATTTCGACACGCTCACCTTTCCACCGATTGACCCGATCTCTCAAGTACCAGACAACCTCAGCGCAGCTTTTGATAAAGCCACCAAGTCATCCCGACGTTCAATGCCAGGAAATTCCCTTTACATAGGATGGAACCCTTCCTGAAGGCTCCAGAGGTTTGATGATGACTACAAGATTATCACTGACTCCCGTCAGGGAACTTACAAGATTGAGGATAAGAAGTTAGCGCAGCTGGATACAACCACCAGACGTACTCTCTTCGGATTAGCCAGATCGAGGGCTATCAACGAAACACTCATCTCGAAGTTCAAGAACTCCTCCGCCGAAGAAGACCGGATGATATACTCCGCTCTACTAATGCAGAAGAGGGACCATCAGTTTATGTCGGAGCACCTAGCATCCACATCAGCGGGCCTGATTCTCCTGAGAAGACTAGGGTTATTGTCAGCATGCACTTGGAGTGAACGCTTCACCAAGTCCTTATCCAGAGCTCCATGGTCAGCATGTTACATCTTCGGAGGATGAATTGAAGAAGTCGCCAGAGAAGCCTCTCACGACTCAAGGGAGGTTGTGAAGGTTAAATCCATCGACACCTTGGCTAACGTGATTCGTCAGACGTCCCAACGCTACTCCAATAAATCTAAGTTTGCAGGAGTCCAGAAAGCCAGAGAAAAGAAGTATTCCAGCATGAAAAGAGGAAGAGGCTCCTTTCGTCGCCAAACCGGATCTCCTAGAGGTAACCCCGGAAGAGGCCGAGCACCTAGGAGTGCAAGAGGAATCAGCGATGAAGGCCAGGTTCGGAACGACTGGAGTCTTCCACCCCCAGCCGTTCCTGTACAACCTTCGACAGTGGGTGGACGTCTTCAACAGTACTGGGAGAATTGGGGAATACTACAGGACGACTACGTATCCCAGATACTGCGCAGAGGGTACAAGATACAGTTGAAAGCCACTCCGCCGCTCACAAGCAACCCGATGGCCTTCAACTATGCAGCCGACCAGATAGAGAAACTGGACGATGCTATCAAGATCCTACTTGATAAAGAGGCAGTAGAAGAGATAGATCAAGATCTCATCATGCCCGGGTTTTACTCCCCAATTTTCCTGGTACTGAAGAAGAATTCCAAGGAGAAAATTTGGCTCATCTACAATATGAGGAAGTTCAACCGGGAGTATCTCACGCAGACCAGCAAAATTCAAGATGATACATCTTCCTCAGCTCCGACATCTCGTTCGTCCAGCAGACTACCTCACCAGCATAGATCTGCAGGAAACGTACCTCCAATACATCCAGACTCAAGGAAATACCTAAGATTCCTTTTCAACGGACATCACTTCCAGTGGAAGGTTCTACCGTTTGGAATATCGTCGGCCCCCTGGTTGTTTACTCAGTGCTTTCTACCTGGACGATGGGATTCAAACTCATCACGATCCCAGTCAACTCAGACTGCAACTAGACTTCACCATCAGGCTGCTAACTCAACTAGGATGGCTAGTGAATCTCCTTAAGTCGGAACTGGAGCCAAAACAAGATCTGCAATTCCTAGGAATTTGACTCATCACACCAGTGAATCGCAAAGTCGTTCCAGAGGATCGTTGGGTCAAGATACAACAGATGATATCTCAAGCATTGCTCTCTCCGCTGACACTACGTGCTTGGCAACGCATGCTCGGTCTACTCACCTCAGCTCAAGACATGACTCGCAGAGGGAGATTACATTTGCGAACACCCACCTAGACAGTCTAGATCCGTTAATACTACCGGACAACCTGAAACCATATCTCCTATGGTGGACTCGGAAGTCGAACGTTTGCGGAGGAACCTTTTTGTCAGAGACAGTTTGCAACACTCATCTCTACGTGGATGCCTCCCTACAAGGATGGGGTGCGCACTTCAACAACGAAGTGGCAGCAGAAAAGTGGTCGAATCAGGATCAGAAGTCACACATCAATTTGTTGGAGATGAAAGCTTTACAACATTGGTCCAGCGTACTAAAGAACACACGACTCATGGTACACACGGACAACTCCACAGTGGCGTTTTACATCAACAAACAAGGGTCAACAAGATCAACAAGTCTGCTACAACTCAGCTTTCTCCTGTTCAGCATCGTCGACAACCTGAACATCTACATGAAGGCATGCCACATTCGGGAGCAAAGAATGTCATAGCAGACGCCCTATCTCGTCCACTACAACCATCTCCGACGGAATGGATGTTGCATCCAGAACCATTCCAGTTCATCATACAGACTATAGGATCCCCACTAATAGACCTGTTTGCAACAAAGTTCAACAAACAGCTACCAACGTTCGTCTTACCGATTCCAGATCCTCAGGCATGGGCAACAGACGCTCTAAGCATCTCATGGGAAAGACTAAACGCTTACGCGTTTCCGCCTCCTGCACTGCTACCACAAGTACTACAGAAAATCGAGCAGACGTCTACATTGCAACTGATTTTGGCCACGCCCTATTGGCCAGCGAGGGTATGGTTTCCCGTCCTCATACAAGAACTCGGAAGTCCAACCCTGAAACTACCAGAGTGGTCGAACCTACTCGTCCATCCACACACCAAGCAAGCTCACGGGAACCCGACACTGTTCCAGCTACACGCGTGGAGCGTATTAAACCTTGCCTGAAGACTAGAGGGTACTCCGCCAGAGCAGCGAAAGCAGTTACACTAGCTGTACGCAGATCAACTCGCAACTTGTACGACGACAAGTAGCAGAGATTTGAACAATATGCAAAGAGGAAAGGCTTTACAGCGGTGAAAGCAACACATCCTCAAGTGGCGGAATACTTATGTCATCTACAACAGACGAGACACTTAAAAGGTTCAACACTCTCAACTTACTTAGATGCCCTCAGTACAGTTATAACCATGAAAACGGGTATCAAGCTGACCAAAGTACCAGAGCTTCTGGCACTACAAAGCTCGTTCAAGTTGGAAGACCAACAAAAGAAATTTAAGACTCCTGCCTGGGATCTCAACATAGTTCTACAACATCTAACCGGTGATGCCTATGAGCCTCTAGAACGGACATCCTTTGAATTATTAACTCAGAAAACACTGATCCTGATCGCCCTAGCAACAGCTGCAAGGATGTCAGAAATACATGCTCTGGACTTTGAACGAACACGATTTGAATCAAGACATCATGACATCATACATCTTGGACTGAGATGGGATTTTATCGCCAAGAACCAACTGCCTGGTCAGCCTGACAGACAGTTCCACATCCCAGCACTATCTACAGTCCTTGGGCCACAGGATACGCAGGATCTATCCTTATGCCCAGTCAGAGCACTTAAAGTCTACCTACAGAGAATTAAAACAAGGAGACGAAAATTCAAGCGCCTATTCATCCCCTTATCCACTGAGATGCCCACAGAAGTCTCTCGGACAATGATATCGATCTGGATGAGAGCTGTTATACTAAGGGCCTATAAAGCAGCAGGACTTGAGCCTCCACGAGCCTCCAATCCACATGAAGTCAGAGCCCTGGCGTCAACACTTGCTCTGCATGGAAACTGCTCGATTACAACTATAATGGAGGGCTGCTTTTGGAGATCGAACACGGTGTTTGCCAACCACTACCTCAGAGACATTGCCTTCGAAAACGTCTCAGGCATTCACCAGTTTGGGCCACTTGTTGTAGCACAACAACTAACGGTTCCACAAAGGCGCTGAGTAAGTCTCACCCCTTTTATCACGTGACTTGTGAAAACCAACGCTCTGGAGAACAATGGCTATAAGTCCATGCACGTCTAGGACAGACTAGCATGAGTGATAGACCCTGTACTTGTATAGGACATACTTGTACATGAAGAAGGGTCGCATCTCCACTTGATGCGCGAATCAAGAGATGGAGTTGCAATGGATAACTAATGGAATATTAGTATATTTAAAATCCACACGATAATGTCAGGAGAAGTCCCCCCAGACTCATCAGAGAGAAGTTGAAAGAACAGAATCTTCAACAGTGCCGTCATAAGTTCCCAAGGGGGGTAATACAGGACGTAAATCTACAACCAGTGAATCCAGAACGTGGCCTGACCCACCACCGTTTCCGACGGATTCTGCAAGCATAATTAGCATGAGTGAGGATAAGGAAAAATATGTAATTTTCTTACTAAAGTTGATATTTTATACTTATCCTGTCTCATGAGGTTAGCCCTCCCAACCTCCCCTCTTATGGCGCTCTGGATTTCCCTGTAAATCCGGGTGTCGGGCTTACATACGGAGAGAGTGACAAATATGGCTGATCATGTGACCATTTGGGCGCCAAAAGGGAGGTAAGGGAAGCTACTTGTGGGTGAGTGATTTTACGTCCGCCTTTTTAGAAGGGAACTTCAAGGGATTTCAAGTGTTCCACTATCATTCGCAAAAAACAGTGGAATATATGTCCTGGTAAAGTATGTTAAAAAAATCATAGGAGATAGTTTTGTTGTGTGACAATATGACCATATTCATTGACAATGCAGAATTAGTGTTACATCACATTCATTGATCCGTTCAGATAAGTCAAATACCATTCATTTTGGGTTTAAATAAGAGGCCAAGTTGGAGGTGGATGCTGGCTTTGTGGGAACACATTTTAGTCTTTACATTTGCTTGCTTCCAGGTTTCGGATCGAGGTCTGATCTGGAACACAGACTTGGTAGAGACACTGGAACTCCAGAACTTGATGCTGAATGCTGTCCAGACAATCGAGTCTGCAGAGAAGAGGAAAGAGAGTCGGGGAGCACATGCTAGGGAAGACTTCCAGGTGAGCTAAACTGTTGGACTCCTGTTGCATCCAGGTGAGCTAAACTGTTGAAAACCTGTTGCATTCAGGTGAGCTAAACTGTTGAACACCTGTTGCATCTTGGTTAGCTGGGCGGTGGGTACCCTAGTGGTTAAAGCTTTCGCTCGTCACACGGAAGACCTGGGTTCGATTCCCCACATGGGTACAATGTGTGAAGCCCATTCCTGGTGTTCCCTGCCATGATATTGCTGGAATATTGCTAAAAGTGGCATAAAACTAAACTCAATCACTCACCCCTGGTGTTCTAAGCTGTTGAACACCTGTTGCATGTAGGTGAGCTTAACTGTCTGTAATGTCTTGCATCCTGGTGAGCTAAACTGTTGAACACCTATTGCATCCGGATGAGCTAAACTGTTGAACACCTGTTTTTCCACTTCAGGTTCGACTTGATGAATAACGACTACAGTAAGCCCATCGAAGGACAGAAGATGAAAGCCTTTGATGACCACTGGAGGAAACACACACTCTCATATGTTGATGCTGATACTGGGAAAGTAGGTTGTCCCATGGTGACCTGGGTTAAAATAGGTCCCCCACACTCCTATTACTTGTCTCTACGTGGGTCCTGTGTATCCCCAGCCCTCTACTAATTGTCTCTATAAGGTCCTGTGTCAGGACCTTTGTCTCAGCACTCTAATCTTTTCTCCCTGTTTGACCTGGGTGAGAATGTGTTGTAAAGAGCGCCACATTACATTGGGTCAGCAGGTTCACTCTGATGTGTTTGTATTTTGCAGGTGAAAATAGACTACAGGCCTGTGAAAGATGAAACCCTCAACGCTCAGGATTGTCCCATGGTAGCGCCAGCAGTCAGGTCCTACTAGGAACAAACTCAGTGATGTTTACAGTGATGGTGAGGAAATCAGTCTACCCATTTTGATGTATTTTAAAATTTGTGGGGGTAATGAAACTTAGTGTTTAATAACCCTAGTATAAACTGTATGGTTGGAATTCAAACATACTGATGGAACAGAAATCAAATTACATTTCTTTTGTTCTGAAAAAGCAAAGTAACACTGGTGATCATTACTGATCAAGCAATTGAACATTCGGCATGCCTACCAGTAGATCATTGCAGATTAAGTAAAGTTGTTGCTTGGCTAGTATTTGGAAACTCTTTTTGGATGTCTCCAAGTCTGGGAGTATTTCATCAGTATAATGATGTGTCATCAAAATACAATTGTCATTATTGTAAACAGTTGTCTTATCCCATAAACATACTTGATTAACACGGGGCGGCAGGGTAGCCTAGTGGTTAGAGCGTTCGCTTGTCACCCCGAAGACCCAGGGTATAATGTGTGGAGCCCATTTCTGGTGTCCCCTGCTCTTGTCTCAGTTCTATTATGAAAAGGTGGGGGGGGGGTGGGGTAGCCTAGTGGTTAAAGCGTTAAGCTCGTCACGCTGAAGACCCGGGTTCGATTCCCCACATGGGTACAATGTGTGAAGCCCATTTCTGGTGTCCCCGGCCGTGATATTGCTGGAATACTGCTAAAGCGGAGTAAAACTAAACTCACTCACTATTATGAAAAAAAACCTGGACCTATCAGCCATCATAGCTTATTATTACTCTGTTGCTAATGACTTGTGAAGAATAGCCACACAAACTGGATGATTTAATGACACTTGCAGTACTCAGCTCGTGTACCAACTCAAATGCAAGATCTTAAAAACTGGTAACTCCTTAGCTTTAGGACATCCGTCCTCGCTCACAAAAGGCAGACACCTCTTCAGACATCATTTTCATTGGTTGTTAACATTTAAAAAGAGAAAAACTCTGCCCAAAATGACCTCTGTGGTAGGTGAGATAGAGATGGTGACGTCACATGCAGAAAAACCTATGATGGTGAATAATTGAGGTTATCATCATTACAGGATAGGGTCATTGTTGGATTGTTGTGAATGTTGTAAGTGGACTGTATACTGTATGAAGAATTGTTTCTTATTTAAGGTCAGGTTGCTCGACAAGTGTTGACACATCCCAGTGGCATGGAGTGCATTCATTAAAGGCAAAACAGCTGACTGGATTTGACACAGCTGACTTTATACAGATGGGACTGACTGGGATATGGACACTCCTGCGTGTTTAGCTCTTGTGTATCTAATGTTGCTGTCATGCTTGCTGACGCGTTTTTGTCAACCAGTGCTTGAGAATAATGGTTAAAATTACTGTTGGTAATGAGAGTTGGTCAATCTCTGAAGACGTGAAGAAGTTACAGGGTTGATCATGTGACGAGTGAAAGTTGTTTGTACATATTTATTGTGGAATAGATTCCTTCTAATGTAAATAAATTGTTCTGGACTTTCATCTGCAGTGAAAGACAGCAGCTTTGCTGTAGATTTTCCCACATCATCACAGACTTGTCATTTGTTCATGTATGGGTATCTCAGTCAGGGGTACCTAGTCCATTTGTCACACGTGACATCCATCTACTTGGTAGTTGCTCATAGCTTAACATAGGAATCCATCCTCTATATCTCCAGGGCTGGCATTTCAGTAAACCTACACTAAGTGGTTTTTCGCACAATCTCGAATTACCTGCCCTTGATTTCCATTTGCCAGTTTGATTGGCTATGCTTCTTGGTTTCATAGGGGCGGTGGGTAGCCTAGTGGTTAAAGCGTTGGCTAGTCACGCCGAAGACCCGGGTTCGAATCCCCACATGGGTACAATGTGTGAAGCCCATTTCTGGTGTTCCCCGCCGTGATGTTGCTGGAATATTGCTAAAAGCGGCGTAAAACTAAACTCAGTCAGTCAGTCAGTCTTGGTTTCATACACAGTTCCAATTAGAATGTGAATTGTAAACCAGCCTCAGTGTTGGCAGTATCATCAGCATGGCAGCTAGTTCCACTGATTATGATCGAAGTTCAGGAAAAAGTCAGTATTGGAAAACTGACTGACACTGAAAAGAAAGCCCTCAAGAATCGTTTTGATTGAGAGGATGTTTTCATGCTAATTTTGTTTCTAGGTAATACAAGAAACCTCCATTAATGATCTCTCATGTCAGTATTTGATGTCAATAAAAGATAATTGAAAGTCAAGGGTGGGTCATTTGTGGGTAAGAACCTGTTGTGTTTGGCTTGATATACATTCTTCCAGCTTCACAATGGCGTAAGAATCTACTCCAAACGTTAATGCAATAAACCTGAACTTATTATGCCATACAGTTTTATTTACTGAACATGCTGACGAGATTAGTTTTCTTGTAGTTTCAATCGGGTAAGTGTGCTACTGACAAACAAGGACAAGTTTAGCAATGACTTGACAATTGGTCGCCTGCCTTTGTGAGCGAAGGGGCCTCAGGTTGTCTGCGATCAAGTGTAGTGCTACACTGACCATGTGAATGGTCTTATGAGCAAAGCATGTGCAGCTACACGCGGAATCAATTTCATCATCATGCACTGCACATGCACTAGCCTACATCTGCTCTACCTTTCACAAACCAAATGGGTTTGCTCATTGCCATGCACCACCTACTTCTCGTAAACGTGCTGTCTGCACTGGTCCAACTTATCCTTGTTTGCCAGTAAGATGCCAAATTAAATACTTTCTAAGGATAATTAAGATTAATCTAAGGCAGAAAACAAATGACAGTGTTGGTGTCTGTGCCGGTCCAAGTTTGCAATCCTTGTTTGCCAGTACATTACTTTGTCCATCAAATGTGAAGGCATTGTTCTGTAGTATCATGGAAAAACTTTACTCAGATCTTTAAGTCTATTCCAGCTGAGGTAGCCAGATGTAACTTCAGTTTTTGAGGTGAGGCTGTTTTGGTTTTTTTCAGGTTATGTGAACACCTTTTCAGTTATATATTAAGTTTGATAAACATTTATCGTAAAAACTTTGATATCATTTTCTTATCTTTGGCACTCTGCCAGTAAGGCATTGATGCTTGGCTTGTATCACAACTTACTACATTCCAGTGATGCTGTGGAGGTGCTACACAAACTTAATAAAAACATTTGTACTTCACAACGTTGAAAACAGATCAGACTTGTGGATGTTATAAAATTACATTGGACACACAGAAAATGTAACATTCAAAACATGGGATTGATTCTGTCATTTCCCAGCAGGAAATAATGAGTCAATAACACTGAGTAGTCTCAAAACTCACATCTCAGCTATTACCATATTTGGGTATTCCCTGCTGAAATCGCGCCCCAAGAACTATCTGTAGGCAAATGTGTACATAATCTTTATGATGCTGCCATGCAAGAAAAAAAATACAACAGGAATTTTCATGACAGTCAATAATTTCTTTTGTATATCCCAGATTACAGCAGCATAGAAGGGGTATATAAATGCCTGATAACCATTGTCAAAGAGGGTTTTGTTTTATCATTTGTCAGTGAGCTAAGTTCTCTATCATCTCCAATAAACGTCCTCTTTGTACTTTTTTTCTAAGTGACCCGTGAAGATCCAGGTTAGAATTTGATCTTCAGTAACCCATGATTATCGTAGGAGATGACTAACGGGATCAGGAGGTCAGGCTTGCCGACTTGGTTAACACGTCATGGTATCCCAATTGCTTAGTTGATGCTCATGATGTTGATCACTGGATTGTTTGGTCCAGACTCGATTATTTACAGACCACTGCCATATAGCTGGAATATTGCTGAGTATGGCGTAAAATAAAACTCACTCATGTTTCTAAGTGAGTTAGTGGGAGTGGGTTTAGTTTTACGCTGCGTTTAACAATATCCCAGCAATATCACACTGGAGGTCACCAGAAAGGGGCTTCACAGATTGTACTCATGTGGAGAATCGAACCAGGGCCTTTGGCATGATGAACGAACACTTTAACCAATGGGCTACCTCGCAGCCCCCCTTTTTCTTAGAGCCAAGAAAATATAATATTGTTAAAAAAAATATATATTCTTTCAGTATCAGCTTGAGAAAGATCCCTCCTGCCTCTTGGAATCTGATTTAGTGAAATCATTGACAACAATCCATGAGATGAGATCATCAGTGCTCTTGCTGTGGAAGCCATTACACCAACATGATGAGTCATGTTCACATCTGCTGCCTACCATGGCTACAGGTGTTGTGCTTATCAAGTAGTTTGAGTAGGTAAAAAAGATATATTTGAGTAGCTGAATAATTTCTTTGTAGTAGTTTAGTACAGTACTGTATTTAACATTATCATAAGTTTGTTTTGGTCTGTTGGGTTTTGTAATGTGAAGAATATATAATAATAATTTAGATGTTAAGATACTGCAGTGTAGCTAATAAAATACAGTATAGCTGACTCATTATCATCTAACTGTTGACAGCTAGATTTTCAAAATATTGTAGTTGAAAAAACATCTGCCTGTAAACAGGTCCTGCTCAGTCATAGGAAAAGACGTAAAACAGTCTTCTTGAAAGTATATCCCAGGGTTTTACCTCAACTTACAAAAGTAGGGGACCCCAATCAATACATTTTACAGGTGCTTGCTGGTAACATGAGAGTCCTGTGAAGTATTGACATGGTGTAGTGTACTGTAAGTTGAGATAAACACTTCAGACCCTGGAATGAATCAGTGATCATGTTGACAATTTGTCTGTCATACAGACCCTGAAGCAAATACATGTACATGTATATCCAATAAAGCACAAGTCTATTAAAATGTGGCAAGTCTAGATTTCCACAGTTTAAAGTCTCTGGGCTCCTTTTCATTATATTTTTTTTTTTTTACTATGAACTTTTTTTCTGTAAAATATGTTCATTTCAGAGACTAGTTAGTCTAGTCGACAATGGTCATGACTGATTGGTGAAATAACACACAGATAACTACTCTTAATGTGCTGTCGTTACGCTCCTGGTATTTTTGTTCATCTCTCCGGATGCAATATTTTGGGTTTTCTGCATCCATGCTCTACAATGGATTGATGGACACCTGTGTTGCGTAAAACCAATTTCATCTCACCTTTGAAGTTGTCTTATGTATTTCTGATCAAATATGGAACATACACAGAATGGACTGAGTAAAATAATAAATGGTAATAATTATCTTTTTCCCAATGCAACTTTGGGTTTCGGAGAATCAAATCTGTGAACCCTCAAGAAACGTGTGGCCTAACCACTGTAGGCATGAAACAGTCAACACTAAGTCCGAGGAACAATGCTGAACACTGGAGAAACAGCTGGCTTTGTAATTATTTATTGACTAGATTCATGTCACATAGTACATACAATCTGAGACAATAACATCTGAAAGAACTACCATACAAAATTATGCACTCACAAGAGGTGGAATTGTTGTCAACAAAAAATGAAAGACACACTTTCAGTTTTAACCTAGAGCAGGAAGAAATAACAAAATATTCAGGTACTAATAATGAAAAACAATTATTAACTCAAAGACTACACGAGCAACAGTTGCCTTGGCAATACTAAAACAAGTCAACAAACAATGTTCTGTTTATTATATAATCAAAGACATAAACAAGTACTTGAGATCTTAACTAAATCTTTTCTTTGTTTCAAAATTTGGTAACTGACAATCAGAATTACGCCACGCGCAATGGCAATCATTTAACATACAAATCAGTCTTTAGAAATATTTGTACTTAATGTTCTGAAAACAGGTACTGAAATATTAATTATGTTAAGCGTGAAAATAACATCAACATCTAACCATGGTTACCACTGCCAAGCCAACAATGTAATAAAACAATCATAATTGAGCGCTTCTGTTCTTGTAACAATGCCCTTTATTCTATTGTGTCAAAGATGTCTAAATATTGCAATAACTAGCCATGCACTGAGACAATGTTACACTCTGATTATAGTTAAATATTGTTCACTACATCATGTCTTGCTTCATGCTGAACAGCTGTTACATGTGCAATAGATACAAAGATATAAAAGCACTAAATTATTACCCTGTGAAGGAATTACTAAGGTAAAATATTGCATAAAATCATCTAAAACAATTTCCACACACCATAAATCTAACTTAAATCGTAATAGTGTGAAATAAATAGAAAATTTGGCAACATAGCGAAAAGTGCTACATGATTTGAAAATGGATGGTACAGTATGAAATGATCATTCATTATGGTCAATTAGGTTTCTTCCAAGTGTGACATATTACTCAACTTTAGATAGAATTAATCAGAATATCCCGTGAGAGTAAGTGACAATGTTAGCGATGTCAAGATGTTGTCATATTCAGTATTGCTATTAAAGTGATTCAGTTTTCTTTCGAGTTACTCCAAGTCGTCTTGTTTCATAGTGGAATGAAATATCTCATTGACCCATTGGATGTTTCCTATACAACACACAAACAGACTTGAAGACACTTATAAACTCATGACAATATTTAGTAAGGCAAAAAGCAACATCCACATCCAAAACAGTGACTGTTAA